GGAAGAGCAGGATTGCTTCCCATAGGAGAGCCGGAAAAATGTAAGTCAGTGTTTATAAAAAGAAAAAAGGGTGGCGTTGGATAAAGAAAGCCCCCCATTATAAAAAGCCGAAAGGTCGTAAATTGAGGGGGAAGAACACGGTTACCGGACGATGCAAGAAAGTTGTAAACAGACGGGGGAAGATTTCGAAGGCGGATTAAAAGTGAGAGGCGGGAGGGGGACTTAAACCGGCAAAACAGGGAGCCCGCTGAGACTTCCACGATGGCCTCGCGGGGGGCGGCAGCCGCACCACATGGGGGCCACCATAACCTGGCCGCCAGCAGTACCGTCCTCCGGCAGCAGCAGCACACGCAACAACATCAGCTCCAGCAGGTGGTGCAGGCGCCGTCACCGCACCGGCCGCAACACCACCATCAGCACCACCAGCACCCCCTGTCGCTGGCCATATCATCCCGGCCCCGGCTGGGATCCGCCGGCCACGTGACGGTGCTGCTGCAACCGGATCCCGACGCGGTTCCCGTCGCCCTGACGTCCAACTTGGTGCTGGCGTCAACGAATGGCTGGCAGCAACACCATCAACACCATCAACACCAGCAGCAGGTGCTCGATGAACAGCAACGCTCCAAACCGCACACGCAGGCCGACCGGCTGCGACCGGCTTCGCCGCTACTTGGGGGGGAGACATCGCCGCAAACCGGCTTCACTGTGATGAAGGGCCGGGCGGCGGCGGCGGCGGTGGTGGGAACGCCGGAGTGTGGAGCGGCTGGCGGCGCCGGTGCCGCGGCAGCGCAGCAGGCGCCGGCGGCGATCAACGGCCCCGCCGACTCAGGCAGCGGTGGCGGCGGCGGCGGCAGCGGCGGCGGCGGCAGCGGCGGCGGCGGCAGCGGCGGCGGCGACCTGTTCGCTCAGATCCAGCGCGCGCTACCGCCTGGGTCGGTCCTGGACGTGGTTATTCCCAGCAGGTTCCCCAGCGTGGTTGGCGTATTGTACCGCGCGGAGGCGGCGGCGGCAACGGCCGCCGCCGCCGCCGCCGGGGCCTTCGGCGTCGAGGGCGCCGCCGTCGAGGGCGATGGTGGAAGTGGCGGTGGCGCCACTGAGACGTGTGCGGCGGTCTGGACTGGTAGGGTGCAGCGCTTGCGGCGGCTTGGGGGCTTTGCCACGGAGGAGAAGGCCAAGGCATCCTGCCAGGCAGCGCTGGCGATGCTTCAGGACATTGAGCTTGCCACCGTCGCCGCCGGGGACCCTGGCGCCGTCATGCCAGCTCCTGCACACGGCAGTGCCGGCGCGGCGGCGGCGGCGACGGCGACGTCGTCCTGCGTTGCGGCGACCACGTCCATAGTTACTCGCGGTCAGCAGCCACCACAGGGACAAGGTGGGCGGGTGAGTGGCGACGGCGGAGACCCGGAGCGCACGGCCTTTCCTATGATACGGAAAGGTGGTGTTTGCGGTGGCGGCAGCGTAGCCATGTATGACAGCGGCGGCGGAGGTAGCCTGCCGCCGGATGTGCTGCACCTGAGCGTCGACGCCGGCGGCGTTGCCGCAGCCGGCGGCGGCGGCGGCGCTGATGCGGGCGTGGGGGGCCTGGATGCCCTTGCCGGCGGCCATTGTACGGCGTACAAGCTCTACATGTCCCCTAACACCAGCGGCGGCCTGCAGCTGTTGGCAGAGTCGGACCAGGGGGAGTCCGGCGACCACTCTAACCTGGCTGCCATCGCACTGCCGCGGCGGCACTCTGGAACCGGCGCAGCAGCAGCAGCAGCAGCCGGCACGGCTACCCTGACACTCGACTCGCTGGGCTATCGGCTGCAGCCCGTACTGCTTGGTCCCGCGGCGTCCACACCCGTCAACGGAGGAGCCGGCGGCGGCAGCGCCGGCAACGGGCATGCAAGCTTCGCCCCCGGTAGGATACCGACGGGCGGTAACGAGGGCAGCGCAGGCGCAGCTAGACCGAGTCTCGGACTGCCGGCCGCTGCCGCCGCTGCCAACAACAACAACAACAACAACGGTAATCAGCCGAGTCCAGTTGTAAACGGCATCAGCGGCGGAGGCAATCCGTCGCATGGCAGCATCGCTGCAACGGCTAGCGCACGCCGCATCCACGGTGGATTTGGCGGCGGCGGCGGCGGCGGCGGCGGCGGTGGCGGTGACATCCCGAGCTCCGCGGCGATGGCGGCGGCGAACGGGATGAATGGCGGTCCATCAGAAGGCGAATTGACGGACGAGAGCGGGGTATCGGACCGCCTTGCAGGCTGGCAAGGCTCGGGTAATAATACTGCCGCCGCCGCCGCTGCCGCCGCCGCGATCATAAAGCTCTCCGCCCCCGCAGGAGTTGCCGCCAGAGGCGGTGCAGCGCACTCCCTCCCGTTGCCCGCCTCCCGGAACATTGCGCTAGCGGCGGCGGCCGCTGGCGAGGAGCCGGCCGACCTGGCGGCCGCCGCTGCCGCCGGCAGCGTCAGCTGCGGCGGCTCGGGCAGTCGCGGGAGTGGAGTCCGGCGGGAGGTGTCCGTGGTTCATGCGGATCCGCAGGAGCCAGATCACAACGTTGTCGCCGACTTCTACAGGGCGGCGGCGCGGCTCTGCAGCGGCGGCGGCGGCACCGGCGGCGGCAGCGGCGGCTCGCTGACGTCAGAGTTCGCGGCGCTGACTCAGCTGGCCCACGTGGATGTGCGGGAGGCGCTACAACTGTTCTTCCAACAGCAGCATCAACAAGCCATGCAGCGATAAGTCAAAGGCGGAGACGACGGCGGCTTCCCATGGCCCCTTGGGCGGCGCAGGGTTAGACACATTGCGCCAATCGCCTGTATCCGATGTGGTCATGTATTACACCGGTCATCTCACCGGTCCGATATTGATTGGCGGGATGGGTTCGTTTACGGAAGGGAACAGCGCGGCCTCTCACACCTCCGGGGATGTCTTGGCGGGTATCGGTGCATGCCCGGAGCACCACAGGACCGTATGCTACAAGTTACAAGTTACAAGTTCCGCACACAAGTGCGGGTGTGTCCGTAATAGCCGGGGGGGCCATGGACGTACACCGCTAGGGGACTTTTTCAGTGTTCGTGTGCGGCCGTAATTAATGTCCGAGAGATCCCAGGATCGATTCCTAGCTCTGCCGCAGTATGATTGCTATCCCTCACGAGAAAACGAGTGTGGACTGGTACGCGGTGAAGGCCGCCAGCACCGAAGTCGCCTGCGACTCAACCAAACCTGCTAGGAGGAGGAGAGAACACACGCCCCCGCCCCCGATTTGTCAGATTATATGGGATGTGCTGGTAGTAGGCCTCGAACTCGGGTCTGTTGATGAAATTAGAGAAGAAGAGTCGTATACTCTTGAGTCGGATACGGCGAAAGGACGGCGGTGCCGGGAAGGGAAGGGGAAGGCAGGGTTTCGACAGGAAACTGAGCGACCGGGGGTTATGCTGTGTATTTCCCCCCTCCACTCACCCCCACACAGCGCATGGAGTTGGAGTAATTCGTGATTCTCGTAGTGTGACAAAGTTGGAAGGATTGTTTGGAAGGGTTGTTAACAAGGGTTGTTTAGGTTTGGTTGGGTTCGTTGAATTTGGCTGGGATTCCCCAGGGCCGGGTCGTTGGTGTGCTCTATTGTGTGAGGCGGCGCAGCTTTTACGATCCACATCTCGACACAGATAGTCATGTTTCAAACTATCTGCGTCAAGATAGTTTTTCACAAGCATGTTGTTAGCAGCAAGGATGTGTGCTGACGAGTTGAATATGACACAGGTTAAATGCCAGGGATGCTGCTGCCGTTAGGCGGTTGAGGGGTTTCGGAGGCCTAGTGGAGAAGTGGCGCCTAAATAAGTATCATCCCCCTCTCCCTCCCGGAGGTGCATTTGGGGATGACGTAGATGCTGACTAATGACGTCGCCAGCCAGCCGATAGTGCAGATGTGGCGCCCGGATTGGGGTGGTACATGGCTTGGACTTGGTTTGCTGAATAAGGTGTACGGTGCACATAGAGGCGATGGCTTCCGCTGCTGCTGCTGCTGCTGCTGCTGCTGCTGCTGCTGTGACAAGAGACGCGACGTGGGAATTACTTTTGAATGTGCTTTCTCTTTTTCCTCAAGTGACCTTAGGTCCCCAGAGCCCGTGGTCCACTGCAGTCGCGCCACAGGTGTTTGTTCCTTTCCGCTTTGGCACGGTAGGGCTCGTCGTGCGGCACCTTCGCGAGGGCGTGTGCATTGTTTTGCGAAACAATAGCATGCATGCACGCACGAGGACGGACCCTCTTCCCCTTTACGCTTGCGGCGGTGCACATGCATATGGGCTTGATTGTACGCCGGGAGTGGTTTTGCTGTGGGCGGTAATGCACGGCAGTGTAGCAAAATTTGCGTGCGTGCCGTGGCCTAACCAGCGATGTCTCTCTCCACACATACAACATGCATACATGCATGTGCAGGGCCAAATACAAGCCCGAGATCAGCCCGAGGCATTCACGTACATACATACATTCATATGAGAGCCCATGCTGTGGTGTGCGGGGAAGGGGGGAGGAGGAGGAGGGGGAGGAGGGGTTAACGGGCTGGCAAACAGCCCAAGGGGAACAGTTTCTGATTTCTGATATGTGACTCAGCCCCGAGGGCCCCCTAGATTGGGCTGGGGGGCCTGTGGGGACAGCGCGGGATGTGGATGGTGTGAGGTGCGGGTACCCACTGAAAGAGAACGACACAGGAGTTTGCGGCTGAGGAGCAGCAGCTGTAGCATCAGCCGCAGCTACTGCGGCACGGGGGGAGCGGTTCTCCACGTAACGAACAAAACGTGAAGGCGGATGCGGGGAAGGGTTTTGGGTAGAACATGCTGGAGTGGGAGAGATGAGCATTGCAGGGACGGAGCCTGAATAGGACATGGTTCCAGGTGGGGTTTGATGGCAGGTAACGTGTGACACGATGGAGCGAGGGGGGGAGAGGGGACGGCGAGGAGGAGCGCATCAATCAGCATGAGAGTGCCACCACCAAACATCCAGGGGCCAGTAACGAAGAGGGGTTTGCCGGAGTCCGGGTGCCACGTTAAGGGGCAGAGTTGGGGCTTCGACGCACGTTGGGGCTCCTGGTGTCCACGCGGCATCGAATGTCGGAAATGCAGCAGGACGGTGTGGGCTGTGCGTGCGTGTGATGTGTGTCTTTGGCAGGAGGTCATTGGCTGTTGCATGCAGCGTCATCGGGCGGACGGTGGTGTTGAAGGATGGAGCACCGGGGAAAGGGGGAATGGGCGTGCCGCGTCAAAGAGGGCTAGGAAACGGAAAGCGCTCGAGGGGGGGCCCAGAAGGGTGCGCATGCAAGCTCTTTCAAGCCCCTTTTTGTGGACGACTGGTTAGTGTAGTAGGGTTGGGGGTGGTGCTTTCAGCCATGTGTGTTTATGTATGTATGGATGGATGGGTGGATGGATGGATGGATGGATGGTGTGATAAACCTCCTTGAGTTGCGTCACCCTCTAACCCTCAAAGAAAGGCGGAACGAGGGGCCCCCTAATATTCTTTCTGTGCACATGAACAGCTGAAAAAGGTTTTTTCCTTGTGGATGACGGCTCCGGCTGATTTTCCAAAACTTTTCCAAAAATTTCTACACGTGGTAATGATGATACTGCTTGATGAAAGTGGATTTGTTGGTCGTGTCTTGGTGTCCCTTCCCTGGACGGGTCGACGAGGGCTGCGAATGTAAGCGGTACGTGAAGTGCGAGGAGTCCACAAGTAACTTTTAAACTTGTGCAACACCTTGCGTGCGTGTGTGTTTGTGTTGCATCATGGTTGGGGGGGGTTGCGTGACCCCGTACCTGTAAAACTACCCATACGAGCCGAAGGCCCAAGGGCAAATACCTAAACCCCTAACAGCCACGGAGAACAGGAAACACCGCACTATCAGCCCAGACTAGCGTCCAAACAACTTTGCAATCCTACGCCTGTGCCATGTCGTCAGCCATCTGTGGATGGATGGATCCTCGCGTACAAGGCGCGAGAATGTGAGCTGTTGTGGTGCTGATTGGCCGTCCTGTCATGGGCTGAGTCAGGAATGCTGGTGTGGGTTCGGTATAACAGACTCCGTTCATAGTGTCAGATAAGCCGTTAAAAGCGCAGAGGACCGTGTGGATCGCCTACCACGTGGCGTTGGCCGTTGTTCTCACCGTAGCAGGTGAAGAGGGCAAACGTGGCAGGCTTTTTCCGAGATCAGAGGGAAGGGATAAGGGCATTGGACGGCCACAGCCAGCTGTCTCAGAGGTGGCGAGTTGAAGATACGCCAAGCGAGTCGATCCGGTGTACCAGGAGTAATGGTGTACGGCACGAGGCCTGTGTCATAGAATACATGCAGCAGTTCAATGTAGGAGAGAAAAGTTCGAATGTTCGACACGCGGATTGCCTTGCTCTGACTCCAAGAAACCCTGGCAGAACAGGTGTTTGGCCTTTATCAACTGCCATTGCTGCGGAACTTCCCTTACAGGAGGGCTTTCTGTAGCTTCATATTACGATAATTGTAGCACCGGGATTCAAAATTGCATATGGAATATTGCATAGGGCTGTGGTAGGAGCCCGCTTGGCATAACCTTGAAACATAGAGCTGTACTAAGGATTGCTTTATATTAGTCAAAATCTATACCTTAGAAGCGTTCTGTCAGTGGCTGGCGTCAAGGATTGAACCGTCGGACAGCAAAGCGCGCCAAATTGAACAATGGAACCGGAGCAAGGGCAACCCCAGCCCAAGCGCGTTCGGCTTTCTGACGCGCAGCTGCAACCGCAAGGCGCATCCATCATCGGCATCCAGGGCGCTCTCACGGCCGGGCCCTCGAGCACAACTGGTACAACTGTTGCCCTCAAACCTTCGTCCGGGGGCCTTTCCCAGCTCACCACCGCCACGAAGCCCGCAGGCTCCATCGCTTCCTCTGCTGCACCTGCGGGACAAACCTCCAGCGTCGGGCCGGCCGTTCCCCGTGCGTCTGGTCCCACCTCCACATCTACTTCCGCGGTCCCATCCACAAAAACGACAAACTTCATCGCAAACGCGCACGAGGCCGTCCATTTCCGCGCAGTGGCTGCCCCGACTGTGGGGCCTCTCACGGCTGAAATTGCGGCAGGTGGTCACCGGGTGACCGTAGAGTTTCTGCACCAGCACTTTGGTGACTCGGAGCAGATCCGCGGCTACAGCGGCTTGAATATCACGATCTGGATCCATGTACGAACGTATCATACGTGGGTGGACATCCAGTTTGCTGCCAAGCGCCCCGGCGCCGACAAGCTTGGCCCCATCTTTGACGGCGCCTTCCCCTCTGGATACTGCCGGAGCAAGGTGGGAGAGGGGAGCTCCCGTGCTTGACCCATTTGAACGTGCCATGCATCCAATTCAGTGCGCCTTGTCGTCCCGTACATGCCGTCAGATATACGGGGATCGGTGAGTCACGTGCGTGTGTTGTGGCCTCACGCACCGCGCTTCAGATCGGTCAGGTCCGGCCCGCGATGCAAAGCCACAGCCACAATGTAAAGCGCAGGCTTGGGTCTGTTGCAGTCCAGCTCAAAGCTCCAAGGGCGGTTTTTTTATTAAAGTGCGTCCAAGGGTAGATCAGAACAAGGCTGGCTGAAGAGGAGCTTGATGAAAAGCCTCGTGCTCTGCTTCTTGCCTGGGCCTCACTCCTAAATTATCGCGCACGTGAAGACTCCTCCTTCACACGTCGCGACTGGTTAGTTTTATTTACTGCTTTGCTCGGCTTATTTATCAGAGTCTACATCCTCCTTGGCATCAGCTTGAATCGTTTACGTGGTTCACGTGGTCTTCCCCCCACTCTTCTCTTCCTCCTCCCGGCTACCTGCCCAGCCTCGTCGCTACCGCTTGTATCGTCGCGGTCCGCATACTGGCTGATGTTCCGGTTCCCCGCCCCCTCTCTCCTACCCGACCTGTTTTGTGACTAAATCCAAATCCAGGAGGAGTTTGTGGCAGCGGCGACAGCGGGGGCAGCCGCCATGCCGGATCTCATGACCCTGGGCGACCATGTCGGCACAGTGCTGTTGCCGCCCAATGCGTACGGCATTACAGCACGACCGGCGGCAGGGACGGCTGGCTCCGATGCAGCAGCAGACACCCCCGGTATCAGTATCAGTCAAAACCGTGGCAGTGCGCAGGGCCCTATGGAGGTGTCTGTACGGCGGTTCCAGGTCAGCAAAGCGCCGGCGGAGGTTAAGGTGAGAGCAGGTAACAGCTGTGCGGAGGAGGGGGGTGGGCCGCGCCAGGCAAAGCGAGAGGCGTAGGGGAGTCGCAAGGGGACAGAGAAGAGGGTGCAAGGCCGAGCGAGGCTTGTTTGCGTGGGTCGTCATTGGCCTTTGTTGGTTTGGTAACGCGTTTTCCGTGGCGGTGGCCATTTGCTTCGGATCTGGGCCACTGTAGCAGGAAAAGCAGATGATGCGGTCTGCGCTCATTGATTTGTAACGAATCCCGTGTGAACTGAGCCCCGCTGCAACCAAGGCGGAAATGGCATTACGGCCGTTCTCCTGCCCCTATTACCCCCCTACGCATGTACAATGCGCGCCTGTAACGCCGCTAAGGTTCCGTACTTCTAACCTGCCGTACTCAACCACCGTTACTGCTACAAGACTCAACCCAACCACCACCTTCATACACTCACACGCATACGCCTGACGCCATACCCCCGAGCAGACTGCAACCTATTCCCATATCGATTTGGGGGGGGGGAGGGGGAAAAAGGGGTTTCTGACCCCTTCCCTCTCGCCCTTCTCCCCGTCCCCACAGGAAGTTGACTTGCCACTTCCTCTCACATGATTTTCCCCTTCCCCTTCCCCTTCCCCACCTCACTGGTGCTCCACCCGAACGCAATGAATGTTTTGATGACGCCTCAGGCTCTTCACGCCCGTTTGGAGCCCCTGTTGCTGTTCACCATTGACGGAGCCCAGTTCATCGACGACGAGGACCCGCAGTGGGAGATGCTGCTGCCGGTGATGAGAGCTGAGGACGGGGGCTGTCTGGTGGTGAGCCGGCAGGGGGGTGCGGGGGATGAGCGGGCAGGGGGGTGCGGGGGGTGAGCAGGGCGTGTGCGTTTGTGTGCGTAAGCTATGACAACATGATGGCTTTGCAGAGCACATCATCGCGTGTGGTAGCAGGGAAAGACTCCCTCCGGCTGCCCATATGTGTATATGTAAGTCTATTTATGTCTCTATATATGTAAGTCCGTCTATGTGTGCATATACATGTTCACATATATGTATGTGTGTATATGCCCTCCATCGCCTACAATTCCTTTTTCCTTGTTCCTGGGTGTCGTTGGTAGTCCTAGTCCTAGTCCTAGTCTTGGAGGAGTTACTACTAACGATCCCAAGATGCAATCCCCGCATATTCATGGATGAGTCCTGACGACGCCCGTCGCTGAACTTGAAACTAAGGACGGAGCGTTAGCACTATTTCCAACACAACTGACAACAAAACAAGAACCGAGTCAGTCGGATGTGGGTTGCAGGAGCGAGAGGAGCCACACCAGCTTGAAAGTCGGCAGGGTCCATTGGGCCCACACAATCACAGTGTCCAAAAGTTGTCCCTCCGCACCTTTCCCCGCTGTTACCCATATATCCGCCCCACCCCACCCTACACCCCGGGCCCCCCCATTGCCTCCCGCTCCCGTTCCTGTTCCCCGCCCCACCCCAGTTGGGTCTGACTACCCTGTTCAACTTCTTCTCCTACCCAGCCTCGTGTCGACTTCGCGTGAGCCAGGTGTTGGTCCTGAGTCCATGGCAGGTAGGCGGGAGTGGGGTGGGAGCGGAGGGCAAGAAGGTAGTCTTACGGAGCTGAAGCTCCGGTGTGAAGGGGGATGGCGCGGAGGGGAATGATGTACTGGAGCGGAGAAGAGCGAGGCGGGGTTTGGGAAGCGAGGCAGTGCGAAAGGGATAGCCGACAGACGGGGCCACAGACGTTGGGGGCACCGGAAACACGGGGTAAGACTCGCTTCCCCCCCGGGGAGAGGGGGGAATGAGGGGTTGGCTAGGAGCTGTTAGACGCGAACTCGTAGTCTGGCGCCTGGGAACGCTCCGTGAGGGAGAGGAACAGACTGGGGGGGGGCAACTGGCTGGATGGAAGGGCAGGTGGGGAGATGAGGGGCCGGTCTTATCTTCTTGGATGGTGGGGGGAAGCGATAACAACCCATCCACGGCGCTGACGGACGTCATAGTTTTCATTTACCATGCAACACGGCCTTTCTCCACAAGAGGTATTATATTCCCATTGGAGCTGCGTCCCCGTGTGTCTCACTATTGCCGCCATCGCCATGCAACCATGCAACCACAGGGATTAGGCCTGGGTAAGGCCCTCCTTAAGCTGTCGTACGATTTGGCCAAGTCACGCCGGTGCGCCGATCTGACGGTGAGCTGTCGTCCTCCTATTTGGGGAGGTGGCGTGGGTGTTTGCAGGCGGACGGGGACGGGAAGCCTTTGCGGAATGGGGCAAAGGGAATCCTGCTGGCGCCTGTGTATTCCTCTGTACTGAGCTGCGTCTTTTGTCCGTATGGCCGGAATCTGTGGAGGGGTTCACGGGGGGAGAGAGGCTCTCCTCCCGGCCTTCCCGGCCCCCACCTATCCCCCACGCTTGCTGTATCACCTTCCTCCCATGGCCGCTTTTCTTCACGATTTCGCAGCCATGTTTTCTGTCATCTCGCCTTCCGCCGTCTTAAGCCGGCGGCGCTTTTCTCGTCCTAACCACCAACCATACCACTCGTTGGGCCCTTCAGGTTGAGGACCCCACCCCGAACCTACAACGAGTACGTGAGAAGCTGGAGGTGGAGATGATGAGGGCACTGCCCTGGGTAGTGAACCAGGCCAGAAAGGTAGGGCAGCTGGTGGGAGGACTCCCGGGGGGCTGGAGCGAGGCAGGTACCGCCGTTTGTGTAATGCTTGTTGCTTTTTAAGTCTGTGCTGGCCTGCCGATCTCGCATGACCGTCCTCCCCGGTTGAGAGTCTCTGGATCTGGGACTGGGACTGGATCTGGGCCTGGTATCACCTCTTCCCCCACCGCCCCTCCCTTTTTCCTCTCCTTGCAGTGTCTAGATGCGGTGGTTCGAGGTGAGACCAGCTGGCCCGTCTGGGAGGAGGAGGAGGAGCAGAAGATGGCTGAAGAGGAGCAAGCAGCGGAAACAGCACAGCAGCTGCAGCAGATAGCGGCGGCTGGGGCGACAGAAGCTACACCCCCAGCCCAAGGCGCGGGACAGGGCGTGGGCGAGTTGGTTGTAGCACAGCAACCCCTCCTGGCAGCCCACGCCTTCTTTGCGGCCCTGGGTGCGGTGCCCCCCCAGCACATGGTCCTGCCAGAGGACGTGCAGGTAAAGGCGAGGGCGGAGGCGGAGGCGCGCTGGCGGCAGCGGCTGGCGGCAACGGAGGACGCGGCGGTGAAGGCAGTCGCGACGGAGGCGGTCGTGGGGCCGGGGCCGTCAGGGTGTTCTGAGGACACCACCGTCGTCGCTGGCAGAGGCAGTAGCACTGGTGACATGACTGGAAGGGGGGGGGTTTCCTCCGTCGCGGGTGCCCTGAACCCTAGCCCGACCTTTGTGTCTGCCATCAGCCGCGAGCTGAAGATGCACCGCGGACAGGTGCGGGCATGACTCTGTCACTTGGGTGATTGTGGCGGTGGTAGCGGTGTTGGGGAAGAGCTTTTGGCCGCGAGGAGGGTCAGGAGGGGTTGGAACTGAGGGCTGGCCACAAAGCAGGTACTACTGATGCTACTGATGCTGTTGATAAGTTCTTTCGCCGAGAGGTTTATGGGGAATGGCGCTAGTGTAAGGGGATTGGCACCCGGCCCTAACCCGACCCATGTGGGCTGAACAAATGGGTATGAACAACTCTCGCGACTCTGCCATAAACTTCGCCTCCCGGTAGCTACCCTTTCTTAGAGCTGGACGCATGAATGGGTTCATGAATAGCCGCTTCGTCCGGTGGCCTTCGTTTGATGGGTGGCGAGTGCAACATGGGCGCCCCCTCTCCTTATGGCATCCGCAGTTCATTTTCACAGTTTTGCTATGTGCATTTCCCGGCTCCTCAGATCCGAAACGTGTGGGAGGCGCTGCTCTGGTGTGAGCCGGGGGCCCTCACCCGGCACGGGGTGAGGGCCGCTGTGGAGCAACTCATCACCTCCAGATTGGAGGTGGGTGGAGGGTGCGGGGAGAGGCTGGTTGGCACGGGGCAGGGGAACAGGGGCCCTCCGACGCGTTGTGTTTTAGCCGAGTAGCTGGCCCCAAAGGGGGCGCGCCTTCTGGTGCATGTCGTGTCGTGTGTGTCTTAATCATTTTCCCACATTGACCTCCCTCCATGCCGCCCGACAGGCTCAGTACTTCTCCTCAGTGGGGCGGGCGGCCGCGGCCAAGAGACTGGTGGACACTAACCGCACCACGCTGCAAGCTGCAGGCAGTGCTGATGCAGACGTGGACGATGCGGTGCGGGAACCCGACTTTTTCCTGTATAGACCAGTGGGCCAGGAGGCGGTTGCCCGGGCGGGCAGCGGCGACACGGGAGCTGTCGCCACCGGCCGGCTCAACTTGACGCAGGTGCGGGCGGTTTCATTGTATGTGCTTATTGCTTCTTATCCAAAATTACTTCAATCGGGGTTGCAACGAGCCGTCCAAAGAAACAACTTGCCCCTTTTCCAAGTTAGTCTCCTGATTTGCTGGTTTGCGAAGTTGTACTCAAGATGTCCTAAGTCGTTCCCTGGAAACCTATCCCTCTCCTGCTCTCAGGTCACCGCGGACGATAAGGCCCGGCGCATGGAGGAAATGCTTCTGGAGCGGCGGCAGCAGCTCGAGGCGCTGGCGTTGGTGCTCGACAGGGACTCCAAGAAGCAGCTGTAGGGTCGCTAAGTACAAAGCGGACGATGGCGAACCAGCGAGTCTGCCAATCAAAAGGGTTATTTTGTGCCAGTGCGCTATCACCTTGGGCATTTATACCAAATTTCGTGACTTATCTCAGGACGTGTCCCAATCTGGGCGGAACGAGTAACCGAATGCAGAAAGAGTGACTACCTTGAGCAATCGGTGTATGCACTTTCTTAAATGAAATCCGCTGTCGCGCAAAATGGATGGCCGGCCGGCAAAGAAGTCTTTTGCATCACGCGTTTCCCGACTAAATTGTGCGTTAAAACCTTTCAGTTCGCCAAATGCTACAGTGCCTTGCGCTACCGCACGCACGGACGAGTAGAATAAAAGACAATTGTCCCATGTTAACCATCGCCAACCAACAATCTAACCCAACGATGGACCTCGTCCTAGCGACATGTGTCTCACGGACAGAGGATTTTACTAAAACTCAATACCTTAAGAGTACACAATGCAGCATGTTTATTGGCGCCTTAACACCGGTTGGCGTAAGGAAAGGAACAAGAAAAGAAGTGAATATTCCCTTCGTGACAGACCTAGCACGAAGAAAGGATGTTAACGGCAATTAACGACCACTCCATTGAACCAACGACCAGACCAAGGCAACCACACCGTTTGCATCCTCCTCGGCACGCACACGCACGAATACGCACACACAGCTATGTACTGTTGCATGCTCAAATTTCCCTGCTTTGAAATTGCACGCCAATAGACCTCTGCATGTAGCAGCCAATACATAAACATTTTTTCAATAGTGAAATGCCCTCCTGCATGCCCACAATGAAGCGCTCTCTATCATAGTCCATGTGCTACGTGGCATTGTTTTCTCCCGGGATCCACGCAGGTTACTGTGAGCCCCCAAACGGCCGTGATGTGCTCATGTAAAAATTGTAATGCAACGCTGTTGGCAGCGGGGCCCGATGACATTTGCCGGGCCACGTTGCCAGGCTTTCACCTAACCAATGCACTCTGGGGCCTGCATGCTTCGACTGTGCACTGCCGTACTACGCCCCGCATACGTACGGCCGGTAATTCGTAGAGGCGGCTTGAGTACCACACCTGTCCCTTCCATGCACCGCTGCACATTGTGCGCCCTGATGCAATCCAAAGGAATGAATGTCCGGTTTTGCAACAAGCGTCACAAACAAACGCCACGCGGGGGACGCGGAAGTGGAAAACGAGAAAAAATCACCTGCGGCTGCCCCTGCTGCTGTTCGGCCCGCTCGAGAAGGGGTATGTAACAGTCAAGAAAACGTAGAAAGCAATAAACAAACAAAGGCAACTACAAATTACCACATACTCGTGCCTGTCAGACTTCCGCATGCATGCCGCCTAGGATACGTGTGTGTGCACTATAACTAGCGTGTCTACCTGTCTGGGTCTTCGTTACCTGGCGCGACCTCTCCGTATGTTTGTCCAATGTCCCAACCAGCCTATCCGTACAATTAGCGTGCTTGCAAGGGAGAGATAACGCGCGTACCCATGACAGCAGTTGCAAGGGGAACCGCTGCCAGGTTTGACCCCCTACATGACAGACAAGGAAAACGAATAAAAACACGTTATGGGGTTTACCTTTTTCCCCTGCACACACATGGCGTGCGGACAGGAGGGGGAACTGAATTTCACACGTGTCCCACGTGCATGTTCGGCCGTAAGTTCCGGCAGGCGCAAACTGCATGCACGAGGAGCTGTCAGCTGCGCGTGTGTACAATCCACCTGCCTGAGCCGCGAGGAGTCAAGTCCGCCAAAAAGTGTACACGACGAGAAATAAGGCGGGGCAGCGCACAACCAACCGCAACCGACTCGTGTGATGTCCAATGGGGAACCAGCAGCTAGAGGCAGGCACGTGGTGCCCGGAGTATGGCCCTACAGCGGTACATCCGCTAGGTGTCTGTTTGCGCATTTGAAAAACCCTTGCCTTCCCTGTCCGTATAAATGCGGTGCTGGGGTGTTAAGCGGGTGGTAAGTGGCGACGGCGGTGGCAGCAGGGCGCGCAGGGAGGGGGCATGGAGATTTTTCCGCCGAGTGCCATCCGGGCCGAAAGGGCTGGGCAGAGCTCCGTGCGCCACCGAGCACCAGTTCCCAGCACTGGCCCACCCTTCCTCACCCCACACCCATACCCACAGTGGGGGTAGTGATGGTGGCTCTCCTCACAGGTCCTCGAGAACAGTGAGCTGGGGGGACCCTGTGTCCGGGACACCGGGGAACTGTACGACCTCGTGCCGCTTCGGCTTAAGCGCTGCCTTGACCGCCTTGTACGTCTCAAACTGCGGCAGAGCACCGTAGAAGAGCGTGCAGACATGAACATTCGTGCACAGAGGGCTCATACCCAAAACACACAATCCTACGATAGCAGCACACATGCAGCAGCAGCAGTGCATCACAGGGTTCCCAAATCACCACTCGCAAGGTCGAAGGATGGGATGGGATTGCAAAAGGAGGCATGAGCGAAAAGGACGGCAACACGGGTCGAGGGAGCGCAGCATTGCCGCAATCGCGCTCCAAGAACCGTCGCCGCAGCCCCGTCCCGGCGCCGTCCCTTTCTTGCTCCCAACATACATCCGCGAATGCAGGACCGCACCCCCACGTACCTCCTTCCCCGCCGCCACCACTAGTGGCTCCACGAACAGCAGCCGGCCCAGGGAGGGAAGGGCGGCCATCAGCCGGTCCAGCTCCAGATACACCTCCAGGTGAGGAGTGCACTGGAAATTGTGTTGCTGGGCGACAGTCTGGTGGAAGGCGGGGCCCGTGCGGGGCGTCGACATCAACAACAAAAACACCCAGGCGGCGTACACCGCAAGGCCGAACACCGCAAGGTGAGAGCAGTGGAGGAGGGAGGGGGAAAGCCGTCGTGTAGTGGGATGCGCATGACGGGTTGCCACCTCCAATACCTGCCAGTCTGCTGACCCCCACAGCTCTTAGGGTCCAACTGCAAGGTTCAACTGCAACACACTAAATGCACACACGCAGTACACACACCCTCTCGCGGGTACGTGGGTCAGATCACCAATATTCGCTATAGCGTTGGGCGCGTCGTAGTCCGCGCGCCAAAACAAAAACGCTACCAGTCTTGCTTGTTACTGAACTTAAGTAAAAAGACGATACGATTTTGAGAATAACTTTGGTATCGTGCCGTCATGTAATTAAGCAACATCTCCTGAAGAAACACCACGTACAGCAAACACAGCCGTGCCCACGCACATACACACGCCGTCATCCCTCACCCGCCTACCCGTATGAAGTCATGCAGGGGGTCCTTGCTCTCAGAAGACCACTGCAACAGAGCGGGGGATGGGAAGTAGCAGGAGGGAGAGCACGGGCACAAAGCCGGAGAGGGACTGAGTGATTGAGGGTAGGACACACACGAGCACGTCATGGGGCTTCTCCTCGAAAGGGGTTGGGCCGCTTGGGGCCTTCCCTTCGCGGGACTTGCCCTCCCTCCATCCCCCAAACATAGCAGCCGTGAAGCACAAACCCCGCATGCCTGCCTACATACACATAAGCGCAAAACATCTCTCAATAGCTTCATCTCCAAATTCCTTACCACCCTTCTCACTACTCTTCCCCCAAACAACGCGTCAAATCCTGCTAATCCAGTAGACAGCCAAGTCCTCCGAAGTGAGCGAAAAAGGAACCAACAGAACTCCCCCTCCCCCTCACTCACCTGCAATCCATGCCATGCAGCACACGAGTCGAAGTGGATGAACAGTCCCATCCGCTCCCGAACGACGCCCGCAGAGCATTCCGCATCCGGACCCCCACTTGACGTGCTGCTAATCCCCCGCATGGCCTCCCCCAGCGAGGCGTTGAGGGGCATGTACGGCATCCAGTTCGTAACACCCACCCCCACCGCACCCGCCAGAATGGCGGTTCGGAAGGTGGATGATAGCAGGTCGTACCCGACGGATTGCTGTACGGGTGCCCCAAGGTGTACGGGTTTGCCGTATGCGGCCGCGGCAGCCACGGAGATGCGCAGCCTGCGTGCGGGGTGGTGATACCGCGCGCGTGTGTGTTGGGTCAGGGGCCGTCAGGGGCCCTCGTGTGCACAACATGTCAAAGAGATAGTAAGGAAATATGCTGCAAAACAAGCGGGTAGAATTCGTTTCTATTGCATAATCGACACTACGGTTTCATAGAAGGGCTGGAAGAGGGGGCATGGGGTGGACGTTGGCAATGGTGGGGCCTTGCGGCCGCTGACCACCAAACAGCCTGCCTGATTGGATGTGCCCAAATCCCGCGCAGCTATCAAGCCCACCCTTCCCCTCGGTTCTGAGCTTCCTAACCCCCTTTCCTGACAACGAAGGCGCACACATACACCCCCCTTTCGTGCCCTGCCGTACATTCGTACTCACATCTCCGGGGTGATAGGGCTGCCGTACGGTGTAGAGAAGCTGGCGTCTACGACGAGGTAGTCGGTGTACGAGCTGGTGGCGATGTGTTTGAACATGGTAGTGCCGTACACTGCCACAAGTACGGTTAAGAGCTCGGGCACGTGGTGGAAGCATCGTGCACCGGCCGACTGTACGACAGCACATGCACGGTTATATACCTCTGCTCCCTTGAGCTCCCGGAACTTCAGGAAGTCCCAGTAACTAAAGGAGTACGGGAAGAAGAAGAAGAAGAAGAAGAAGGATACACACGGGGGCCCAACGATAAAGTAAAATTTATTCCAAGATTCATTGAACATCATCCGATGCAGCTCCTGACCTCGTCATTTGTTGTGTCATGCTTTCCGCTTCATTCTTAAACTATGGGACCCCCTTCCTCCCCCTCCAGCTGCCCCTCCTCTCTTGCCCCCCTATCCCCCCTCACCGCGCCTGCAGGTCCGGCCCCATGACACTCCCCGCCTCCAGCACGGGCGGCCCGACCTCCTCCCAGCGCTTGAAGGCAGTGCCCCACCGCGCATTGAGGGATTCCAGTTGAGGCCTACGAGCCTGGAGCCACTGACGGAACGACCATAACTTCATACCACGGAACCAGGAATAGAAGGGACATAAGGCGACAGGATTAGGGCAGGAGGAGGGGGGAGGACAAGGGTAAGAGAGCGGCGAGACAGAGGGCAGGAGGGTCCCAAGATGTGCGGCTGTAGGGCCACTGGCGCCATGGGGTGTACAGGGGGCTGTAGCGGGAGCAGGGGAGCAGGGGAGAAGATGAACCGCAAACGAGTGAGGGGGGATAGAGAAGCACGTCCCCCGCTCAGACAGCCGTTATCCAACTGCAAGGGGCCCCCTTGGGATGAAACCTCGGACGGGGGGGAAGAGTTCCAGGCCCGGCAGATTACAACGTCGGGATGGACAACAAAGGCGACTCAGTGCCAACCGCACAAAACTCACACAGCCCGCGCAGTCAGTCAGCGACGATACCCAGGACGGACGGGCTGAAGACACGTACAAACGCGTACGCTTACACAAGAACACTTCTACCGCCGTGGAAAGGGCATCCACCCGCTCGCTCATGCGTGGGTGCCGCGTGCACTGAGATGATAACACTCTATGAATCCGTAACAAGTCCTTGCATACCGCGGGCCCTGAGTAGTCCTGATAGCAGTCGTGCTCCTGCGTGTATTTGGCCTGTGAGGTAGGGCAGGGGGAGGGGGGAAGGGGGGAGGGTGACAGGAAAACTCGATACGGGGTGGGTGAGGGATGTGCAATGAAGGACGGGGTGGTTGTAACTATAACAGGGACATGGGCGGAGGGCGTCAGCGCGGCAGGTGGCTCTCCCCGTCGACGACTGCCGTGTAACACCCACAGCAAATGGACTTTATGTTATAGACATTACACATAAAGTCATCCTCCAGGACCCCGTCATCTTCAATGACCCCCCACACCACCCCCTTCCAGTCAATCAGTCCGCAGGTGAAAACGGCGTCTCCCCCTTCCGCGCCCTTCCCCCCGCTGGCAGTCTTCACATCCGCTCCCTCGCCGCGCCTCGTGCCGATCCATCTGGCAGCGGTATATCCGTAATAACGTTCAGCAGCCGACCCACCACACGGCGGGACCGCAACGGATCACCCCACTCTGCTGGTGTGGCTCTTTCTCCTCCTCCTCCTCCTCTCCTTCAGCGGGTCTACTCCGGCAACCCCCCCGCTCATTGCGAACCCTCTTCTCCCCTACCTCACGCAAACCTCACCAAAGACCACCTCCCTTTATATAAAGGGAGATGCCCAACAAACTTCCCATAAGCCTCCGAACCCGCCGACCCCCAGCCGCACAGCAAGCAGATACGGACGAGCCCATCCACGCGCGTCCGCACAGACCGTTGCTGTGCTGTGCTGTGCTGTGTAGGAGAGAATGAGGACTCCGTGCAACAGCGCCAGCTCGGCTAGGACGCGAGCTTTACAATGAGGAACCCCAGGGTAGGATAGGCATACAGATGCTCCGACCCACGGGTCACCCTCGCCGCTCGCTGTCCACGAGATCCCAAATTTACCTACCTAGGAAACCGAGGTAAGGGGTCCACCCCAGGTAGGGGGTCCAGGGTGTGCAAGGGTCTTCCCCTTGGAATCTCCGGTCCCACCCGAGACACGCCCCCATCCCCGTCCCACCCAAATACCTCGTACTCGTTGTTGAAAGCTGGCTGTAGCGATGTGACCCTCCCGCGATGTGATGCGACCAGGTGGGTAGCCACCTGCTGCAAGACACTCATGGCCAGCTGGTTAGCGGCCGCGTGGAACCAGGACAGCAAAGGATACTGCCGCTGATGGCTGGACGGGCGGGGGGAAGCAAGGGGGGAGCAAGGGGGGAGCGGGACTCGGAGGTATGAAAATGCATTACGGCCCAGCTGCACAGCCACAGGTAGGTGGCGGCGGAACGGCGCCGCAGTCATGCCATGCCCGGGGCCCGGGTGTTGCGGGTGCGGGTGGATGATGGGTGGAGGATTGAAAGCCAGGTTTGGGAGGCCGGATATGCGACGTGGGAGTCGGTGGGCAAAACGTTTGCGCACAGGATTGTGTATCGATGACGGTGTGGGCGGCTTTCGTCTCTCTTGGAGGCTCCTCCATCGGGCAGCAACCCGCAAGCCCCTCCTTCACCGCCCCTTGCCGTACACCATCAACAACAAAAGCAGCATACTTGCGCCGCTTTCCACTTGCCCTGGCTTCCCGTACAATAAATTCGAGGTATCTCATCATCATGTACGCACGGCGCAGTTCTTATCCCCATGAGCCCCTGCCATGGAGAAGCATTGCGCCTTTCTGCTCGTCGCCTTCGTCGGCCATCAACAGCTTACCCTCTGCTTCTTATTAACCTTTCCAGTCCCATCCTCGCTTTCACCTTCCCAAGCCCCATCGTGCGCTTCTTCCTTCGTCCCGAGACGCTTCCTTCAGAGAAATTCATAATCCCCGAGAGGCCCCCGGAACTATATCCAAACCTGGCCGACCCTCGGTGCCGCACCTGTCTGTCGCCTTGGCATCCGGCCACTTGGTGAACACCCAAGCGGGCGCTCGCACCATATCCAGGATGAAAGCAACCTGAAGATTAGGCGTTTGGGTTTGGGACACATAGGCACAGCCTGATAGCCCCGGGTGAGCCTTTGCCGTGCATGTCTGTACAAAACCGTGGCATGTATTTACAAAGCGCGGCCAGTCAACACAGTAGCTGTTGCAAGGACATACAGGTATGAGCCATCATACGGTACGAGTCAACGTAGAGCATAAAGCCTTCCGTCCCCCCCACTTGGCGGAGTAATCTTTTCTGCTTCCCTTTAACACACCTTCAAGTTGGTGTTCTGGCATGCGGTGGAGACCAGCAAGTCCAAAAACTCGAAGTTGACGGGCCCATCCGTGGGCTGGAGGAACTCCCAAGGGCTAGAGAACACGACTGTCGTAATCCCGATCGCTTCCATGCCTTTTAGGGTTGACACCAGCTCGTCGATGCGTGCGACATCGCGACCACGCGCAAGGTTGAAGCGCTCAACCAACTCCAAGTGAAATAAGGTCGCAAATCGCTCAACATTTGTATTCAGGTTGACTTTTTTTGTGACGGCATGCAAGCTAGATATGCCAAGCCTCGCTGGGAGGCCCTTTAGCCCGGAAGGCGACAAGTATGACTGAGCAAGGATTAATAACAACAATGCCGCCCCCACAAAAAATAAGCCTGCTAGAAGGATCGGTGACTGGCAGATGCCACGGCCTGCGCGTCGTTTAGGCGTGTAAAGGGGCGGCATTGCAACACTGGACTGCTGGAAATAACGGGCAGAAGAGGAAAGGCTACTCGATAACCGATACAAATTTGATCTATTACCGAGTATGCAAAATGAGTTGCTTGCTTTGCTTTCGCTCTGTCTTGCGATGCTAATAACTTCCGTTTTTTTCCGTACTACTGTAACACTTCCCCCTGCTTACGATAAAAAAATTTCAACTCCACCTATGTCCTAGAAACGTTAAAAGTTTAACCGTCATGTCTGCCTCTAAACAGTATGACCGCCAATTGTGTGCCACTTGGAGTCTTTCATCAAGCTGTCGTAAGAACTCATGTGCTTCTCCAGCCAAGTCTCGTCCCATTAACTAGGGAAGGAAGTTATCTTTTAAATCAGCTCATCAGATGTCCACGTATTATGCTGGTACCGTTTAAATGGCAAACACCGAACACCAATTTTGTGCTGCGGTTTACGCTTACAAGCGTCATATTCTTCGCTTGGTGACACGCTCTCAGTAATACGGCACACTTGAGACATGGATGCGGATTCGTAAGAATCGTCTCACAACAAGGCACTTGTCGCATGAACCAGACCCTGAGCCGCTGCAGCCCAGCTGGGCTCAAAAAGCAGTATTCTCCTGAAACGTATACGGTATTTGTCCAAATGTAGAGTCGTTAGCATGTCCGGCGAATCATATTGCTTGCGCACAAAGGCGCAGAACTCAGGCAAACGCAGCTGCAGGGCGGCGCACTTGACGTGCTCAACCACTCAACCACAGCAAGGCTTAGCACTCCCAAGTCACGCTGGCTGTTACACTCCGTCCAGTATACGAACATAGTAAACACCGTTGCTCGCCTCATACGCGTCAAATGTAAAATGCACCCGTGGCGCTTTCAATTCGTACGAGGTACATGCACGAAAGCACCAACGGACCTCGCATACAGATCGCCTTAGCTTGCGTGGAACCGGGGCTAACCAATGCCCAGCATCTCGTCCGACAACGACGCGACCCCAATAACACGATACAGGATCATCGGGCATGCAACTCGAGCCCAAAGCTCCCATTACTGAAACCTCTGGTATTTTTCAATCAAGGGTAAACCAAAAGGGAAACGAAGGCCTTTTCCTCATGACGGAAGCAACGCTTGAGCCCGCATAGACACATTCGACCGACCAAAACGAAACGCATGTCACGCACTTGCGTTGACGGGACCTGGATACGTGCAATAGTGATAGACCCACAGAAATCAAACAGCAGCTCACTGCCGAGCCGAGCGGGACACGAGGTATGTGCAGTCGTTCCACGATGTGGTTCCTTAGGTACGGAAGGTGTGCGTGTAGGCGTATGCAAACTCTCCACGAACCCGCCGGCCTGTGCGCCAGCCCCGACGTTTCCCCCTGCCCACAAACACTCGCTCTATCTTACTTGCCTTTTTTCGCGCTTTTCCCCACATCCTAGAGCTGCAGTTTGCGAGTCTGCAGCAGTTTCAGCCCCACGGGCGCCACCGCCTGAAGCACCTGCAGCCGAGCGGGAAGGTAAGATGGAAGAAACGCCGATTCCTTGCCCCTTCTTACCATTTTCTGTTTGAGCTCTGAAATGACATAGGTGAAGCATAATACGCGTTTATTATGTTTATCATGGCAGCAAAGCGTGTTAAAACTGAGACAGCTTCCTCTTGGCCAGGAGGCTGAATATTGTCGGGCTCAGTAAGGTCAGGTGTCTGCCTATAACAAGGTCAGCTCAACGACAGCTCGAGCTAATTAATATTCACAAAGACGGATGGGGGGAGAGGGGCAAGGGGAACCAATACGGCATCACGTTAAGCAACGATCACAGGCAGGAGACGTTCTGGGGGCTGCCCCACTTTAGCTCATTACGGGTTGAAAGGGGGCTGACAAAGACGTGGGACAGCAACTCACTATTGCAGCTGATACCAAAGAACGTGCGATGATGACAGAAGTCAGTCATCTTCGTTGCTACAGGTATGAGCATCCGATGGCACCAGAAGCTCTTAACTAAGCCACGAGCACGAAATGCAGTGAATGGACGCCTCTAGGATACAGTGGAATGTGATTACAAAGCAGGTAAGTACATGTATTGGCACTCTACCTCCTGAAAAGCAAATAACCCACCAAGCTACCTGTGACGCGGAGTCCGCATCGGCGTACGACGGCCCTTCGTCCGGGGCTCCTCTGGAGCGCAACTCAGCAAAGCTACCCTCGCAGTGCTTGACTTCCTGCTTGGTATGAGTTGGTGGAGAGGAGGCGGACTTTGGCGTTATTGGAAAAACATGGTGATAATAGTGATAGTGCCGGGTGTGCGGCCCTGCGGGCGCAGCGGTTCCAACCGGACGTGTGCGGATCAAAGAGGCCGCGGCCGCCGAAGAAAGCGGCAATTTGCTGTGAGGTGATCCCGGTGGTTGTCGGCAACCACCGCCCACGGCCATCACGATCCATGTCCGCATGCCGCTGTCCGGCTAGCCGCTGCGTCCATGACGGAGATGGACAGGAACGCCCCCCTCGTCATGTAATGTAAAGAGGCAAAATGAGGGCCCCACAGACACTCGTGTGCGCACGGGTAGTGCTCAGTACCATGCTGCCAGTGAGCTGACAAAGGCCCATAGGGCATGCAGACATTCCCCCCCACCTGCAGCACTTCGAGCCGCTTCTCCGGCTTGTCATGTCTGCGAGAGGAAAGGCACAGGATGCAGGGGGGGGGCCAGCGCATCGCAGCAATACCCTCATTGACCGAGGTGGTATCCTAACGACGGCGATAAACTAACAAGGGAGACGGGACACCACATTACCCTGAAACCGCTGATAACCCACGTCCCTGCCGCCCACCCCCGGGGGCCCCCTATATCCATCTTTAGGGGGCCTACATCCACACGCACCTGCAGAACAGCCGTGTCTCCCTCAGCCGGACCATGGATCCATCCACACGCACCCACAGCCGCAGCAACACCAGCCAGCAGCGGGGCATCACACGCAGCTTCACCGTCAGGGAGCACACGCCGTTGTCGTCCAGGTCGGACTCGTACAGCGGCACCTGCATGGGCGCCGCAGACGGCCAAATATCCCCGCCCGGAACCTGACAGCCAGCCCCGCTTCAGGTCGTTGCGGAGGTCCCGAAAGCATTGCAGGCACATGTCGAACCTAGCCAGTGCAGATAGGAACCTATGCAGCCATGGATCGGAACCTAGGGGAGTTCGGTCGTCTGTGCGGCGTTTGGCTGCGGCATCACGGCTGCTGCAGACGATGTACTGGCGTCCAGTTCCCTATAAACCCTATCTATAGTTCCAGTCCCAGCCGCAGCTGTAGGATTGTCCCGGCGGCCGCGGCCAAATGGCTTGGGCGAGTCGACGCGGTCCTTGAGCGGAGTAGTCCACCGGCCGCTACGGAGGAAAGCGTGGAGGAGGACAGCTTACAGGAGTTGGCTACAGCAGGGTGACCTCACCTCGCCGTAGAACAGGATAGGATCTCGGTCCATGAGCAAGCCCCGGTCGATTTGGTCCGTAGTGGTTTGCCATAGGACGCAGACGCCTACGCCACCCGCGCTGTCAGCGACGCTGTCTGCCCCATTGCCCGACACATCCGGAGCTGTAGCAGTGGAATAGGAGGCATCTGCGACGGACGGTACAGCTGCAGCACTAGGAGTTGTTGCAGGTGCAGGGTCTTTACCCCGGGCTACAGTACTGGCGGCTCCGCAGACGAAGTCCGGGATGCCCCGCACGCCAGCGGGGTCGGCTGGTACTGCTGGCGAGAGGGCCGTTTCCTGATAACAGGCCCCCGATTGTGTAACTGTGCATGTGTAGGGCGTCGTGTATGTCCAGTCGTAGGTCAGTTGTACTGCCCTTTGTTGTTGAATCTCATGCTCACGGGCCTTGCGCCATTCCTGCATTAGCCAGGTGGCATCGTAAGGCAAACGGGGATAGACCGGCAAGCGGCGACGCTACTTGTTGGCGGCATTCCCCGGTGGCGGGCGATCTTCCCGAAAGTGTGTGGCAGAAGTGTGGGCTGCACCAGGCAAACAGTCACCGACAGCAAGAGGCTCCCCGCAGTGGAACCCATGATAGCCGCGGGAACCTGCGGCCGTGTCGCACTTCTTGGTCTACCAGCTATCCATGCTTCGACAGGGAAGGACAAGACTCTAGATAGGACCTACACTCAACCTATGGGAAGGGCCCAGACCAGTGGCAGCGTGGAGGGTACCAGTAGCAGCTTCTCACTGGCGGCCAGCTGGCGCCAGCATACTTGCCTCTGCCACACGGACTTGAAGAGGCGGCAAGTCCTCATGCTTCCACCCCTTGAGTGCATCCAGAGCGTTGAAGGATATGACCGTTCCGCTTGCTTCATGGACAAGTTCAACACGGTTCTGGGCGAAGACCATCTCCGGCAGCACCATGGCCGACAATATCCGCCTAGCGGGGAACCAGTCGGAAATGAAGAAATGACTTTGTGCTCATGTGGGCCATCTGATAGCGCTGCAGCTCTGGAGCACCTTCGACAGCTGCGCTCACCGGTATTCGTCCATATCTTTATCACCCATAATGGGACCAGTCACTGTCCGAATTGTCCATCCCGCGTTCCTAAAGGTCTCTTGCGCATTCGGCATAGTGCACTATAGTTCCTTAAGTTCCGAGGTTGTATAAAACGGAGGGTACTATACAATAGCGTTGCAGTGCTTTAACTTTATATTCTTCATTCGAAGCGATTATAACTGCCCAACATTGTCGTGCCTACTAACAATGAGAGTTAAATGTCTTACATTAACGACCTAACCGTCAACAAGGCGGATTTTAGTGTTTAGGGAGATTTTAATTGATTCATGATCACTTCCGCTGTAGGAACTGGACATATCATCAGCTTGTCTTCATAACTGCTTGGTTCGGCTTCCATTTACGAATGTAGTCCTATCGAATACCCCAAATCCAAGAGATTCTTAGTAGGTTGTGTTTGCTCATCTTTGTTCTACTCAGGAATGCTGCTAACGTTCCGTACGCATGGCCAGCTGTAGTCACACCACTCCAATTCCATAGCCTTATTTCCAGATCCAGAGGAAATACGATTCCAAAGCCCAGAATGAGACTCAAATGAATCGTAAGGGATCGTAATTCAAGCCAAAATCACAGTTACATGGTATCAGTCAAATCCACGTACGACGGTGCGTATGTGGACTGCCCAACTGTTAAAACAGCCGCACTCCTAGCCTACCACGTAACCCATGCAACACTCCACCTGGATCTGTCACCTACAGGCTGGATGTCAACAGCTAGACCGATCAACGCAAGAATTCTTGCATGTCAGAAGGTATGTGCACTACGTCCACCGGGAAACGAAGTCTTCAAGAACGATGGCGCCATTTCTAAACAAAACTGATGCCATTGTAGACATTTACCGCGGGCTGACGGTAATGTTCTCCTCCTTCTCGGTGAGGGTGCCAGCACGCAGCTCCTGCACACACAACACCGCAGGTTTCTGTAAGTACACGCAGACTACAACGCTTACGCACCCAAGCTCATAACTACAGATGCGATGGTTCAAACCCCAACCCCAAACCTGATAACCTCGGGAGATCAACCATCGACCTCATAATGGAAACATGTCCCCAAAACACAATTGGCCTTTCATAATGTCGAAGTCCCTTAGGTAAATAACCCAAAGAAACAAACCCACTGAACCCACAAATGAAGCCTATGTTTTCAGGCTCCACTGCATACCTGGACGGCAGCCAGCGGCCAGCCCGCACCCTGCCAGGCCAGGCGCACAGCCAGCGGCACATCAATGATGATCTCCTTATCAGTGGGCTTAGCGGCCGACCGGGCGGCGATCAGGTACTGACGGCCGACGTAGCCAATGTAACCGGCAACGTACAAGAAGCCGAAGGTGGGGATCTGCACAGGGGGAACCAACATCACCACACGAGAAGTCAGCACCTGGACTAACCAACATTACGAACCCAAAGTCGACACCCATAGTGACTTACGAAGACCTCGCCAGCATGGCCATACTTCAGTGCCAGGCCAGGGTCGGAAATCAGATGAGGAAGGCCATCGTTGCCGCACAGCAGACCGGCCTTCGCGTAGTTAGCGAACCGGTTCTTTGTGCGCTCAATGGTAGCCTTCAGAGCCAAAGCAGGAGCGCTGTCGGCCTCGTACTGCGCAGAAAAATAGTAGCTTCCTTTACATCACCATTGTAGCTTACAAGAGACGTACGTAGTTGCGATATCCACCTGCTTCAGACGCTTCTCAAGAGTCTTGATCTCCTTCTTCTCCAGCTTAGCGTAAGCCTTGCTCTCCGAGCAGGGGGTCAGGCCCGCGATGTCCGCAAGCGCAGCGGACGGCGAGGCAAGGCTCATCGCTGCAGCCAGGGTGGTGGCTGCCAGAACAGTGCCAACTTGAACAGCGGCATCGTTCTTCTGCGCCTGGCAGACAATGCGTACAGCCCGGCGCGGCGCAGCAACGCGCGCAGCGGGGGAGGCCTGCGGACGATTGCCAGTGTTAAACGTGAACCTATGGTCGTTCCCTAATCAACAAATCCTACCACAGCGGGAGTGCGCAGAGCAATGGCCATCTTGGAATGTGCGGGTTTGCTGGTCACGATGTCTGCAGCGAAACCTGGCCTTCTTGAGACAAAGGACGCGAGATCCCGTTCCCTCCCTGGAGATCCCTCCGAATGCCATTTTCTCCCAGGCCTCCCCGTATTCAACAACTGTATAAATTTTCACACTTATCATCCAATTTGTTAGCGCTCCTCGATACGTAGCGCTGTATGAATTTGTTGACGTCAAGCAAGGCTAATCGTGCAATGATCAGATTATTGAACATTTGATAATACTTTAATACATGTAAACACGAAGGCAGTTAACCTTGGTGCAGCTTGCATCTGGTTCCCAGGGGAGAAGCGTTGTGCATGTTTTCCCCTATAGGAGGCCACGTTGTCATAAGGTAATGGAAGCGCTCTCCTCTGCACCTATTGTCATAACAAGTTATCTTCATGGTATCTGTTCCACGCCGTGACGAGTCCGGTCCGCTTGGTCGATGCTGTTTGCGTCCACCTGACTCTTAGTAACGTTCATACAATGAAGGGTTTGAGACATAGTCCCGGACTGCAAGTTACCAATTGCTTGCACCTCAGAATACCAGGCGCATGAATGGGAACTGTTACTGTGTGAGGGACAGGGGTGGGCCAAAATTGGCAAGGTCACAGTTCGTTACACAGCCAGCTTTGTATCCCACATCCCGGGTCGTAGCCAAAACACGTGCACACCTTATGCAGCGTTGCTGTAATGCCTATTCTTTTGCGTTTGCTATCGAGAAGGCGACTGTGGAGTTTCGGTGCAAACTTGGAAGGGTGTGGGGTAGCTAGGGCTGGCCAAGGCTGGTAATCAGGATTGCAGCACGCTGAACTTTCTTGTTTCCACTGATACCATGCAGCTCACGGGAAGTGCCATAACCATTGGGGGGGCTGCGGAGTGAGGTCGAGACAAACTGTTATAAGGCGAACAAACCGTCGCTGCAACAGGATCTTCTGTGCAAACGCAACGGGAATGTAACGTTCGCTGCTGAGAAAGTATCCATAGATCTGACAGCTTTAATCTAGACCCTCATCCAATGTACCGGCAAACGATGAGGGGAACACGATTGATCCACCCAGCACTGACATACGGGGCTGTGGATGGAAGGATGTGATTACTACCTGCATGCGCTGCGATTCGTTGGCCCTATTTCCAGTAAAGCCGTTCTGTTTAAGGCGTCTCGGTGTCCTTAAGGAACATAGATAACCCTTACCCTCAGGCAATCCCGGGTGCCAACGAATTACTAAGGATGACAACGAAGCCACACTCCTATGGGAAAACACGTTTTGGTGAAGGACGTCACATGGATCTAACCGGATCCTTGGTGCTACCCGCATCTAAACACTGCTGAGGCATTGATATGCAGGGGCCCTGTGGGGTGACGGCATTCCTCTGCATTTGTCCAGTAGCACCAAGTCTGCACAGCCAGCGTCTAGCGGAATGCGACGTCCATTCCTTTGGGGTGTCATTATGAGAAAGGATTTTTTTTAGGAGACATGTACGCACGAGGTGGAGGCGACCATCGGAGAGCAAGGCCGGGTTGTGGAGGGAAGTTGTGCTCGCACTGCCTTGCGGGTCTGTTTATTGCTATTATGGGAGTTTTACGGCAGCCGGTGCAATAAACGGGGATTTGGGAACCCTTCAAAAGCCGGTTTGTACGGATAGGTCGCAAATACGGGCTACTAGGGGGACACGTTCATGCGGCCATATACAACATTCAATAATATCAAGCAGTAAGCCCGCAGTCATAGGCACAGTGTAGGTATGGGGCTGGAAAGATGGGGGGGGGCTGGGCATTTGGAGCGGACGCAAGACACCTGCAAACCGTGACGCGGTTCGGCAACGGTTGTGACGGTTTCGTAATCTTCGCCGTCCCCGTCTCACGGAAGCAGTGGTTGTGTACGTAGCTATGCATTTATATCACACGTCGCTCATTGTTACTTGCAATCCACGGCGTGTTCGGCACCACTCGACAGGTATGTGTTTTCCTGCTGGCAAATTTGGTTGTCGTACCGTAACTAGCGCGGCTCTGAACTGGGACTAGGACGCTTTTTCCATAGCTCCATATAGCATCTGTGACGATTTACAATGCTGAATTCGAAGGCTCTACCTGAACCACAGCAACGCCTACGAAGCTTGCGGCCTGTCCTTAAGCATGGGAGGTCAGTGTGCTTTAGGTTGTGTCTTTAAAATCGTATTCGCCGATTATAAAATCTAAAAGCAGTGTATTGAATATGTATACAGGTTGGTAACATGTCGGGCCGTCCAGCCGGCCGACAAGGCTGAGGTGCAAGAAGCACCAGGTGGCAATTTGGCCAAGAAGCAAAGCGGAAAGAAATTGGACCAGAAGGTGGCGCAAAGTGCCTCGTCTCCAGAGGAAATTCGCGACGTCCGATTGAAAAAGGTGCGGCTCGTCAACAGCCATTCCGGCATAGTCTCGTCATAATTCTATGTGTCGCCGATTTATCGAGCAAAACTATCCTAAATTTGGACAGGTTCAAGATCTTCGCGGGCTGGGTCAAGAACCATATGCATATGGGTTCGACCGCACGCATTTCACGAAAGACTTGCAGGTACGTGCTGAGGAAGGTGGCATGGATTTCGTAGCCTACTTACGTTTTTTGTACACGGATTACAATCTGACTTAAGCTATATAAGGAAGGGGCCTTGCGGTGATACCCAATCCAAAGCTACCTGCCAGGGACGCAGCATTCCCCACGTCTAAACGTCTTTCATCTACTAATGTAGCTCTCGCACTTAGCTCGCCCAGCACCAATTTTCCCAAGCTCCTCCTGCCCCTGATCCGAACTTCTGCAAACTATGCAATCCCCAGGACCTGTACGCCTCTCTACCCAATGGCGCTGAGGATGAGGCAGGCACGCTGGTGGCCGTGGCGGGGCGAGTGCTTGCCAAACGGGTGATGGGCAAATTGGCGTTCCTCAGCCTGCGGGATGACAAGGGACAGATTCAGGTGGGGACCATGCCCGCTTGCACAGCCGGTCAGCATGCGCCCTGGAGCCTAGGGTACCCGAAGGAGTTTATGAATTTGGGGATTGGGGGCCCTGTCCGAGGCTGCCGGTGCTCTCCTTTGTGGGAAGCGGGGACGCGATGACCCAGATCAGGACGTAGGGTTTTGTTGTTTTAGGGGCAGGAGAGAGGGAGTTACTCAGAGCTTGGGAAAATGGGTTATCATTTACTTCAGTTTCTACCTGGCCCCTGCTCTCGTATCGGCTAGAAGACATCAAAGGAATGGAGGTTAATGCGCAAGGATGGTAAATAAAGCTACTAGCTGCTATCTGCTGTACTATCTGCTCATTCCATTTTCCGTCCGGAGCAGCCAAACTAGGCAGTCGCCTTGGTGTGAATGACTGCTAATCGCTGAGGCCGCGTTTGCGTGGTGTGGGCCAACGTGGGTCGGCTCGGTGCCCACCCTTCCTTCCATACCACGGCCAGAACCCTCAGCAAAAAGCCCTCGCAGACTGGAGAGGCAACCCCACCAACCCCGGGACTGGAGAGGCAACCCCAACCCCACCAACCCCAACCCCGCAGGCATCCCGGTGCTTCTTCCGCCCTATCTACCCACCCCGGTCCCCAGACTGCACCCGGGGGCACCTATATCTGTGCAACCGCGCCGACCACAATTTCGTTTGGATTTAACTTATTTACCCGCGGCCCCGATTCTTTCCGCCACGCAGCTCTACGTGGATCGCACCCGGCTGGATGCTTCCCAGAACGAGGGCTTCAACACCGTCAAGGGGCTGGTGGATGTGGGCGACATAGTGGGCTGCTCCGGAACCGTGAAGCGCACGGAGAAAGGGGAGCTGTCTGTGGTGGCCACCGGCATGCAGGTGGGAGGGGCGTGTGTTGCTGTAGGGGGAGAGGAGTTTAAGATGAGGCCTGGGCTGGTGTCTGAGGGAGTGGGGCGGGACTGGAGCTGGAGCTGGGTGGTGCTACTGATTGCCACGTGGCCTGGGGGTTACGCACGCGAGCGCCGAGGGGATGGAGGAAATGAGGGTGCCGGAACAGGTATTGGGTACAGCCGTTTGGGAGCAATCCTGGTAATTTCCCTGGCTTTCCCTTCCTCTTCATGATATCAGGCTGACCACCCAACTAGCAGATGATGGTCTGCAGGCTCTTACAACGGGCGGTGGTCGGTGCCATTACGATTTGTTCCGTTGGGTCCGTTACCGGAATTGGAGATTCGCGCATTCACAGATCCGAATCTGTACTGTATCAGATTCCGTATATCATCGGCACTTTGTGCAAGTTAGGGCCCCATGCAACCTGAATGGTCCTGCCTTCTTGGAGACAACTTAAAACTAAGCACCAGCTAAGCACGAAGCCAACTTGGACCATGGGGCCCCTACACAACCACACATCCCTACGGCCATTCTCTGGGGCTGCTAGCGCCTTGGCTGCTTGTACAGGCACAGCTGCATTGTACTCCACTCCTATATCTTCCTTCCTTTCTCCCGCCCATCCTCCGCGGTAATCCGTCCCTTACCCGACCACCCCTCCCTTATGTATCTGGAGCTGGGAATGGAGGGGGGGGAAATTGGCGGCTGGCCTTTCGACTTCTGTGATTTGGGTTGCTTACGTCTTATGCCTTACCTGATGTTTACCTTAAAATCTGCCTCCCCATCCCCGACCAGGTGCTGACGAAGTCTTTGTTGCCCCTCCCGGACAAATGGCACGGACTGTCCGATGTGGAGAAGCGCTACCGCCAGAGGTACCTGGACCTCATCATGACGGCTGAGGTGGGTGAGGCCATAGAATGTGTTGGGCGGAGCCAAGAGGGATTCGGTTCATGGGATTTGGAGCGCGCGGACCTGCAAGCATACCCCTAAGACTTTACTGGGCCGATCCGTGGGTCGCTTTGTAGGCTCACATCCGCTCAGCTCCATCGGGCTGACGGGTGCTGAGCAGACCCGTGGGTCAGTCGGCCGGTCGGTGGCGGTACTTCAACGGCTACGCAGCCGGGGCGGTGTAGGGGCGGGGGCTGAGCCGTTCCGATGTGGCTCAGGGGGAGTTATGCGCGGCCCAAGCTCTCAGGGAGTCGTGAGAGGGGCATGGGAAAAGCTTGGCCGAACCCCAAGCCGCACAGTGCCCTTAACTTCGCCGCGTTAGAGGTTGTGTGCGAATCACCCGACCAGTCACATCTTCCACATGTACGCGCACGCGCAACAGCCTTAACCTGTCTCTTGAGGCGCCCTTTGGGCAGAGAACTGGGCCTATACGTCAGAGAGAGACACACACACACGCGCGCGCGTCACGCCTTCTTACAGGTTCGTGACACATTCCGAGCCCGCTCCCGCATCATCTCCACTTTGCGGCGGCAGCTGGAGGACCGGGGCTTCATTGAGGTAGGAACGTCGTGGCCGGCTAATGAAGGGGATTATCTAGAGCTTGCCTCCATGCAGTGCATGCCCACCTAGTACTTCGATGTCTGGCCGGCAGAATAGTTGTTATTTGGCTGGTCGACTGGCGGGGCAGGCAGGTTGGGTGTGTTTTACAAAAGGCATCTTTGCAGACGAAGCAGCCCCCAGGGGAACCTCTGTGTTACGAAATCTGACGTTGAAAGGGGGGCCAAGGACCGGGGGAAGGGTTGTCGCTTAGGCACGCTTAGGCACGCTTCGGGGCTCAGCCGCTCAGCAATCCGCGGGATGTCCGGTGGGTACCTCCTCATGCCCCACATGCAACCTACCCTGCACCATCCCAAAGCCCTATCCACAGCTATTCCATCCTAATCCACAGCTGTTGCATACTCATTTTCCTTTTCCTCCACCATACCCCAAGCCCAATCGCATTTCTTAAACGTCAACCCTGCTCATGATGTAGTCTTCCTAAACCCTAAACCCCTTCGAACTTGCAAAATACTTGACCACCTGTAATTTGCCTGGGACATCAAGATTAATGATTGCATTTTTGCACGCTTTCATTTTATTCCCTCCAACTTCTGTTGCAGGTTGAGACGCCCGTGTTGGAGTCAGTTGCTGGCGGTGCGGACGCGAGGCCCTTCCGCACCTTCCACAACTCCCTGGGCCGGGACCTGACACTGCGCATCGCCACGGAGCTGCACCTGAAAAGGATGGTAGTAGGCGGATTCGAACGGGTGTTCGAGCTGGGCCGCGTGTTCCGCAACGAGGGTGAGACAGTCATGGTAGCGACGGGACGGCCCCACAAGGTGCCACACAGGAATACATGCAAAAAGTAAAGGGTCACCTGTCGCGGGTTCCCAGAGGAGACCGCCCTGAGGGGGGGAAATCATGTGCAAGGAAATCAGAAAGTGAACTGCCGGCGTCTAAAGTTCGAAATACCGGATTCCTAAGCGATGAAATCATCGACCCATGGCTCTGGAAGTAAAGCCCCATTGCGTTACCGACACTTTGCTGTAGTGCAGACAAGCTGTAGCTACTGAAAGGATGAGGAGCCGTAGGTACGGAAAGTACTGAAAGGATGTAGTCGCTAGTAGTCCGGCTAACTTGATGACCTTTACTACTACGCTGCCTCCTAAGCCACCCTTTTCCGTTCTCCTCCAGGGCTCTCCAGCCGCCATAACCCCGAGTTTACATCAGTCGAGATTTACCAGGTTTGTGCGGATGATGGAGGGGAGACGTTGGCGTTGGCCGGGTTGCCATGTTTTCCTTTATTGAACCCTACTCCCCTGCCACTCTATTGGTCCCCTCTTGACTGGCCCCCGCCTCTTGAATGCGCCTCGCAGCCTTCCGATAATTATCCCTCCCCCCATTGCTCCTCTCTCGTCCCAAGCTTTTAGCTAGTTAGGCCTTTTGTCGCCGCATGGATGGGGGGGGGGAAGACCCTCCACCGCCCATTCCCCTTCCCGCCACACTCACACGTACCGTCCACCACATCCCGGAGCAAGGAACCGAGTCTCGTGTTGTTATTAAAGGCTGCAAAACTATAGATACGGTCCGAAACGATTGGCCCTCCGGCGCATCCTTATTTTATTCGCCAGCGCACGTAACTGTCTCAATCCCCAACACCTGCAGACAACGGTTTTGCAATTTTGCATGTCATTCCACCTGCCGCATCCGCGCGGGGCCCCTCAGGCATATGCCGACTACAATGACATGATGAACCTGACTGAGGAGCTGATCCGGGTGTGTGCAATGGAGGTCCGGGGCTCGGCACAGGTGGGGGTGGGGTGGGGTGGTAAGGGGGGGGAGGGGCACGTGGTATGAATGAGAGTCGGGGTGACCTGGCGCACAGGCGGGCGCCACTTGTGCGTGTGTGGGGCACGATGCGAGTGAGCGGTCTCAGCCGCCTTGCTGCGCTTTCCCAGAGGTATGGCGGCGAGATTAGGACAGCACGGGGCCCGCTAAATGCACCAGTGAGTAAATGAATGAGCATATTGTGCTGTGCTGTGTCTGTGTCTGTCCAAAAGCTGCGGACCTGGTGGGACAGTGGGAGGGTTTGGCAACTGGGGCGCCCAGTTCCTCTTCCACGTTGTACTTCACAATCAAACAACTGCCTAATCCCATCTGTATTCCCCGTCCCAATATCTCAAAATGCTTTCCCTGCTTCTTCCTGTTGCCGTTCGCTGCGCTCTGTACGCGGTGCGCTGCACTCAGGTGTCATATCAGGGCGTGGCTATTGATTTCTCCCAGCCTTTCCGCCGCGTCACCATGGCGGATCTGGTTCGTGAGGCGTGCGGGCTCGACTTTGAAGCCGCGATGGCGGCCGCTCGTCAGGTGGGCAGCGCCGAGGCGGCTGCAGCGGTACTTGAGGAGACCCGCGCAGCGGCAGAGGCGGCGTTGCTGGTACGTACCGTTTAACCCGTCTTGTCTATCCGTCTGTCTCTCTGCCTATCCGTCTGTCTGTGTGTATGTGTGTTTGTCTGTCGTCTGCCCATGCTGATGGGGGCTGGCTCCTTGTTGGGTGGTGTACGACCAACTTCCTGATGTGGAAGCACTTTTGAGCGCCACTGTCGCTGCCACTGGGTTCCCGTCAGCATGGTCATTATCTTCCCCGTTCCGCCTCCTTATTCGCACACCTGCACTCCTGGTGCTCAGCTGTCCTGTCGGTAACCCTGTACAGGCAATTTCTTTCCTAGTACGTTATCGGCAGGGCCGTTTGCGTCTGCCTGGATCATGTCGGGAAAATGGCCGGCAGTGTTTTTTCCTAACCTTCCAATCCTGCGGCTCCTGCCCGACTATTCGCGCCTTGGTCTTTTATCCCGTTCCTTCGTGATCGGATATGCTGGGCCGCCCGTTATCCGCGACCCGCACTCTCGGGCCCTGCAGGCGCACCCCGACAGGGAGGTCCGCAAGTCCCTGACTAAGGTGCGAGTGGGGCAGACATGCCCCATGTACTGCGTGTTCTTGCAGCACGGCTATGCCCTATGCGTGCGTGAGTTTGTGTGGGTGTGGGTGCGTGTGTCTGTGTTGGCATGACACAGGAAGGCTCTTTCACACCTCTTGTTTCAATCCAGAACGCGCGCCACCTTGTTGGCTATCGCTTGTCTTGTCTGGCTTTCATCATACTGCACATGGCACCATTTTTCAATTAGCATTTCCTTCTCTCGCATTTCCCTCTCTCGCATTTCCTTCTCGCTTTTCCATCTCATTCAAACCAACCAAGCCAAACCGAACTCTTCCACCCGAATCCTCCCCTCCGTATGCTCGTCGCCCTCTTCCCCGCAGGTCCGCTCCGCGCCCTCCCTCGGCCACTTGCTTAATGAGATGTTTGAGGCGGTGGGCGAGGCGGGTTTGGTGCAGCCCACCTTCGTGCTGGAGCACCCGGTGGAGATTTCCCCGCTGGCCAAGCCACACAGATCCAAACCGGGGGTCACGGAGAGGTTTGAGCTCTTCATCTACGGTGCGAGCTAGGTGGAGCTCACCGCGGGCGGCAGGATTGGGGTTAGGAGGCGCGTGAGGGCGCCAGGGCGTGGATGAAAGCAAAATGCCGGGGGAATCAACAAATTGGTTTGGGGGGCCCAGGGGGCATAAGACCTTTTCAAATCGGGGTGGCTTGGCAAGCATCAGGTCCGTACTCCGGTACTCGCACCAGGAGGGAGGACCAAACACTCACGGGAGGGAGGAAGGGGCGGGGGAGAAAAGGATTGGGCTGACTTCATGGGCTCTTTTCCTTCCTGACGGTGCGTTGTGATTGTTGTCTTTCGGATGGATGTGCCATCACGGTATATCCGTGCCGTCACGATGTGTCCCGTGCAGCCTCGTGCATTATGAACCTGTCCTTCCTCTTCCCCTCTTCCCTTCATTCCCCTTCCACTGATTTCCTCCGTTTTCCTTTCCCCTCCTCTAAACTCCGTCAGTTGGTGCTCTGGACGCCGGTAATCGCCTCTTTTGACGTTCGCATATAACCCCTTAATACTCCTCCCGCCGTCCTCCCTCCACAGGTCGCGAGCACGCCAACGCCTTCTCCGAGCTGACTGACCCGGTGGACCAGCGGGCCAGGTTCGAGGCCCAGGTGGCAAGACACAACGCTGCATTTCAGGAGCGGCAAAAGGTGCAGAGGCTGGGCGAGAGAGGCGACGGCGGAAGTAGAGGAGGCTCTCTCCTTAGGACTCCTGCAGTTTCGGGCTTTGGACGCCGGCGGTTCATTTCTAATTTCCTGGCACATGATTTCCTCCCCCCCCCGTTAAGACACCAAACGCGATTGGGAGAAAGCTCCGAGCCTGGTTGTTTGGGGGCGGAAATGGATGAAACCATATAACGAAATAGTTATCTGACTATCGACTACGCGTGTCGGAGTAAACTGAAAATTTCGAATTGCCAGGGACTGTGCGCGTCCCTGCCATTTTCTTATTACTGTAATCCTTCTCGCTCCCCGCCGCAACTCGTGCTTTGCGTTGTGGTACGCAAAGCACAAGACGCCCAGTAAACCCTTAGACCCTATCGTCAACGCGAACCTATCCCTGCCCTTCCCACCTTTCCCGTTTTCACCGTTCTCTGCGTGTGGTTCCCCAGCACTGCAACCTTCTGAACACATCCCTGCACACGATACCCCTTACCTCACAGTCCGTACCTCTCAACCCTCCCCCGCTGCACGCAGGCCAAGCTTGAGGCCCAGGCTGCAGGGCAGGAGGCGCCCCCGGGGGCGGACGACGACGAATATGAGGTAGGTGGATGGGTGGGTGAAGGGGGCATGTGGACATAGTGGGCATGCTCTGGTGAGTTTTAAGGGCGCCGGGGAATTCAAACAGCTGGGTTACAGGATATCAAGGTGGGGTTTGGGATAGGGTGTTTTAGGGGTATAGGGGGCGATCCGGGATCTTGACCGGGTCGTTGCTGTCCCCTTCCTCCGCGTTGGCTAACTGGTCGGGGGGTTGTTGGCAGCCCAACCCTGGGCGAAGGGGGTCCAGGGTGCAGGCCACAGGGGGAGTTATGGTCCATGTCGGTTCGGACTGTGGTCTGGGCAAATTACTGATCAGCACTGGGAAGCGAGCGCGTCAGGAAACCCTACGGGTGCCGTGAAACCCCTGTCTTTTCGCGAATGCGTGCATGCGCCCTGGTTAGCCCCCCCCTCGACAGTTAAGATTTTGGTGAAAGAGGAACACCGTCACCCCATTGGCACCGTCGCCGTTGCATCAGGTGGCTCTGGACACGGATTTCATCGCGGCACTCGAGTACGGCATGCCGCCGACTGGAGGCCTTGGCATCGGAGTGGACCGGCTGGTAATGCTGCTCACGGACAGTCCGTCCATTCGCGATGTTATCGCCTTCCCCACCATGAGCTGAATGGCTACAACAGCTAAGCTAACAGGGTAGAGTACAGCTCAACTCAGCCCAGCGCGGAGGCCAGCCGAGCCCGAGCCCGAGCCTGAGCTGGACTTGATTAAGCTGGAACACGTTGGGTTAGTAGTTGGGTTGATCCACCTGGACTCGTGTCCTCCGGCGCGGATTCTAGCGCGTATTTAAAATATCAAGGCGGATTAGGGCCTTGGGAAGGAGAAGCCTGTGAAAGAGGGGCCCTGTTCGCAGTCATTTATTGGGCATGACAGTGACCTACGTTGCTTGGGGGCCTACGTTACTTTTGGTGTTTGCGTTGCTTTTGGTACTGTAGCTTTTGGCATTTGATTTCTGGTAACAGGGACGCGTATGAGGCGGTTTATGAAGGTAGTGGGGAGAGATGCACGGTCTCGCAGACACCCACAGCGCAGGCGGGCGAAACATATAGCGTGGAGCGTGTGATCCTTGTCGTGTTGTGTGGTGTACGGAGGCGCCAGGGGGGTTGACGGAGGGTTTGGGTTTCCTGAATGAGGTCGGATGACTGGGCACGGAGTGGATGTTCGTATTGACTTCCGTGATGGTACCTACAGTTCCGTCGTTCTTGCAATCCCATGTGCAGTGCGGTGGAGGGATTTGTGTATCGTGCATCATGACAGGGGTTGAAGGGCGACACAAGGGAGGGAGGCCGTCGTTCCGTGGCGTCAGTAGTGCTAGAGGGTGCAGGTGCGGGTGCTGGGTGCAGGCAAAAAATTATCAAGAACGTGATTAGCGAGTTTGGGTCATGCGCGGGTGGGAGCAGAGAGACGTCAGACCCTGGGCGTCCTTGATCATCCCATATGGTGTAAGAAGCGCGCCGAGGTTGCCACGTGGGCAGGCGTGCTTTGTGAGTTTTCAGTGGTCCATAATCGCGGCCCGCGGTAGTTCCTCCTGACGGCTTTGGCTGTGTACGCCATCTCTGGGTACCTGCTTTATCGATGGGCGTGGCTTGCTGTGTAGCAATTAGTAAGCAAGCACTGCGCATCAACTTGGTGTGCAACTGATGAAGACGCTCGATCCAATGCGTCAGCTCAATACGATAGCCACCACACGCCGGGTTGCCTATAACCTTCATGCATGCCGTTACAAAGCCATGAACCTCTCGCAGGAGGCGCTGCAGGAGAGGACCCGCAGCTTCACCCAGCGATCCAAATGTCGGTCCAAATGCCAACACATGTGGCATTCCTCATTGGACACACCTGCATAGTAGCCAGGTCCTCCCCTCAATGAAAACCGCGTTGGTGTTTCGTTCGGGGAACCGAAATTCTCTCTTTGTTGTGTATATCCCAGGCCAGGCCATGGGAGTCCAGCTGGGCCACCTCATATTGAATGGACACCCCGCCTAAAGCTCATGTCATGGAACCTTTCCACTTGATGTGAAGCCCTTAGGCGGGATGCAATATGGTTGGTATGCAGTGGAGGTCGGTGACGGGAATGCAGACAGCGGGATGTTTTCCACTGGAAAGATGCGGTTAGTCGATGACCAAGGGATACCCAGGAATGTGAAAAATTGACCCTTATTGAATCCCTCTGAGCCCTTCGGGTATGCCTCCGAGTGTGGTTGCACGAAATGCAATACACATGCCCTTCAACTGGCTGTCACCAGCCTGTATACTTTGTGGGCTGAGGAGGGGGCGGAGGCCTGCCTCCTTCTTCACTTGGGCAGCAGTGGTGAGTTGTTGACGGAAGGGATGCGTGAGACCGGGGCACGACGAATGGGTGTTGGACCCAGCTGGATGAATCCCTCAGTTAATACAGCACATCTGAAACAGTACGTACGTGAATGGCAAGAACGTAGCCCAAACCAGAAGGTCTGCCAAGGTCAATAAAAGAAATTATTGAAATACTGTGCACAGTCCTATGAATCGCGCAAGGGTCTCAGTCAACTGTCCATGCTTGCCAACAGCAGCCAAGATCTAGACTATGTATCATACCGCAGTGTTGGGGGTTACTCCTCGTTGTCATGATGCCCGTTGATAAGAGTTGCTTTCGACACAGCAACTATGTAAGCAAACATAAGTGCAAACACAGTCGTACACAAGCAGAGAATGTACAAGGTGATAACAATATGCCAGTAACCTGAAACCACTGCATCTGATAACAGGGACGACAATCAGACTATAGCCGGCTTGGAGAACCTGTTATGACCGTACGGTTCTGGAGCGCCCTGGAGCACCCTGGGAGTGAGCTAGAGAGCCCAGGCCATCCCTTTCCTCTCTCTTTCAGCGACGGGATAAGCCAGTTGCGTCTGCGACACTGCTTTCCGAGTCGCAAACATGGCTTCCTACAAGCCCAAGAGCGTAAAGGATGTGCCGGCGGAGGATTTCATTAAGCACTACGCCGCGCATTTGAAGGCCAATGATAAGGTGAGATTTAAGTTGATAGGCATGGAAGGATAGGAAATCAGGCGCCCTGTGAGCTTAGCGGAGCAACCTACTAGCACGGCGGCTTTCCACACGTAAAGGGGGAAAATTAGACGCCATCTGCCAGCGTCGGTTGGAGAGCTTCACTATTCAAATTCCTTCAGCATTGGAGCGAATTGTGGAGCCCTTTTGCGTAGCGCCGGCGCCAAGTCCAGTTGCAGCTGCAGCAGCAAATTTTTGGAGCTGCTGCAAAGCTTATAAATGGCTTAAAAGGGATGTTTATAACTTTGTAACCAGCAGTGCAATAAGCTTTGGCGCTGCGCGGTGGACCATGGCAACGGCGGCGTTTTCACTTACCCTTGGGCGTATGATCATGAATACCACAAGCTTCCTGCATGTTTTCATTAGGTCATTTGAGGAATGGGGTTGAGCGTGGTCACTGGCACGCCTGAGAATCGGCCACCACTAGGTCTCCCCCAACCAATTTTTTTGTGCTCACAGATTCAGCTTCCCAGCTGGGTGGACGTTGTGAAGACGGGTTGCTTCAAGGAGCTGGCCCCATATGACCCCGACTGGTACTACGTGCGCGCCGGTAGGTTTATGCTTCGGGAGTTATCAATGCTCCCCTACCCCCCACTTGCAGCCTAGGCACACCTGTGTCGTCCACTTGAACATGATTGCTTTGTACGCGTCTACAGCTGAGGATGCTATCACAGCCTAAGGCTATGCAAGACGAAGAACAGATGTCAACTCAACTTGATTACTACCCCGACCCCCTGTTTCTGAAAACCTGTGTTTATCCACAGCGTCCGTGGCCCGCAAGCTATACATCCGCCAGGGCATGGGTGTTGGCCTGTTCCGCATTCAGTACGGTGGCCGTAACAAGCGCCGCGGCTCCAAGCCCGAGTTCCAGTCGAAGGCGTCGGGTAAGCTTAAATCGATTGGGCGGACAGGAACGTATCTTGTAGTATCAGGTGTGGATACTGCAGGGCATGTGCGTTGCAGGGTATGCCATCCTCCGGGCAGCCCCCGTTAAAGCTCTGCAGACTTTAGGGACGATACCAACCCAATGATGCCTAGGTTTGTGCCTCAGGGGAAACATTGTAGCTTGCTGCCTCAAGGTCTGAACAGTAATAGCATCCTGCAACGCGGCAGCTTTGTGGTGTTTACAGAACGGCATACCAGCGGAATGGAAGTGCACTGCCTGTGAATGCATCAGTAGGGTTGGAAGGGCTGGACTAGGCAACAAGGCGGCGGCATTCTTTTCGAAGAGTAGATTGTCTATGGGGGATCAGTGGATGGTTAGTCGTACCCATATTGCTGTCGGCATAAAAGCGATCATGTTTTATGTGTACGCTTGTTCGTACATCTCCGCCTGAAGTGCCTCTCCCAATGCCCTCGCTTGTACCATCTGTCAGGCGGCGTCGTGCGCCACATCCTGAAGCAGCTGGAGGAGTGCGGTCTGGTGGAGAAGGCGCCGGAGAAGGGCCGCCGCCTCACCTCCAACGGTCAGCGCGACATGGACCAGATTGCCGGCCGCATCGCCGTCAACCTGCAGTCGTTCTACTAAGCGCGTTTGCTCGTGGCGCGCCTCCTTGTGTGCCTACCTAGCCGTTTCGGAAGTGCACTCGGGCCAGCAGCACAGTCAGCAGAAGCAGAACCTGCCAGGCGGGTGCGAATGAGAGCCCCCGCCGGCTACGGGTGGCAGTCGAGCGTCGTATTGCTCGCATTCTTCATCGTCGCAAAAGGATCTTTCGTGCGACGGCAAGGGGTGTGTTCGGATGCGAGGGCGGCGCACGAGCTCGGAAGCGGCCCTACTGCAGCAACTCGCGCCTGGCAGCAGCTACCGTTGTGGGATCTGCATGTCGCCCTGGGTTCCATGGCGAGCGTCGGCACCAAGGGATGCCGAAGAAGCCCTGTCTCGGGAGGGGTTGGGTAGACGGACAGCATTAAGGGGAGGCGGCCGCTTGGTGATCTTGCATCATTGGTGTCACCGTGTTCTCGTCCGAAATCCCGTTTTCGTGCTTGCTCTTTTGGCCCGGGGTGGTGATCGTCTTCTTTCGGCGGCAGGAGTGGTCCAAATGCGAGGGAAGCCTACTGCGCCTGTTCGCGATGCCTCTGGCTGTAACAAGAGGGAAAGTTTTCATTCGTCTGTCCGCATTAATTGAATATCAACCACCTCTGTCCAACCTTTGGGTGTCGAAAACCCTAAAGTCCTCGGCGGGGGACCTCTATCTAGTGCGTTTACCTACGAGGACGATTTCTACAGCAGTTTTAGCCGCTATCATTGCCTCAGCTACAGGGCGCGAGGAGGGATTGTCGCCTCGTTCCATCAGGAGCAAAGAAGCGATAGGAAATAGGCTCAATGACCACCGGGGTGTCTTAAGGAATTTTATATAGCAGGGTCGCTATGCACCATTTTAAATGGAGTAACAAAAAGGGGTGCCTGCGAAGAATGCGGCAGGCTCAGCTTATCTTGTCTTTTGTACCCTTCAGCCGAAGCCTGCAAGCAGTTTCGGTAAACGCGCTATCCGTCCATTAGGGTCGCACACCATCCTTTTTTAATCCCGCTTTCCAGGGAAGTCAACCGCCAACCTCCACGTTTCCTGCGAGAGTACATTCAAGATGTTCGCTTCTGATTTTGATCCCGCACACGAACCGAGACGCTTACAGCGCGGCTGCGCCAGTGCAACACCTTCTGCCACGATGCTGTCGGTTCAGTCGCAGTCGGCTTTACGGGCGCTGTAGGTATGGTTTGCAGATGTACATGTTCTGGGACGCAAAACTGTTCAGGTCCAAACACTAAGATTAGGCCCGTGGGTTTCTGTAACGCCAGTTTTCCTCGATCTTGCTTCAAATTGTGACAGCACATGCTGCTGCGGAGTCGGCCAGAGTGGCATCCACCAGACCGTTCCCCATCAAGGATGGCTGGCTGCACATGTGCATACAAAACGTAGTGTGCAATTCCCAGCTGTGACCCATAATAAGCCTTTCAGGATAATAATTTAGCATTATAATAACGCACTTAGGCTTGCTGATGGAGCATCCCCTGACCCCGCAGGTTAATCGAACGGAGTTGACGCCGCATAGTGGTGAGGATGCAGGATAACGTAATGAAGATCCGTGCCGGGCGCAGCCGCAGTACTAAGTTGGTAAGTATGCGTATTGCAGCCGTAGCAGATGTGATAGTTGCGTGAACGGCAAAGCCACAAATCCGGTTATAGGGACGAAGTGCCACTCTCCTTTCCCATTTTTGGATATATATAATCAACTGCCTTACCGCTAGGTTAAACGTTTGATTGGTGGCACTGCGTATGATTGGCTTTAAAGATAATTAGCAGTACCAAATACGGCACTATGGGGACTTGCTAGAATCCTTGGTGTACCAACACCAATTTTCTGGCACATATTCGTCCCTCATCCCATGTTTTTAAGGTCAAAGATATAAGCGTTTCAAGAGTGTACACGCCGACACCCTAAGGCATGTCTTTTGCGTTGGTTAACTTGTACCCCCATATTTAGGCACTCGCCTGTTTTCTATACTGAGCTGAACCTCTATATCTTTAGGAGAGTGACAGACGTCCTTTGGAGGGAGCCACGTCGCAAGCTGCAAAGACGGGCTTTAGTCCTGGTGCAGAATCCTCTCCTATTATATCTCTGCTTAACTGTCTTCTCCGGTAGACATGGGCAGGCTATCGTCTTGAAAACGGTGAGTACTTGCGATGAGACATCGTTATTGGAAGTAGTTGAGCAAACATAATCCACGCTAAATAGTGTGCAAATCACGCAGCAGTTTTAGCTCCTTGTTTTGTCTGGAGTTGATTGTATGCTCGCTTCAGGTACAGGTACACATGCTCTCCTTCCAAGTTATGCGTCTACAGCAGACTGCATTCATCTAAATTCCGATGTACATTGTCTTTCCAATTTCTGTCTTTACGGCTTAGGTGCATCGGAGAAAAACCTACCTTCTATCCTCGATAGCTGCCCTCGAGGCCCCGCTCCGGGGCACGGGACGGTCTTCAAGCACAAGGGGATGGGGTCCTGCGCCAGCACCGAAAACCAGGTACCCCAGGGGTATAAGGTCCTGAAGGTACAGGCGGTGGTACAGCAGCAGGGCGACGTGCGGGACTACTACACCTTCGATAAGCAGCTTGGGAAAGGCAACTTTGGCATTGTCCACCTGGTATATGACAAGAAGACTAATGAAAAATTTGCCTGCAAATCTATATCTAAGGTAAGCAGGATGGTGCTGACGCCGTCACGGTCAGGCACAGGTAGCGGTGCATGTTATTCCTACTCGCGCACACACAACGTCACTACATTATAGTTCCCCCTACTATTTCCCAAAACCCATAACGGCTGGGCGGCTGTAAACGCGTGTGTCGTGCCGTGCCGTGATGTTGAGGAACCACAAGCCCGGCAGCCTGGGGAACAATCCATGGTGCGGTCTTCCCTGTCGTCCACACCCTGGCTCGTTTTAGCGCTACTGGGTCCTCATTGTTTCCTGTGGTCCTTCGCTTTTGTGGTCTTCCGCTCCGGCCGCCCCGGAAGCACTCCGATTCCTGTCGAGAAGGAGAAAGGGATTGCCCCGATATCGTGGCTTTAAAACCCACATTGTGGACGGCTGCACTGGCGAAAGGCGATTTGTCGGTGCAGGTTTTGGAAAAAGGTGGCATGCATCACAAAGGACAGGATGCCTGAGTTCCCGTGCGTAGGGATGGGTACCGATGTGCATGCCGCTTGGGGCATAGGGAAGGCGCAAGTACGGAAGCTCCAAAGGGTCAAATGTCAAAGTTCTGTGGTCCTCCCCCTGCTCCTAGTGATTGCGGTAATAAAGTCGCCATCTGCAGCGGCGCCACCGAAGAACTTTATCTCGTGACTTTACAGGCAAGAAACAAAGGGAGGAGGTAGGTTTGTGAAAAGGCAAAGACCAGATCAAAACAAGTGCAATGTAGCGGGGCAAAAGGGAAAGGGCACTGCTGGGATGGCGCGTGGCCGCGCGGAAACAGTTGAGATTAAGCAGTCAGGAAAGGCAGGTGTGAAAAGCGCTTGGCGGAAAAGAGGAGAAATGAAAAGGTGCTGTGAAGTTGCATAAGAAAGTCGTCCGGAAGGCAGGCCGTGTGGAAAGAGGCAAGGAGAATTGAACGAAAGAATGCTCGCACGACCTCCAACTTACCCGATCGCGCCGCTGCATACTCACCACACAGCGCAAACTGGTGACATCAGAGGACGTGGAAGATGTACGGCGCGAGATCCAGATCATGAACCACCTGGCGGGCCACAAGAACATCGTGTCTATCCGCGGCACCTTTGAGGACAAAAACTTTATCCACATCGTAATGGAGCTCTGCTCGGGGGGCGAGCTGTTTGACCGCATTGCGGAGGCCGGACACTTTTCCGAGCGGCGGGCAGCGGAGGTGTGGAAGAGGGACCTACACGGGCAGCGAAGGGCGGAAGAGGGGCAGTGGCTAGCTGGTGTTGAGCTGGGTGGGGACTTGGAACAGAGAGAACCTTCGTTAGAGGGGCGTGGGCTCAGGGCATGGACGTTTTTGAAGCGTCGCGGGTTGCAGGACTGGTGCGACAGCGCCAAGTCTAAAATCGTCTTCAGCTCCTACCAATTGCACGGCACCGAACTGGTCCCCCTTGTTTGTCCTCCCACAGGTGATGCGCACCATCGTGTCGGTGGTCCACCACTGCCACACCATGAATGTTGTGCACCGCGACCTCAAGCCCGAAAACTTCTTGCTTACGGAGCGGGGCCCGGGGGGCGTCATCAAGGCCACCGACTTTGGCCTCAGCCGCTTCTTCAAGGAGGGAAGCAGCCTGGACGAGATTGTGGGGAGCCCTTTTTACGTACGTTTGGTAGCGAACGTGCCGTGGGAGGGGGCCCCACGGTGGCGGCGGAGGAATCGCGGGGGAGCGGAGTATTGGAAGGGATTATGGAAGGAGGAAGTCTATACGTCCTCTTATGTGACCTGAACGCGAATGCGAAAAAACCGTGTAGCAACACGACCCAAAGTAATGGACAATTAGCCGTAGGTGGGCGGTGATAGCCGCACCGCCACAAGCGGTGATAAAGCGTCCAAATTAAAGGGAAATGCATGCAATTTAGGAATGGAAAGTATTTGAGAGAGACATCGAAATTGTCGTGATGGAGGAAGAAGAAGAAGGTTGGGTTGGGGAAGTCTTGGAAACGGGGGCAACAACGCTAGAAATCTTTGAAAACCAGGCTGGAACTAGGGAAATAAAAGTGGCGATGTGGTGCGGTGTTGGTTTCCTGGGGGAATGAGCGAGACTCGGGATCTACGTTACACCCTCCGTGTCCATGTCTTGAGAAAACGCGAGGAACAGAGCTTCCGCTCGGGTATCGAAATGTCCCGCTGCAATCCGTCCCCCCCCTGGACGCAGGTCGCTCCGGAAGTACTCAAACGCGCATACGGCAAGGAGGCTGACATTTGGTCATGCGGCGTGATCCTCTACATCTTGCTGTGCGGCTGGCCGCCCTTCCATGGCGACTCGACGCAGGTGGGGGCCCGGGAGGGGACGTGGTGATTGGGTTGGGCCTGGAGACTGGCTGGAAGAGTGCCCATGGAGCAAAGCCCTTGCATGTCTGTGCCGGCATGTGTTTTTGTGTGTCGTGGTACTTGTTTGAAGGAGCAAAGTCAGGAGAAGCAATTAAGGGAAAGTGAGGACTGTTACTTCAGCACCCCGAGGGAACACGATTTCCGGATCCGGGGCTGGCTCATGTTGGAGATTGCTGCGGCCAGGGCCCCCCCTACCTCTCCCCTCCTCCTCACCCTTCTTTCCCTTTTTCATCTCCAACCCTCTTTCCATCCCACCGTGGCTCTGCAGGCTATTTTCAAGAACATCCTCTCCGCCCCGCTGGACCTTAAATCGGAGCCCTGGCCCCGCGTATCACCGGATGCCAAGGACTGTGTGCGCCGCATGTTGGCAAGGGACCCGCGCAAGAGGCTCACAGCGGAACAGGTGGGATGGACTGGAGGAGGGGACACGGCCGGGGGACGTATCAGCCATGTCAGCTGTGTGTATCGCATCCACCTAAACCTAGCGTGCATCCGTGTTTTATGCTTTTCTGTACCTTGTTGGCTAAAACCAATCGGTTGGGTCCGAGGTGCCGAGAAACAAGCCAAGCGTAAGGAAAGACTATGCCGATGCGTATAGCGCTTGATCGTGCGCGGTCGCAACTGATCTACTGTCGTCCTATCGCACCGCTGTACAGGTACTTAACCATCATTGGATGCGCGAGAACGGCGCCGCACCCGACGAGGCATTTGTGCCGGAGATCCTCATCCGCATGCGCCAGTTTACCAAGGTGGGAATGGCCGCCGGGAATTAGGTGGCGGGTGCATTTTGTGTCCATTCGTGACAACCCGACAACTTGCAAACATGCTCAGAACCTTCTTCGCTGTCTTCGAAGTTGTTCTTATATCTCCCCGCCTGCCCTTGGACCACCTTCCTTCCCTAGCCGTCCCGCCATCCCTTCTATCTTACTGCCTTGACTTCTCAAACCCCTTAATCTCGCAAGTTTTTGCTGCTCCCTAATATTTACCCCCCCCTAACGTCCCTGGCCCCAGATGAACCTGCTTAAGCGCGAAGCCCTCAAGGTGATTGCCCGTTCCCTTCCCCATATGGAGCTGGCGGGCATGAGGGAGATGTTCCACGACATGGACGAGGACGGCTCCGGAACCATCACAGTGGACGAGCTACGGGAGGGTTTGCGGCGCAAGGGCGCGGAAATTGCGCTCAGCGAGGTGCGCATACCCAGCCGCCAAGCGTATCGTCGTGGCGCCAGCAGCTGCTGCTGAAGACCCAGATGGAGACGGCATGGCTGCCGCCTCGTGTTTGTAGAGCTGTCGCCGTGCGCCTCTGCCCGCGCAGCCTCTAGGTCTCTAGGTGCAAGAGAGTGCAGTGGCCCTTCCCCGCCCGTGCCAATGGCAACCTCGCCCATCTTTTCCGCCGCGGGTTTATATCTCCACTTAAGCCATGCCCAAAGGAGCCCGCATTTTCATCGCCCCGCAGGTTCAACGCATCCTCAACGACATTGACCTGGACGGCAACAGCAAGATCGATTACGAGGAGTTTCTGGCGGCCACTATGCACCTGAACAAGCTCAGCCGCGAAGAAAACATGATGGCAGCGTTTGAGTACTTTGATAAGGGTGGGTTGCGTGAGGCGGTAGATAGTGGATGGCTGTGGCTGCGGGTGTCTGTCTGTCTGTCTGTCTGTCTGTCTGGGAGGGGAGAAGGGAAAAGAGCGGGCGCTCTCAGCGAGAGAACACTGGGAAAACACGTGGGACCAGGGGCGGAAGCTAGGACTCCCTGAGCTTTTACACCACCACCTCTGTCCCTCCGCCCGGGCTCCACGACACTCAAATACCCTTTTCGCTAACCCACGCACGCCTTCCTTTACCCAAGCACGCACGTAACGCAGCCCACAGCCGCAGCTGGGGCCTCGCCTGATGAGATTTTTCGACGTTATCCTGCCATTATGAACTACCTGTTGTCCTGCCCTCTGCCAGTAGCGCGCGCAATGTGTGACCTCACTTTGCTGTTCCACTCTTGCAGCCTTCACGGCGCCCTGCTCACTAACATGCTGACCCAAACCTAACAATCCACAGACAAATCGGGCTTCATTACTCGGGATGAGCTTGTGACCGCCATGAGGGACATTGACCAGGAGGTGGATGTGGATGCACTGCTACGCCAGGTATTTAAAAAGCTGCTGAAAAATGGCGGAGGGAGTTAGGAGGAGAAGATAAGCAAGCCCACAGACCTTACCAATGCGCGAACACGACATTAATGAATCTTGTCATGTCGGGTCTGAACGAATCATTCAATTTATTACCGCACCCCGAGACTGTATGGGCCGAAGCCGGACCGCAGTAAACTCAGTGCCGACCAGAGACACGCCCCTGCGCAATGCTGCTGAAAGCCCTGGTCCCTCCTTAGGCAAGGGGGCCTACCCCTGCCAGCTGTCATTATCCACGGATTAACCAGCCCAGCCCACAAAAGGAAACTGGAAAGACTGACCACACTCGAGGTGCTCATATACCGGGGCCAAGTTCTGCCCGGAAGGGGACCGCTAAGCATCCCATACGCCAATTTTACGCACGTCAATGTCAATTAAGTGTATGATTGAGAAGGAGTTGAGAGAGGGGCGAATGTACGCAGAACCTGCAAGCAGGTAGGTGAGCACGGTGAGTTTTGTGCTCCGCCTCGGCCCCGTGTAGGTGGACAAGAATGGCGATGGCAGGATCGACTATGAGGAGTTTTGCCTCATGATGCGAGCCTCCGACCTGGATGTCCTCAAATGTGCACACGAGGTGCGGATACTTGAGGGATAAGGCATGAGGGACTTGCTAACTCCTTGCGCTCAACCTTTTGCCGGATCAGGGACGGGGGCTTGGGGTTCGGATGAAATTAACCTGGACTCACCATGCAAACCATGCTCACATCATGCCGGGCGCCCCACCCTCCCGCTCCCACCACTGTAGTTTTCGTCTTCATAACCACTCCTAACCTTCCTTCGTCCCTCCTCCCTCCCCTCCCCCTTATGAAACCCCCAGGCTCTTAAGACGAAGGTAGTTCTCCGCAACGTGGTGACCACTGTTCAGATGGAGCCCGTGCGAGAGGATTCGTCCTTTGATATGACGCAGTCAACTGCTGCGGGGGTGGCGCAGGCGCAGCCAGCGGGCACGGCAGCAACAGCAGCAGCGGGCGCACAGCGAGGCAGGGCCGGGGAGGACGCGTGAGGGACGAAAGGCCTCCCGATGTTGCAGCGGCAGCACGCTGCTCATGCTACTGCTGCTGTGGTGTCGCGCGGCGTGCTCTGGTGGGTACTGAGGAAGCGGCTTGTGAAGGGAAAAGTGAGTGGCGAGTGGGCTTGGGCGGCAGGTCGTATAGCACGTCATTTTGCGCGGCTGTGGGCCTCGAAGTCGACGGTCGTGGGGGATATACGCTGGGGGTTATTGTTTGTTGTGTATTCCTGTGCAGCTAGGTTACCGATGACAGTAATTTGTGATTTTCGGATAATGTGAAGATCCTGTCTGCTCTGCCCAGGGCTTGTGCTCTTTTTGATAAGGCTTTGGGGGCGATCCAGGAGGCCCAAGTGGCCGGGCAGGGCGACCTGCTTCGCCAGTCCTAAGGCGTGCAGCGCAATACGCCATAAGGCCCTTTGCCGGGGAAGGTGAAAGGGCAGAGCTCTTGTTCTCTAGTGCGGCGTTTTGCCGACGTGGTCTGTTGGGGGCGGCAACGTCATCCGGATGGTCCAACTGACGGCCTGGTGTGTACTGTACATTGTCTCTGTGCGTGAGGGACTTGACAAGGTTAAAGTCGACTGTAGGAGATGAGAGTGGCGGAAGGGCGCTGATGAGAGGAGAGGATGTGCTCAACCCCCATGCGATCATGCTCGGGCAGGCTGCCGTGGGGGCGGGGTAGGGGGAGACAAAGTCCTGCGGCCGCCCTCAGGCTTCGCTGCGGGCTGAACAAGGGAAGTCCTGCTTGAACGAAACAACCAAACGGCTGCTGTGCAGTGGCGCTGCATCCTTAGACCCATATCGGAATTAACGAGACAAGGAGGCCGTCGCATGGACGGTCGTAGAAGGGGGGGGTTACACAGACAGCCCCTCGGGCCGAGAATTACTTTACTAGTATGATGTGTGGGACAGGGGAGTCATATCTTTACCCGTGGCCGCTACCCTGCGAAACCCTGCCTTCCCCGTTATTTCGGGGCACCCTCATCCAGTCACCCCAGACGACTTCTCAGCACGCTGAACTAACGCCGCCGTAGATTCGCTCTTTCACCTCCATGTATTAATTGCCATACGGCAAGGAAAAGTGCGCCGTGCCCTATGATAAACATCAGAACATCCTAACCACCATTGCACCATTACGCAGCCGTAACCAGGTTCGCGCACACAAGCGATGGTCCCTTTAAACGAATTGTTCTTAGCACGTTTTAACTCATGCTCACCACCACTAACAAACATTGGGAAGCGATGTGTCAATTATTTGGTTTTACGTACCTACAGTAGGTGTAGAGGTTGTAAACTGGGAGCTTGGGCAGTGCATAACGCGTGTTGGGGAATGACAACCCCTGCTTCTTTCTTGCCCGCGTCTGCTGTCTCAATAACCGCTTTTGCACTCGAGCATTGCTCATTGAGGCCATCAGGAGGAGGTCGGACCACGCTACCTGTTTTTTAGGTGAGATGCATGTGCGGCAGATGCGCGCACAGCCGGGGAACACCGCCGGGGAAGGCATGGAGCCACGGATGGTGGGGGATGTGGCATGGTCGATATGCTCACAGCAAATAATGAAGTAAATTATCATGGAAATAGTCTTGTTTTAATACGAAGGGGGAGGTATGTCTGCAAAAGTTAAGTTGTTGAGGAATACTCCGCGGCCCACGCTAAGTTTGGAGCGAGCCATCCTGCGCCGCATTCGGGCGCGCGTTGGGCCAGATTTGCGGTGCGGCATCGGACTCATGGCTCCTCTTATGTGTAAGACCACAATAGCGATTCATGGTTAGGGAGGGAGCAAAGGAAGGCTTGTAATCGGATGACCAGGTGCGCCGCATGCGGAGTCGGTCATCGTATTCAGTTCCTGTACTTGTTGTTCTCGCTTTTGCGGAGCCCGTCCGGGTGAAGGGTCGGGCATAGAGCCCGTCCGGCTGAGGTGGCGTAATTTGTGGGCTTTTGCTCTTGTTGTGGCGTCCTTGGGTTCGCCCGAGCATTTTGCGCGGCAATGAGGCCATCAGCCCGAGAGGAGTCTCGATTGGTCTAATATGGAAGAGCGAGTGGTCGTGGAGTGGGAGGGGTTGCTGTTCGGATGCTTGCTCGAAATGCAGCGGCGCGCACCTCTTAAAGGAAGCGGCCCCGTCCCTTGTGCCTGCTCGCATTCATCCTCCAGAGCGAACGCCGCCGTGCGCGAAATGTATACCATATATGTATGTGTCTTTTATGGCCTACGGGGAGATACTCGTGCGGCCAAGGGCCGCGTTACGAGCGGAAGACATCGTATCTTTTGGGGAATATGACGTGCCGATGACGTACCGTTTTGCTGATGTAGGTTCGTTGCTCCAGCCGTTGGGACCTCTCTTGGGCAGTTTTTTTGCCCATCGGCAACCATACGGTAATTGTAAGTTCGCCGACTCGTTATAGAGACGGGTCTGTAAAAGGAATGCCTCTTTAGCGTCTCCTCGCTTGATATCGCCGTGGCCCCGTGCCGCTGGGGCAACTGCACTGCATCTTGATTTCGCCCTCTTGTGGATACCGCATATACGCCCTTATCAGCGCTACCGGCTCTGGAAGGCTCAAGAGGCCATGGCCTGTCTCGGCCCCGCGTCGTATCAAGGCCATGTTGGTCGGAGCGTCGGTGGCAAACCCTAGGATTACTGGGGTTGGGGCCCGTATTGGGGTTGCGCTGCCTGGTGATGATAGCGGAACCGCGCAGAGCAACTGGGAATGCAACCCTCCCTGTAATGGATGTCTGCTCCATTTTCCATCGGAGGGTTAGGAGCTTGCTTGTGTCTGTTGTGGATCGGGCAGGTGGGCCTAGGCCCGGTGGCTGCCATCCTGCGCAGCTTTCTTGGACGCTTCTTCCTTGGCACCCTAAACGACGTGCCCCAATACTGCGAGCCCTACTGGCCCATGGGTCATACGTCTTGCTGCGTGCCGGGCTGGCTGGCATGGAAGTGGCGGAGCTTTGACTCTGGACGGTAGCGGCCTTTGCTCTTTTGCCGACGAACGCTCGGGGGGGATGTAATGCATTAGGGACACACATTACGTTGCACCATCGTACACAAGGTTTAGGACGGACCTCCTAATGCTGCGCATTTAATCCCCGCCTGATTCTGTAATCTTATAATGCATCAATAACAACAGCTTTGGGGCAACCACTCGGGACAGTTGTCAATCGTTAGGGGTCAGGCGATGGGTTCAGACAATGTGGGCTGCGACCAGTTTCGGAGTTCCCCAGCTAAGTGGACCGCTAAGCGTTGTTGAGGGGTGGATACACGGAGTGGTGGATACACCGCATGCGATTGGGCGTGGAGTATATGCGCGCTTTTTTACCAACGGTAAGGACTCCGGACCTATCAGCACGGGGAGGGCTCCGCCAATACAGCGAATTCAGGGTAAAAGTAAACCTACTATAACTTGATAAAGGCGGGGACTAGGCTGCCATCATATGAGAATAGATTACAAGGCGGCGGTAATTAAGGGTAGGTGACATCTACGCATTCTCCAGCAGGCTAATCTTGAGGGTCTGTCCACCTGTTAGGACGGTCCGTAGTTAGGCCAGCCTTGCCCGGCTCAGAAGCTCCGAACTTTTAGGAAGGAATTTACCAAGGGCTCAGAGGCAGAAGGAAGTAGATCCCACGCCCATAACTTATCCAACCGTCAATGCAACTAACTAGTTCCTAGCGGACCCTCTGGGACACTAACGAGGCACTAACATGTATTATCGGATTAAACATATACGTCGTAAATTCCATGAGTTTACCCCAAGGATCCCCGTCATGAATATTTGTGAACGGTTTGACTAAACATGGACCCTAAATGGCGACATCCTGCTTGTAAAACACAGCTTACGATACAGGGTAGGATGCTGTTGCGTGAGAGTCCTGCACTCGATCTCGGTTTTGTCATTTCAAGTCGTGGACAGAAAGCGCGGGTAACTTAACGCAGCCACCGTTGCATGCTTGGCTGTAATTCTGTAAGTATGCATGCGGAGGACGATGCTTGCAGTCACCCCTCGTTATTCATTCTGGAAAAAGGTCTGCCAGGCGCAAAGCAACTCCTTTGAACGCAAGCTTTTATGTAAGAAAAGTATAATGTTGTTTCGGAGGCTCAGCGTTGGGGAGGACGTAACCTGTACGATAACAACACTCCAAAGAAATTGAGGACCTCTAACAAACAACTAAATCATTTTCTTAGGTAGTAGCATCTCCGATGAACTGCACTTCCTTGAGCTAGCTCTATACTATTACAGCTCGCCGCCGGAAACGTGGGCATCAGCTATAATGCTGTCCTCGCACGGGCTTGCGGCAGGTACCTCGTCACGAGGCTCCGGGCGGACTCCAGCAGCAGCTTTTCGCTATGCCCGGCTATGCTCTGCGCGAACACAAAGCAGGTCTAGCCGATCGGTGGCGGCTGCAGTCGCCGCCGAGCGCTTAGACGCACAAGTCTGCGTTGTGCTTGGGACTCAGTGGGGTGATGAGGGCAAAGGAAAACTGGTGGATATCCTAGCGCAGCAGTATGACATCGTCGCTCGCGCTCAGGTGCGGAAATAATCATTAAGTAGGACTCGGGAGAGTGGAGTGCAAGCCCCAGACGTCATGCCCTTTCGCTTTTCAGGGTGGTGCAAACGCCGGTCATACTATCTACGATGACGCGGGTAACAAATACGCTCTGCACTTGGTGCCGTCGGGCATTCTCAACCGGGACTCTACCTGCGTCATCGGAAACGGCGTCGTTTTGCACCTGCCTGGCCTCTTTGAAGAAATTGAAAACCTGAAGAAGAAGGGGGTCAGCGTAGAAGGCCGTCTCAAGATTTCCGACCGAGCGCACCTTCTTTTTGACTTGCATAAGGAGATTGATGGCTTGCGCGAGGCGGAGCTTGCCGGCGCTGGCAAGCAGATTGGCACCACCAAGCGCGGAATTGGTCCGGCATATAGCTCGAAAGCCACGCGAAACGGCTTGCGCGTCTGCGACCTACATAAGCTGGACTCCTTCGCAGACAAGCTACGAAAGCTTTCTATGGATGGCGAGAAGCGCTTTGGGCCCGGATTCCAGTATGATGTCGATGAGGATATCGAAAAGTATCAAGAACTGGCGAAGAAGGTGTTGCCATATGTAACGGACACGGTGGAATACCTCCACACAGCGTACGACACTGGCAAGCGTATTCTCATCGAGGGGGCCAACGCCACGATGCTAGATGTTGACTTCGGCACCTACCCATACGTCACATCCTCCAACCCGTCCATTGGTGGAATTGCGACGGGCCTGGGCCTGCCCCCCACCAAATACGACGCTGTAGTGGGCGTGGTGAGTCATCTTGAACTGGCTGCTTCGTAGATTGTGTACTTGCATACTGGGTTTCTGTCTAGGCATGTCTTAATCTGAACGAAGCCATGTTGCCATGAACTGAAGTTGCTATGACCGAAGTCCCAGTGCTGTGTGGATCTTGCATTGCATCTATGGCTTGACTATGACTTGTTGGGCAACCAGCACGCCGCTTGGCACAGTGCAGTGCTCTGTACAGGACCGCATTAGCCACATACCACATCACTGACCACATTGGTATATGAGCATGACTGGTGGCCTTTGCAATGATAATTTTTATGTTTTCTGGTCAAGTATTGTTGCATTGTCGGCATGGCCCATAGGTAACTTAGTCGCCCAGCGTATGTTACTCGCGTGTGCTTACCACCACCTAGTTTTGGTTACGGTGGGTAACGCATGTCAATATTCATCGGGCAAAGGCATAGCGACTTTGATAATGTTACCGACGGTAATATATTTCATATTTTGTTGCAGTATTGCGTTGATGGCTGCAGCCCTGACTATCTTCGGCGTACGTGTGCACCTTATCCCCAAGCGCACACAGTCATGGATGTCAGACCACAGCGTTACCCTTGCTACACTTACGCGGGCGAAAAGGTCTTCTCACCGGCGCATATTGCATCTTCATCTTGTCTTGTTGGAGCAAGTATATGCAGGTGTGGTGCCCGGGTCTATGAAAGCATCGCGCCCGCTTTTGCACTGCTCCGCGCTGCAGGTTAAGGCGTATACCACACGTGTGGGTGCGGGGCCATACCCCACTGAGATTTTCGGAGACCTTGCGGAGCGCTTGCGTGAGATTGGCCATGAGTACGGTACTACGACCGGCCGGCCACGCCGCATCGGCTGGATGGACGTCGTTGCGCTGCGTTACAGCTGCAAGATTAATGGCTTGACGCACCTCAACATCACCAAGTTGGACGTGCTGTCGGAGCTGGAGGAAATTAAGATTGGCGTGGCGTACAAGACGCCCGATGGCCGCATGCTGAGATCGGTGCCAGCAGACCTGGAGACGCTTGAGAACGTTGAGGTGTGTCATCTTCCGAGGTGCATGACCTCTACAAAAACCGGAGGACTGGGGCACAGCGCATGGATTATACATAAGGGTCATTATGCTTTAACCATATCAGAAGCCTGCATTTGGGAAGGGGCTTGGCGGAAAGGCTGAAATTCCCACGCATATATGCTTATTTGGGCATATTTCAGGTGAGCGATGAGGCAGCGGTGAATGTGTTCACGTTGATGTTAGTGTTGTTTTACAGCATTTGCCGTCCCCTTTTAACACCATTCGCTTCTTACCAGTAGGAAGTTACAAGTGCGGCCCTAACTATAGCCCTGAACGCCTCCTCACTCCTCGTGTCTTTCCATCCAAATCAGGTCGTGTACGAGTCAATCCCGGGATGGAAGTCGGATATTTCAGGGGTGCGCGACTGGAAGGACATGCCGCAAGCCGCTAAGGACTATGTGCAGCGCATTGAGGACCTCATAGGTACGATTCTGCAGCTGACAAATGTCTGGGAGCGAAACAAATAGGGGGCCAGGGCCAGTTCGTTACTTTGCGGCCCTAATAACACGGCATATGTGTTGCGCATGGCCATGTGTCGAGGGGCAAGCTAAGCAGGCCGAAGCAGCCACGGCTCAGGGCAGCTGTCATACAGCTGATGTGTTGGCCTCCTTTTGCGCTGCGTCACCGCCGCCGGTTAATATTGATCCAAGCTACATTCCGTAGGCCAGCAGATGCTCTGCGAAATAGCATCTTAACTTCGCATGCTGCATGGAAGCCTGGGCCCCTAATCCCCTGGAACTACACATCCTTGCATCCGTGCAGGCATCCACTGCAAGTGGATTGGCGTGGGGCCAGGTCGCGACGCGCTCGTGGTTAAGCCAGCTAAGGGCAAGTGCTGATCTCAGCGGTAGATGGTGAGACAGCAAACCGAGAAGGTGGCAGGAGCCGTGAAAGAGCACGTGCCAAGCAAGTGTCCGGGGAGCGAGCCCATGCTACCGTCGGTCCTTGTAGCCTGGGGAAAGTCTGGTCGTCGTCCGTCTTTGGCGTTACAGCCCGCGACACCTGCGACTTGGAACGGCCAGGCTGTCCGGGGTGTAATCTGCAGCGCCTTGTACCCTTCTTGCCAAGGAAAAGTGCACGGGGTTTAGACTTGCGCATACCACTCAACATCGCGAGTGTTTATCGCGCGTGAGCAAGAGTCCAGTTTTAAAAAAGGACGAGGGGTTAGCCTTGCTGTAGTCTTTCCTCCTGTGGATCATACCTGAGCTACCCATCTGTGTCTTGACAGGTTCTTATCCTGCTGCCTGTGTTGTTAGCTGGTGGACGGGTGTTGCAAGTGGTGTTAGGCGGCCTGCCGCGTTGTGGCCGGGGCTGCAGATCTGGGTGACCATCCTTGGACATGCTCTCCAGGGGTCGGTGGGGTCGTGGTCCGGGGTGTAACTACGAAACCGGCGCCGTGCTCGCTTAGAAAGGATATCCTTACCTAGGGGCGTGCGCGAACAGACATGTAGCAGGCACGTGGTTAGAGTCCTAGTAAGGAAACGGTTGAATCGCGTTTTGTCCTACGTGCGCACTGAAATCTCTTGACGGAAGTGTGGCCCAGCCTGCAACCATGCGCTATTGAATTCTTAATTGTGGCATCGCCACCTGCAGGGTGTGGACCGTTCGTGAACCTTGGTTCGTAGAGGAAGGCGAAAGTTGCACGCGTATGTGTGTTTGTGCGTCTTCGAATGCGCAGAATTGTGGGGCTGCAGCGTCCGTTCGTCTTGATGACAAACGGGTTATGACAGGCTTTCCAACAACGGTGTAGTTAAACCACGGGTAAGGGATCGGGACTGATATGGCCGGAGAGGAGTGCGCAGACGGTGCTGCGATGCGGCTTCTTCTTTAACTATAACTTCAGGACTATGCTTCCCTCGCCTCAAATGGGGGCTGTTGGCACTTGGGGCAAGGGGGGGGCCCTTCGCGGGCGTGCATGCATGTTACGTCTGCCGACATCTAGTCTTTGGATCTTCGTTTAGTGTAGTGGCTCGATGCGACTTCAGGCCGCATCTTATTGTCAAGGTAGAAGTGCGGTGTGTCAACGCAGCCAGACTAGTCACCGTGTTCAGTTTAAGCCCTGGAAGGGCGTGGTGCTTGTTATGGATCTGGGACCACGTCTCCCGGGACACCCGCGCTCGCAACTGCGATGCAATGGGTTGGTGCCATAGGAAGATCTTCTGTTGACGCTAAGTGTGCAGTGCTAGGGGAGACTCCAGGGTGTGGCGTTCGAAGCGTGTGGCCTATTGTTGTATGTGAAATACGCCTGTTTGGGAAAACCGTTTGCTTGTGAAGTGTCGTACAAGCTTGAGACGTGATCCCGCTTGCAAGGGGGCGCTGCTCATGGTCACCCTTGCTCTGTATGTCAAGAGTCGAACCCCCGGCGATAGCAGTAGGAAATTGCAGTACAGGAGTCGGAAGGCATATGATGTGCGCCATGTGGCAATTCGCGTCAACCTGCCGCTTTCTGTAGGTTGTGGCGATTAGAGTCGCAGGGGCCTGCTGTGCGGGCTTGTGCGGACCGACCAACCGCTGATGAGCAGAGCATCTCGTCTGTTTGATTGAGGCTGTTTGGTTGATGTGCAAATGGACGTAATGGTGGCAGCTGTATATCACTGCGGTGTGGCTGCTCCGGAGGATGCGTTGCGTCTGCGGCTGCTGATATGTTGTAGCGTTCAGAGGATGTGTCAAGTTCGCTCGCTATTCATTGCTTCCGCGAGGGCCATACAATGGTGGATCATTACGTCGTCCTTGTGCAGGCCTACGGGCGCAGTGGCGCAAGGCTACGGGCAGTGACATCTCTACCGTCCTGCTGCAATATGATAGAATAAAATCCTTTGCCATAACTGGTGGATCGAATCTGCATTGTGGTCAATGTGCTTTTAGCTGCTGACTACGGCGACCTTGTGACATTCCAGCCTGTTGCATTACAACCATGTGTGAAGAAATTTGCTGGAAACGTGCCAAAATTTGTCGATGCCACTAATTCACTGGAGGGTGGCCGCTACTACTGGAGCGATTGTATCTGTCGCACGTATTTGGCACAATGATGCCGGCATTGTTGGCTGGCACATGTGAATAGAGATTGACCATGAGCTGCTGCGTACCTGACTGTGTTTAGGGTAAAAATCAAGATTCTGCTCAGACCACTTTCCAGACAAGGTCCCACGTTCCGCGGCGGTATGCTGCAAGAGGCAGCTGTCGATTGCAACAACGGGGTAACACACCGGTACTAAAAGTGCGTTTGAAGACGATGTGTAGAGCTATATACGGGCTGAAAGGTATGGGCTGACAGATTCGGGGAGGGCTTCAGCCAATTCTCTCTTTAAAGCGGCCGCAGTGGATCGGAACCACTCTCAGATATGGTGCGAGTTTTAATTTTTAAGAAATCCCACGTGCTAGCAAAAGAATTAGCACTTTAGTCCGTCAGCCTTATTTCCAGCACACAGAATGTCACGCAAAAATGCGTTACGCCTAGGCAACAGGGAATCAAGAACTGCAGGCAAACTTTCGATTTATGTCGCTACAAAAAAACCAGTGCTTGTTTTGCAATTCTTTTGGCATGAACCTAGTGGGACGAGCACGATCTTGGAGTACAACTTTTTAGATTGTGCGGAGGCCTTTTAACTTAAGTTGTCGCGTCTTTAAATTATCGCAACACAGCTTGCAGAAAGCTTGTTACCAGGCATCCATTCTGCAAGGCGGATTCTTAAAGGCTGCAACCCTTGTCCAGTGTCGGTGACACAATTGAGCGATGCAGCTCAAACCTTTCACGATTCAGCACCGCGCCAGCTTGGATGGTATCCGCCGATGCCACAGGCTTGCAAGCATTTCCGCCCCATTGATGATTAGGACGAGGCCAACGCAACAGCATCCGGCCTCTGTTCCGGCCTTCAATGTCGGCAGCCGCGTAGGCTGTCCCGCACCGCTGCAGGCTGTAAAGGCGGATGCGCAGGCGGAGCAACTGGATACGGCTATGCTTCGCCTTATCGCTGGTGTTTCCAAGCAGGTTGACGAGGCGGTGGCAGCAACGGTGTTCAGCAACAATGAAGCTGCGAAAAGGGTGATATTCAGCCCTGACTCTGATCTTCGTCAACGGGTTGTTGCTTCCATTCAAAAGTTGGCTAAAGGTCTTCTTGAGCGAGACGTGGAGGTGAGGGCCCGTTTGGAAGTTGGCCGAGCTCTTCTGCAATTGCTTTCTACTGGTATCTACTAGCGGGCGTTTGCACTGATCCGAAACCTGAACATCGTGGGTATATTGATCTGATATACGAAGGCGTGTTCTAAGCTTGGCTTGTTTCCTGCGCCGGTAACTGACAAAATGCAAACCAACGGCCACTCTGCAGGTGCGCCTGCTGCTCCTTGCCGCCCTCTGCTGCGAGCACCTGCTGCTTCTGGGTCCCCCAGGTGTTGGGTTCCGGAGGGATTGGCCGTAGGCATTTTTGGCATGCGCGTCGATTCCCTTGCAGTTCCCACAAGGGAGCCTTCCTGCAAGGGAGCCGTCCGGCGCTAGTAGCGACGCCGGACGGCGTTTGGTTGAGCTTACCAGCGTCGGGATTATGTAGTCCTTGGTCAATCATACAGCTGTTTTCATGTGTTGTCGGTACCCATGCTGCTTCATCTCACTCCGTCAAGTTAAACCAACGCTCCTGTCCCCGCCCCGTCAACTGCTCCTTTTCCTGAAGGCACGGCCAAGTCGGAACTGTCAGCCCGGTTGTCCTCTCTTTGCGGTGGTACTTACTTCGAGCGTTTGTTGACCCGTTTTTCCGTGCCGGAGGAGCTTTTCGGGCCCCTGTCCATGAAGGGTGAGTTGGGGTTTACGCTTCAATTCTGGTAGGGCCGTTGCATACGCTGTTTGTTCCCTGTGCCTGGGTGCCCCTCTTTCGGATGGACCTTAAATAGTGGGTGACAACGAAGCCGTGTTGGAGTTGGTCGGCATATTGAGCCAACTGAGATGACCAAACAGGAAATAAGCTAAGCCAGTTCAAGCTAACCGAAGCACACCCCTGGCCGATTAGTCAAGAAAGTCCTACCAAGGTCAACCCCCCGAAATCGGTCTCCTCCCTTCCTCTCCAGGGCTGGAGAATGACCTGTACGTGCGGCAGATCAACGGCTACCTGCCAACCGCTGAAGTAGCGTTCGTGGACGAGATTTTCAAGGTGCGCTGGACTGAGCTCATTATTCCTTGATGAGTAGGACCTGCTATGGTTTATTGCCCATGATGCTACAGCAGGGTCTCATGTCGCTCGCGCAGTTTTTTACCATGATGATGAGCCCCCGTGCTTGGCATCCCATGACTGCCCCGGCGACACTCCATGTCGGGGTTACAGCGTGCGACACAATCCTTCTCCCCGTGAATGCATTTTGGGCTGTCCGTTCCCTCGATTACCACAACCCTGCCTCTCGTCCAGCTGACCCAAGCTTCGGGATATAGCCCCTTTGTTTGCTGCCTCTTGATATATCGTAGCACATTCCCCCCCTCCCCTTCGAGGAAGGAAAGGGCTACGCCCCTAGCTACAGTTGTCCAGCCTCTGTATTTAGTAATTACAACTCGTCTAGCTCCGCATGATTCTCTGGGTCTTGAGTGATTTTGCTTCATATGCCACTGTCAACAGGCGAACTCCGCCATTCTGAATGCGTTACTGACGCTGCTGAACGAGCGCCTCTTCGACAACGGCAACCAGCGCTTGCATGCCCCTCTGCTGTGCCTGGTGGGCGGGGTCGGTCTTGTGTGTGTCCCGGATTAGTTGGGTGGCCAGGCCAAGCTGTCTACTGCTGGCGTCTATTGCTGTTTGATTTCTCAAGTCATGGTGTGGTGTCGGCTTTGCGGGAGCGTAATGGGCGTCGATTTCAGGGGTATGTTGTGCCATAGAATGTTGTAGCCGTCTGCAATGTGAACGTGCAGGTTCTGGATTGATTCCGAACACGTCCGTATGGTCGCGCAAGGGATTAAGATACCTGCAAATTATCCATCTGTTTGCTTGCATTTCTTGCATTTACGTAACTGGATTGTGAATACTTGCACTTCTCCTGTTATCATTTATTATGCCTTTCACGATGTTTACGTTTCAGGTTGGTGCTTCCAACGAGATGCCCGAGAGCGAGGAGCTGGACGCGCTGTATGATCGCTTCCTCATCCGTCGTACGGTATCGCAGGTACGGCCGGACAACTGTTTCTCTCGCTCTTGGCCGCTATGCCTTCTGTCGTGCGGACTCCTTTTTGGCTTTGTATAGCGTAGCCTTAACAAGGAGAGCTGTAGCTCATGAGTTGCGCGGAACAACCTGGCCATGGATAATGTATGGACTTGCGTATGGCCCGTGGCTACATTGGATGCCAAAGACTGTAGCTGTAAAATGCCCGGGTGCCGAGTGCATGCCAATGAAACACTGGCATTGCCCATAACTTGTGTTCTAGAGATCCTCACTGCGGATGACGAACGGATTTCACCCTTTTGCGGTCGTAACTGGTTCCTGTGTTCCTCATGCGACCGAACTGAGACACAATACATTTTGGTACGCTTGTAAATTAATTCTCCGCAGGTCTCCAACAACCAGTTGTACAAGCTGGCTCGCCTGGCCGCCGGTCGTAACGACCATGCCCTGACCGGCGTCACGATAGCTAACGGTAACGGGGGCGGCAGTGAAGCTGTACAGCAGCAGGTGCGTGACAACCCCATAGGACTGAGGGCAGCCTGCTGAGACATTTACCGGTATGTCCTTGTGTAGTAGTTGTGGCTTGCATGGCCCCCGGCACGTAGTCTTTGCAGAGGATCGGCCTCGACATGTCGCAAGACTGCTCTCTAATCTTTAGGTGCCATGGAAACCGGTCGCGATCAACAAGGTTGCCCCTCGCTTGTAGAGCACCGCGCTTAGCCAGCTCTCATTCTCCTATCTTATTCACTTGCTGTCGACGCCACACACTCCACCCTTGGTGCCCTTATAGTCGCCGTCCGCCTGCGTCCCCTTAGTGCCTGGGCAGAAAACCAAACTCGTGTCGGACCTGAGCTCGCCCATCTTAATGCGAACCATTTCAAAGTAGAGGCGCCGTCTACGTGACGTCTCACTATCCTGTCCACCCTTTGGCCCCCCACTGGCTGCCCCGCGGCTCCACATTTCCTGTGGTTCCTGCAGGTCCTGTCCATGGACGACTTCCGAGGTACGGCCACCACCGCATACTCTGCTGTGGACGTGCCTGACTCGGTCATCGATCTGCTGACCGGCCTCCGGAACCACCTGCAGGTACTATTGTTGTGTGGCTGGAGTTGTGTGGCTGGCTGTACAGGCGGCTGGGGAAGAATGGGGTCCGGTGGGATGCCCAACTATTGCGCACGTAATGTTCCTTCTGTGGCCCCCTCGTGAACCCCTCTTGAGCTTATGAGCCTGCTCTTCACGGCCTCACGTACCCCTCTCGGTGCGGCCGCCCCTGTGCTTCCCGTGTCTTACATCTCCAGGATAAATGTGAGCCGCCCATGTACGTCTCCGACCGCCGCTTCATGAAGGCGATCCGCATGCTGCAAGTTGCGGCTTACGCTGACGGCCGCGATCAGGTCAACGAGTACGATTGTCTGATGCTGGAACACGTGTTTGGCAACCGGCCTGATGACGGTGTGAAGGTTCGTCAACAGGTTCTGGACATGGTGGCGGCTGACCCAGGGCTGCAGCAGGTAGGGATGAGATTTGGATGCGCATGAAGAAGAGGGCCCAACAATCACTTGACCAGTGGGGCCAACCAGGGGCCGCACGGATGGGAAATGGCTTTGCTGCATCCAAGGTACAAGTCCCTATCCGCTCACCGACCCCAAACCTGCCATCGTGCGACCACAGATGATTTCTCCGTCCAGCCTTGTGCCGTGCGCAACAGCTGCGGTCGTCGTTCCCGCTGGCTAACATTGTTGTTGTTGTGGTGCTTCCGTTAAACCATTGCAGGCCGAGTTGGTGCTTCTGGGACTGTTTGGACGCACCTGCCGCCTGCTTGAGGGTGAGCGGGTGGGCAGTTGTGGATAATGAGGACAAGGAACTGGATGTACGGTGATTGGCTGAAGCTGCGACCCGCTTCTAGGACCGCTTATCTATGGGTCGTCGTATGCATGATGACCGTTAGCTTACCCTACGTCTGAAGCTGACCCAGTTCCTGTGTGCTCTCGTACTGTGCACCTCACGGGCAGGTCCTGAGGATGCCGCGGAGTTGGCCGCTGCCTCAGCGGAGGTCGCGCAGCTAGTGGATCTGCTCAGTAGCCGTCACGCGGCATTGGCCGCCAACCTAGAGGTCAGGCATATGGAGGGATCCGTGGAAACAATTAGAAAGGATAGCTAGCGGGGATTCTAGGGGAAAGGGGACGGGGTCAACCACTCGCTCCATGAACTTGCAGACTTTATGGAATAAATCCATCCGTGTTATGTGTTCACCCCAGACAGACTCGTTTCTTCTCCTAGCTGCTGGGGGAGAGATGTAATTTGTGGCAAAGGATCATCTAGTGAAGGCCCTGCGTCAAGTGTACATGCCTAAAGTTACGCCTCACCTCACGGCGAACCCTTTTAATTTGTCCTTGGCTTCCGCACCACGCAGGGCAATGGCTTTCCAGAGTTGCGGGCGACACTGTGGCAGGCGGAGGCCAGTGTGGCGGCTGCAGTGCAGGCACTCGTGCCACAGATGACGGAGAACCGCAAGAAGGTGGGTAGTGCCAATAACTGCTTGTGACCTCTCCCTAAATTGACATCCGTTTACCTTGACGAAGCTCTGCATGTCAATGGGAGGCGCTGTAGTAGCTGTCGTACAGTACGGCACACGTCGTCTGTAAATACGCGGTAAGGTGCTCTGCCTGCAAATTGAGAAGCCGTTGCAGTGGCCAGCTACTACAGGCGCCCATATTGTCGACAGCCCCTCGGATGCGTGTACTGCCCCAACCCCCATAATGCGCTTGGGCCCTATCATCAGGTGGAGGACCTACTCCGCGAGGCCCAGACCCTGGCGGCTGTGCTGCGTACCCCCTCGGCTAGTGCACCCCTCCTGGAGCGGCTATTGCCCAAACGCTTTAAGCAGTACCAGAAGGGCATCAGTGCCAAGGTTTAAGAGGAGCGATGGTGTGTGAGCAGGAGGGCCAGGAGATTGAGGAGGGCGCTGCCTGAGCTACGTCTAGCATCCAAGGGGGAGGGGCACATTGCCGTGAGCAGCTGGGCGTAGTCGGGAGTGGAGGCCCCTGGCGTACACAAGTGCGTATGTGTGTCCTTGGCGAGTTTTAAAAGGGACGGAGTAACATTGAGAAGGCGTGTTTACATTTGCGTGCATGCGAAGGGGCGCGTGTCCGATGGGGTGGCTCCGCATTGGATCGCTTGGGCGCGTGTGTTCCTGCTGGCCTCGTGGAGGGATAGCAGGAAGCCATTGAGGAGGAGCATTGGGGAGGTGATAAGGGCAGGCAGGGCTGGCGGAAGAAGGTGACGAATGGATTCCGTTGTCCACCCGGTCGCAACGAGTTTCTGTCGAGGATGGCGGAGGAGTATTATACAGAGGTGGCTCGTGCGAAAAGGCGCTCCGTCGCAGCACGCCATGCATTGGGGTCAGGCACCACGCTAGAAACAAGTTTGGCTTGTTTCATGCGCCAAACATACCGCTGCAAAGCAGCAAAACAGCCAGATTGGCAGAGGTTACCTCATTCTTTCAGCTTCTGATGTCTTGTTTTGAGCACATGCGAATTGATGGCTTTTGCGACTGTGCATTGTGTGACCATGCTGGGTGGAACGTGGTGATGTTTAAGGGTGTATGTTGAGGATGGCAAACATGCAATTAATGTTTTTACGGTTATCCGTTAACGCTTATTGGCTATTTGTTATCCTTCTGGCGGTCAAGGAACTACCCGAGTAGTTCCTGCGATGAGCTGATGGACCCGCACCATACAATTCGCGATAACGTATTGGGTTCGCGGCGTGTGGCAGAAGTGCGGGGACTGGGCAAGCAAGGTGCGGGGGCTGGGCAAGTGTCAGTTGTGCACGGCACATATGGCGCGTGTGGCGGCTTTCCGTGGCCTGCGAGCGGGGCATTCTTCGTATCTGTTCGTCTGAAAGAATTTCAGCATGCTGGGATGCGTGGTGTGCATGTACGAAATTCATGTAATTTCGAAATTGCATGAATCTCCGTCGTACCTGATGCAAGTCTTTTTTTCGCGCTGGGAGAACGAGCGGTACTGAAAAACCTTGTGAATTATATATCTGGACACAAGGATGCCTGTAGAGCTAAGGTGTGCGCCTAAGTGGTATGTCTGTAGAGCTAAGGTGTGCGCTAAGGTGTGCGTAGTGCAGGAGGCGTTGAAATCGTGAAGCGAACACTGTTGCAATAGCACCGCGGATGTACTCTGTTAGCTTCCAAGTCCTGCCAAGTTCTGCCGCCTTGTAACACATCATAGCAAACTCGCCGTCAGCGAGATTTATGTGCTCGTGCAAGCATACGTACGTGCGCTGCCAGTGACTGTGGTTCTGAAGTTCTGAGGCGGCGGCGAGGACAGGTAACCAAAAACAAAGGGATAGAAAGCAGAAGGCATGTATCGAAGTACCCTTCACACAGGTAAACCAGTAATGGCTACCTTAAATAGCTAGACGTCTTGAAATTTCGTATACATAAATATGTCCGCAAAGATTCACATTTTACAATTTTCACCTCGAAGATTCTAGTCAAAGTTCCAAAATCCTTTGCCTGCTGGACCTGGATCCCTTATCTCCGAGCCCCGATCCGTATTCAACTGTATGTAGCATACGTAAGTTTCAAATTCTTCGACACGCGGAATTTCGGGTAAGCTATTTGGGCCAAGTTCTCACCTGGGCCAGGCAGGGGGGAAGGAAGGGAAGTTAAATTAGTCACGCAGCGGCGCCACCCCATCACCGGTGCTTTGGTTTTGCTGTCCATCAGGTCTTCCCCCGGAGTGGGGACCATCTACACAACCATACAAACCTTTTTCGTCAGTTTTGCTGACTGATTGCTGGGCGTGCACTGCCCTTGAGGGTGGAGGGGTCTGATGGGGGCGGGTACATGCGTGATACATGATACAGCAGCAGGCACACAAGACGCTTGATTGACTAGAATAGCAAGGCTAGTGCTGGGAATCGGGGCCTTTTGCAGAGTTTAGGCTGCCACACGCTTGCTTTTGGATACTGCATGAAGTCTGATAGCTGACAGGTTGTGCAACGGACTTGACCCGTGTACCCTGCCCTGGTCTGCACATCCACCCCTGGACCCGCACCCAGCATGTTGCCCCGGATTTCTCGCCACCCAGCTGTCAGCCCCGGTTTACCTCACCTCCCGACAGCACCAAGCCTGATTGCTGAGACATTGTGCAATGGAAAGGCAAGGGTCTCGGCTCAGGTATCGAAGCTGTCTTGGGAATCTGGGTGGTTACAGGCGAGGCACAGGCTGTGACGGCTGACAGGTTACACAATAGAAAGGCAAGGGTCTGGCCTCAGGTATCGAAGCTGTCCTTAGCCGCCTTAAGAGCAGCATGCTTCTCAATGTATGCCCTTTTCTCCGCCAGGGGCAACTCCGACCACAGTTTGCCCAGCAGGCTGGAGACACCTGCCGATGGCACCCCGTACTTGACATGAATGGTGGTGCCCTGAGAGGTTGCCAACTCGTGCTGCTCCTTGCAGAACAGCATATAAGCGTTGGGAATCTGCGCCTTCGCACCACTCCCACCCTTGCCGCAATTGGAAGCACCACTTGTATGCTGCTTCTTATGTCGCCCAACCCCACGTTCCACTGGCAAGGTGCCCGACCCTTCCACGCCTGCAATTTCTGTCGTCCCCCCACCTGATCCAGCCTCCCCAGCCCCGCCACCAGTTCCGCCAGTTAGCGCCGCTGCTGCCGCCTCCCCAGCCCCGCCACCAGTCCCTCCAGTTAGCGCCGCTGCTGCCGCCTCCCCAGCCGCGCCACCAGTCCCTCCAGTTAGCGCCGCTGCTGCCGCCTCCCCAGCCCCGCCACCAGTCCCTCCAGTTAGCGCCGCTGCTGCCGCCTCCCCAGCCCCGCCACCAGTCCCTCCAGTTAGCGCCGCTGCTGCCGCCTCCCCAGCCCCGCCACCAGTCCCTCCAGTTAGCGCCGCTGCTGCCGCCTCCCCAGCCCTGCTGCCCGTTCCACCAGTCTGCACCGCTGCTGCCGCCTCCCCAGCCCCGCCAGCCAGCACTCTGCAGAGAGTCACCTTTCGGGCAGCCTTTACAGGTGATTTGTACGTATCAGGGCGCATAGGGTCCACAATTGCCTCCAGCTCGCCCCGCAGCTCTTGCTCTTTCACATATTGTCGCAGCTGGCCCAGGCTGATTTGCTTCCTCTTCTGCACAGCAAGCCAGAACTGCGCAGCCTGGACCACCGTGCAGCGACGCTGTGAAGCGGTCCAGACGATGCACTTGTCATAGAGGTACTTTATTTCTTGCCAGCGCTGCTTGTACCCCTGCCGCCACCTCGACTGGTATTTCTCCTCAAGCTGAAGCAGAGATGGATAGGCACCGGGGCGGCCATAGGTGAAGATCTGGAACAGGACCTCGATGTCCGAAAGGTCTGGCCATGGCCTGTGCCCTGGTGGCAAATGCTGAAGCTCATCAACCTGCTCGCGTTGCTCATCCTTCTCCCGTAGCTTGCGCTTCTTACTGGTCGGTGTATACAGCGGCTGGAGCAGCTCCCTGCCCGCGGCGCCGACCTCCTGCCGCCCACTGAACACCGGCTGGGGGGCCAGCTGCAGACCCGCGTGCAAGCCTAAGGCCAGCATTGGTGCTGCCACTGGTTGGAGCAGCTCCCTGCCTGCAGCGCCGACCTCCTGCCGCCCACTGAACACCTGCTGGGGGGCCAGCTGCAGAACAGCTGCTCCGGTGGCAGCTGATGCTGCTTGCTGGATTTGCGCAACCTGGTAAGGCAACATTGCCAGCTGCCTCTGAATACCACCAAGTAGATCTATGACGAGCTTACTCGACGTGCTGCCCGTGTCTGCCATGAACCCGCAGAGCCTGGAGGAGTCCTCTGGCAAGTACGTGTCGTTACCAATGTTAGTCATGGGGTCGCCACGTGGCCTGCAGCAGTGGTAACAGTGCAGCAGCAGCAGCCCATTGAGGCGTACGGTGCAATTACAATGGTGATCAGCTAAGAAGGGCATATGTGAGTGCAAAACAAAGGAGGGCCCAGAACCTCACTCGTACCACACAAATGCATATCATCGATGAGGTAAATTCTCACCTTCCACCCTTCCCCAAGGCCCGCGCTTTCGCCACCTTCCATTCCATCCGGAAAATCAAGTTGTCATCCAATGGCGGGTCATCATTTGGATGCAGCAGGCGGTTCTGTGCATCCAGGTTGCGAAGCGCCGCGCGACACTGCTCAAGTGTGGATATCCCAACCTACGCGTAAGAAGAATTCCAGAAATAAGGTTTCTTTCTTCTAATGATGTCGACACGGAGGAGCATCATTACGGTGCATCCACACGGAGCAGCCTTACCTTTCGTTCAGCGAGCCACTGGAGCCACTGCCCGCCGACCTCCGCCAGCTCGCGCCCCACGAGGTCTTCTGCCAGCTTCCCGATGTCCTCCTGCCGCTGTCCAAGGAACTCCTGGTGGCAAGGGTAACGTGTGGGTGGCGTGTGGATGTACAACATCCCCGGCATGTACGGTTGGCTAATCACAGCAGGACCCCATCCCAACTGCAGCAAGCTCCGCTGACCTATGCTGCACAGAGCATCATCAGCAACTTCTCGAGAAGCGTTATCCTTACCCTGAACATGTTCATCTCCATTCTGTACTGCTCAGTGGTCCTGTCCCTGTGCGCGTCTTCCCGGTACCGATCACCAAGGGCCTCACGCATCTCACGTGTGTGCTTGAACTGGGGCCGCCTGCCACCCCCACGTCCACTGCCACGACCACGTCTGTGGCGCAACAGACGTGCATACATTGGGCGTTACCATATACATACATATGCATTTCCGCATCACATCCGTGCTTACTTTGCCTGTGGCTCTCCCTCGTCATCCTCAGCGGTGTCCTCCTCCTCTTCCTCCGCCGCCGCCGCCGCAGGCCCACCACCACGGCCACCCTGCCCGCCGTGACCACCGCGGCTACGGCTGCCGCGGCCATGGCCCCGCCGGCTTGCGCCCCGCCGACCTCCGCCCCCACGCTCGGGTCCACGTCCGCGCCTGTGCGTGCCCATGTAATTGCGCGAGAAGGAGGAAATAACGTCATTCACCATGAAACCAAGGAAGTAACGTCATCCACCATGAAAAGTTGCGTGAGGAAGCAACGCCATCCACCACGGACCCAAGGCAACGCACGTTGAGGTAAGCTTACCGAGGCGGCTCCTCTGCTGCATGCTCCACTGTATGCTCGACCGCATGCCCCGCAGCCGCCACCCATGCGAGATTGTCGCCGTTGAGTGCACTGTCATACATCTGCTCCATTGCGAGCAACTACATGATAACTACGTAAGGAATATGCACCAAACCAAACCCGATACAGGCTGTGGAACCGGTTGAGGCGTGATGGAACTCGTCCAATCTTGACGATGAAATCAAGCTGTCCATCAGGAAATAGAGTTAAGCTGTATTAATCATAACAAAAGTTCAAAATGCAGTTGATCTGAAGTGAATGAGGCGCTGGTTATGGCTGGACCGGAAGCTGGTTATTTTAAGCTGGTTTGAACTGGTTAGCGGTCCGGCAGCCAGTCCGGCGATGACCGGAACCGGTCCAGCCGTACCCATATAACCATCGGTTATACATACTTAGGCATGCCCTTATGTTACGCGGGATCCTGAGCAGGAAGGACGCGTGGACTCAGCACGCCTGAGAAGTGATAATAACAACGGCTCAAGCCGCACGGATGCACAGCTGGTGCTGTGCTGCATCCGCTGCAGCGTTACGTCCCCCCAGGTCCCGTATCACAGAGCACCATGCTGAGGAACTGCACATCCAGGTCTCCTTTCATACAGCAAGTCCAACATGGGCCAATAGGCAGACGACAAACAGGCCAGGGGTCAAAAAGCGCACACGCCAACGCTTTGCATAGACCATGGCTTGCGAAGGAACACAAGCGCACGAAGCCCCTCCAAAGAACCCTGCCTTCCGTGCTCCTCGCACCTGCACACCTGCCGCATCAGGGAATTTGTCCCTCGCGCATCCTCCAAACCTCTCTTCCTTTTGATGGACGCTACACGCCGCCGCCACAAGCACCTCAAATGCAAATGCGGTCGTCACGGCACGTCACTGCTGCATAAAAGCCATACGTAGACATCTGAACTGAAACAAATCATAACTGTTATTGCTGCAACCAAGGTTAAGCCGTGACTGCTGCAAAACACGCCCTAAAGAACTATCCAGTCTTGCACCCGCTCGCAGCTCCCTCTGCAGAGGTCTGGACCAGCACACCTTCCAAGACCTTCACGATGTCGCAACAAACAGCCACGCTCATGTTCATATGATTTGGAACGTCCCGCTTCCAATGTTTACCCTACCACCAGTCCTTTGTCGCCCGTGCAACAAGTAGCCGACGCTTCGATTACCTCTGTCCCAGTTCGTCCCTCGGGGTGACAGGACCGTGAGACGACGTCCCGAAGCCGTCATCTCTCAGGTTCATAAGCAGTGAAGCACGTGAACATATATGCGCTACCAGGGCGTACTTTGCTGTGGGCTGTAGGCCATCAGCCTGCAGCCCACAGGATGGAAGCAGCGAACAGGCCGGGCTTCCATATGCGGCTATAGACATAGACACTTTTCCATGCAAACACGCTTCACATGCATTCGGAAAGCCATTTACAAGCCCCAATCGTTGTGCACCCCAGCAGAAACCCCAGTCCCAAACACTTGGTCTCAAACAAAGTCCGATGAAAACTCAAGGGAGATGGCCGCCACGCTTTTCTGTGTAGTGTAATGTGGCCGACAGCCGGCGACTCCGGTCCCACGTCAACCATAATCCACACGTAGCAACAAACTCGTGCAACTTTGACCGAGTGGTAAGCCACGCAACTCAAAACAGAAAAATCCAGGCGCAAAGATGTCTTCTCCTCTGCCTCCACTTTCACCATCATCTCAGCGGCTGCAGGAGCGGTCGTTGTGAGCCGTAAACGAAAGCTGTTAGATTCCACAGCCAGTCATCACAGCTTCATTCCCGCTCCATGCGCCTCGCTCCATCCATTCAGTTACCCCACGGTTCCCTCCAGCTTGAGGCTCATCAGCTCGTTGACCTCGGCCGCGAACTCCAAGGGAAGCTCGTTGAACACCTGAGGAGGAAGAGGAGGAGGAGGGAATATGGTTGACCGGTGCCAAGGCTTGGACAGGCGAACTGCCGAAGGCCCAAAGCCGTCGGTGGAAGACAGGAGAATACTGTAACAGGACGGAGGTAGAGGCCGTGGGCCATGTTGGACAAGAAACGAACACAGTTCCCAACAAGATGGCGTCCAAGGCGCAGTCGCAGTCATAGAGAGGTGCAAGGCAAGGGCCGGCGGGATTGCAGAGCCATAAATGCCATGCACGATGTACCCAGCCAAACAAGGGAGCCCGAATAAAGGGGACAACAAGGCATTCCTATCACGCGCCCCAACATCTCAGTCCGCCGCACCCCTTATCGCGCTGCACAGCTGCCCGGACTTTCTCTCTTCTGCAGCACCATCCCTCCTTGCACCACCTCAGTTGCAGCCACATTACCCAGAGCACCCACAAAACCCAGCCCGCAATCATCCAACCCAATACATTGCCCGACCCGGCTCCGGCAACCGATGACCCACCTCCCTGCAGAAGCCGCTGATGATGGCTCCCACCGCCTTCTCCGGGTCGATGCCCCGCTGCTGGAAGTAGAAGAGCTGGTCCTCACCAATCTTGGAGGTGGAGGCTTCATGCTCCACAACTGCGGACGGCTCGCGGACCTGCACACGCAGCAGGCAGATAGGCAGATCGGTAGGCAGGAAAGTCGGATAAACAGGAGGAAGGTACGTAGGCGGCGTGGCAGGCGAGCAGACAAATAACGCAAGCCGACACACGCGAACAGGCGTGCACGCATGCAGATGCAGGCAGCGGAGGTCAACGAACCGAGTACCGGAACCGGCTCTCGAGTCAGGACACGGCGCATGTCCCCATCTGGGTACACGCTAAGTGCTACACGTGGTGCAATGGCTCCCCTGCGCAACCAATACACACACGCCTACATATGGCCCTCTGCAGTCAATCCAGCCTTCCCCCCAGCATCCGAGTCTTTCCCACCCCACCCGTTCCCAGCTCTTCCAGCCAGAGCCATCCCGCCCGAGGCAGGTGCCCACCTGGATGTAGGGGTAGGTGTTGGCCCCAGCTCGGTCGCCGATGAGCATCGAGTCGCACTGCGAGAAGTTGCGGGCGCCCTTGGCCGAGGGCATCACCTGCACCAGGCCGCGGTAGCAGTTGCGGGAGGTGCCTGCGGATATGCCCTTGGACACGATGCGGGAGCGGGTGTTGCGACCCACGTGGATCATCTTGGTGCCCGTGTCGGCCTGGGAGCAGGGCGGGGGAAAAGAGGGCACAGCGGGGGAAAACAAAAGGTAATCCAACCAAGTGCGCCGAACGATAGCGAATGCCAAGGTCTCGATGGAGAGGAGGGCGGGGTTATAAAAAAGGGGGCAAGGAGCTCGAGTACGAAATGCAGGCGGCATTAACTGCAGATGCCCAGAGGGGGTGGATTAAGTTGTGCAGCCGTGGCCGACAGTGTCGCGGGAAAGGGATCCAGGTGTTCCAGGGGTGAGAGGAGGAGGAGGAGCAGGGAATGGAACTGTGGCGACCACGCAGCAAGGTAAGGAATTGAACGCACACATGAAAGTGGAGGAGAGATAGATGGAGAGGCAAGATGTAAACCTGCTCAAGGACTGCGGGAAAATGGAAGGCACGTGGGAGAGACGCAATTCTACTGCCGGAGCAAACGAGAGGCACTGGCGCGGGTATGTAGACCGGATGTGGGGTCAACGTGCAGCCATGCCCCCACACGACCAACCTGCTGACAGTTGTTGGTTAACGCCACGCTGTAAAATTCGCCCACGCTGTTGTCGCCCGCCAGTACGACGGAGGGGTACTTCCACGTGATGGACGAGCCCGTTTCAACCTTGACAAGGACCGAGGGCGAGAAAGCGGAAAGGCTGATGTTGTTTTGACGTCCTCGCCGCCAGTGAAAATCGACGCCATCCATTGAGAGCAGAAACGGAAGTGAATGCATGGTAACCCCACGCGTGATGGCGGCACGGAACGGGGACTCGGCCTAAATGCGATGGAGCTGACGACAGACAGACAGACACACACACACACACACGCACACTGGTCCAATACAACGGGCTCTCGATATCACGGCTTCTGTTCTACATCTTGGTCACTTCAAGCTATGTCGACAAATCCTTACGGAAAAGGCTCACAACTCGCTGGACTACGGAGCTCACTTCGGTACAGTTATTCGTGCACCCACTTCGGCCTGTCCTCGCATCACGGCTCAGGTTAATTAAACACACACACACACACACACAACGCAGGCACAGGTTATTCGTGTACCACCATCGACAATTTCCTCATCGCGGCTCATATCATTAGGCTGAAGACCCCCCCTGGCCGTTGAGCCCCTCCTATCCTCCCGAGAGACCTCCCACCAACACCACACTCTGCACACACCAGAACAGCAGTAGGCACATCCCCTAGCGCAAGCCGCCGCACCTGCGTCCAGCTAATCTTGGAGTTGGGCCCAGCGCACATGCCGCGCTTCGTGACAAAGTTATAGATGCCGCCCTTGCCGTTGGCGTCGCCGGCGTACCAGTTCTGGACGGTACTGTACTTGATCTCCGCATCCTTCTCGCAGTACAGCTCCACAACAGCGGCGTGCAGCTGCAGACGAAGAAGTATAAGGTGAGGTCACAACGAGAGGGGTGAGGTCTATATCCCCCAGCGGCACTGCGGACCAGCGGTGCAGGTCAGGATGGATCACGGGGAGGGACGGCACCACGAGCACACCGGTACGCAGGATGCCCTCCCGTTTAACGGTGTCCAGGATGCCCTCCCGTCAACACGAGCCCCCCCTTAAGAATCGCGGAATACGGCATCAGCTTTTTTTTGTCTTCCACAAAGTAAAGTTTTCTAGGAGTGCGGGACGTAGAGAAGCCGCCCCTTCATACGCTTAAGCCCGCGTCCCTGCCCAGAACGTCATACCTCCCAGCAACCCTTAACAGCAGCAGTCTCAATCTCAGCATTCATGCCGCTGCGATGCCCCTGTCAGCCACGGAGGCTGGCGGATTGCTGTGCGAGAAGCTGCGCAGAATGTCTCCGGTGTCTAAACCACCCAGGAAAGCTATTGGGACCCCCGAAAATAGTCGGCTCATTCCGTACCTGGTTGCTGTCGTAGGCAGGGGCCGTGCAGCCCTCCAGGTACGACACGTACGAGCCCTCCTCGGCCACGATCAGCGTCCTCTCAAACTGCGCAGGGCATTAACGGGGACAGGGTTATACGCATGTAAACAGTAATTCGTACCGCTTTATATACAAGCAACCGGACGGCATATGCTCCAGCACAGCCAACTCAACTGGACTCACCACATGTGAGATCCCAACTCATTGCCCGACAGCTTCAAGCCATACCCCGAATGCCTTGCCTCGTACAAGGCAGGCGATGGACGCGGTAATATAAAAGTGTGCAATGACTAGGTGACCTCCGCTGACCACTCCGCCTGTTCGTCTATGGGTTTGACGCGAGAGTGGCCCACGCGCTCCCCCCGGGCCCCACCTGGCCGGTCTCACTGGCGTTGATTCGGAAGTACGTGGAAAGCTCCATGGGACACTTTACACCCTGGGTAGGAGTACAGCAAAGAAAGAGGCGCGCCATTAACGTCAATATCGGCCTTGTGCTTGTGGGGTCCGGGGGAAAGAAGGGGAGGGGAAATTATACGTAACATGCTGCACATGTACCCGCCATGGAGTGGGAAAGAAAGGATGAGCCACTCCTCGTCTCTTCTGTGGATCTTATCTAAGCAACGACTAAATCCCCTCCGTGCTGCCCTAGGGTTCCAACCCCTTTCCCTCTAATCCCTAAGCGCACAGCCCCTAGTCCCTAGTCCATCGAAATATCATTATGCTAGCAGACCATGGCAAGCACAGCATTGCAAATTCAAAGCAAGGATCCGGGGGCGCCACGAGGGCAGGACCTGTACCTTTGGAACAAACACAAAAGAGCCATCGCTGAACACCGCCGAGTTCAGAGCAGCGAAGTAGTTATCGCCCACTGGAACCTGCGGGAGGGGGAAATGGTTGGGGGGAATTGCTCTTTTATACGGAACAGCGCACGGAGTGCGATGCCGATGTGGTGGGGCCATGGGACCAAGGAATAGTCGAGGCAAACTTCGCTACATCCGGAGCAACACGCATGAGTAGTATAAGAACAGCTACAACTTTAGGAAGAGTGGCATTCAGTGAAAGTATCAAGTCGCTTCGATGATGTGTCTGAACAGGTGAGCCGGGCTGGAGATGGCGCAAGGTTAGAGCCTGCTCAGCCACAGGCTGGTGCCAAAACACGGTGCATGGCGGCTATGGCAGAAGGGTGGAAGTTGGATACAGGCAACACCAGATGCACCTGGACACAAAAAGCAACATGAACCTGGCCCAGACCGCCAGTGCGTCCGAAGAGACGGGAAAGCAGGAAAACGGGTCGATCACGCAAGTAGTGGCGGCCCCACTGCCGGCTTCCAACCGCAACCCAAAAGCAAAATTTCAGGACATATATGAACTCGGGTACACGACACCAACCACTATGTGGTAACACATGGCTAGATACTATCTCAAGCCACCACGGGGATCGCTGATGCTATGGCTTCTACTACTTGCGGGCTCAGGGCGCCGGCCGCACTGCCCGCCTGGCCAACGCTGCCACTTCTTCTGCCCCCATCTGCGGTGGTTGACGCTGCCTCCTGTTCCCCTTGCAGCCGGTGATTGCCCATTCCTGATGGGCCATCAGCCATACCGTGTGTATAAGGCGGCTGTGCCCTCACAGAAAGCGCCCGAGTGGCAAATAGGAATGCGTTTGGAAAAGTGTGTTGTGCAGGGTAAGGTGGGGTAGAACAGGGTGAAAGGACGCCGTGGATGTTTAGGTCGGGGGCCTTACCACGCTGCCCATGTACTTCTTCACGAGGTCCGGGTACTCCTTGAGCGCCTCTGAGATGGAACAGAAGATGACGCCGTGTTTCTTAAGATCTTCCTTAAAAGTCGTGGCAATGGAAACTGAGTCAAACACGGCGTCGACTGCAACGTTGGCCAACCGTTTTTGCTCGTTAAGCGGAATGCCAAGCTTCTCGAAGGTCTTTAGCAGCTCCGGATCCACCTCTTCCAAGCTCTTCAGCTTCTCCTTCACTTTAGGCTCAGAGTAGTAGCTTACGTCCTGGTAGTCAATTTCAGGGTACGCGTTGTCTGACCATTTAGGCTCCTCCATCGTCAGCCACTTCCGGTACGCCTTCAAGCGGAACTCAAGCATCCATTCAGGTTCTCCCTTTTTGGCAGAAATTGCGCGCACGACGTCCTCGTTTAGCCCCTTCGGAAAGGTGTCCGACTCAATTATGGTCTTGAAGCCATATTTGTAGGGTCGATCCAAAATTTTCTGAATATCACGCTTCTCGTCAGATAACTGTGTGTCTTCAATCATTGCTGTGCGGCAAGACATAGCACGTTGATGCGGCTGTGAGCGATAGGATGTGCGGATGCCACAAGACACAGTAGCTGCGTTGCGACGCCCGCATTCGCTAGTGCTAGCACCCGAGCAGGTGCGACTAGGGAGTAGTGAAACCATAGTCGATTACAGGCGCAAACAAATCTGCTCGAATCAATCCGGTGCACTTTTGCAAAACCTTATCAGACTTACAGTCTGAACAAGTGTACCAAACGTGTAAGTTCGAAAGGAGGCAACTAGAGGAAACACTCACGGTTTCGGAGCGGGTCTCGGCGCTTTTATGCCTGCCATGGGATATGAGGCTGTGATTCTTCTTTCTAGCATGCTGGAGTGTGGGGCAATGACTCTTCATTCCTTCATCGCATGCTCATTCCGCTACTCGTCTACATCGGACTTTTGGTGGCTAATATGTAAACAATCCAAACGAGAGTTTTCAGGCGAAAAGTAGTCGTTTGACTCTACCTTAAGCATGAGTAGGGTAATTCGCAGGCCATGAAATTGTGGCTTGATATGACTTGACAAAAGGGACGAAAGGTGGCAGAAGAGAAAGCATGTTGCCTTGCTGTCCTGAAAGGCAGGCAATAGGACAGTCACGTTATGAAATCATTCATCCGTCGTTGTTAATGTCGCCAGGTGCTTCTTGACGGGGTTAGACCCCCCTTTCCGTGCCAAGGTATAGCCCTACCGTTCACCATAATGCAACCTTGTCACACTTTAGTTATGAACAACATTATAGATGACCGATATGTGAACACGGGAGCTCACCCGAAAGGATGGACAGCTCTGCAGTCCGGTTTGCCGTGTTCTTTGCCTTGGGGTTTGCCTAGTTTGGCTCTGCAAGGCCAATAGCATTATAACGACGGCCGAAATCCTAGGAGCTTGTGAGCCAGACCCCAAGATGGAGGTTCCCGCTCGGGATTTTCTATATGTTTTACAAAGTTTTACTCGGTGACTCATAGTGGGTCTCAGAATGGGGCAAGCTCTGGCAAGCATGCGTGCCCTCGCACAAGTCAACCCAAAACTTGCCAGGGTTTTTGTGCACATGGGCAACCACTTGAAGACCACCTGTACAGTTGCTGTCGCTGGCCGTTCTGCAAGGCGAACAGTACAGGTTCCCTCCTTCTTCGATTGTGCAAAAAATTGGCATAGCGAAGAGATGCGAAGAGATGGTAAAGAGATGCTCGTGCCTCTTCATAGGAGGAAACGGAAGTGAAGCACTGTGGGAAGGTTTTGGTATAATGTGGCCGAACTGTCGGCCATATCGTGCGAAAGTTAGGTGAGCATGTTAGACTTCTGCTTTTTCCCGATAGGTTTGGGTCACTCCCAAAGTCACGAACAAAGATGCAACTGGTTGCCACCAGTGCGAAAGTTGCCACCCTGGTTACCACAGGACGAGAGGTGGGTTACTCGGGCGTTTAGGTAACCCGAGGATGTTTGACAGCTTTTATCTTCAAAGCATCCGCACTTCCCTTCAATGAGGCCACACTAATTTGCCGGTATTGGTAGGCACGAGGCTACCACTCATAGGAGAGCCATATCGGCAAACTCCCCCCTAGTCCCCTGTTGGTACCAGTGCTAATCCGGTCTTAATCTATACCTAGCCTCTTGAGTAGGTTGCGTGTCGTTACGGAACAGCCGGTCTACTTTTCCTGGTTTGGAATGCAGCGTCAGGCGACGTGCCCTTTGCCTCGGCTTCTTCACCTTCAGGCATAAAAGCCTGGTAGTCCGCTGCAATATTAAACAACAAAAATACATAATACTGGCCAACAATGAGTATTGTGTGCTTAGGATTCCGGTACCTCGCCAGATGTGCTGCTTTCTAACCACCATATGATCGGCTTGCGGAGCAAATTTGATACGAAATGGATAAGTTTGTCCTGCGAGCTAGGTGTGCTGTTGACGCAATCACAAGCGGAGCTGCCCTTGCCACTTTTAAGAGTTTTCGTTATTGGGAAAATGGGAAAATATTCCATGTGCACATTTTTAATGTAACGACTTAAGTGTGTGCTCTTAATAACTTGTTCCATGAATTATTTGCGCCACGTAATGCTGTGGCTCACATGCAAGGGGAGTGTGGCCTGAAGGGCCTTGTGTCTCTAGTTACGTCCATTGATTAAACTCAGTGGCTACGTAAATAGTTTACCTCGCGTAGTCCACTCGAATTCTCGTGTAGTTGTATTTTAACTGCGAATATGGCCAGCGACAAGGGCACTTTTGCTGTGAAGGTGCGAGGCGGCGGAAGGACTGGACAAGGCTAGTTAAGTGCTGATAGATAATTATTAAGTTGAGCTTTTGCATGTTTCTACAGGTGGGCCTCGCCCAGATGCTTAAGGGAGGCGTGATTATGGACGTGACCACGGCAGAGGAAGCACGCATCGCTGAGGAGGCCGGCGCAGTGGCGGTCATGGCGCTTGAGCGTGTACCAGCTGATATTCGTAGGGATGGTGGTGTCGCTCGCATGAGCGACCCGGCCATGATTAAGGCAATCAAGGCGGCTGTGACAATCCCGGTGATGGCGAAGGCGCGCATCGGCCACTTTGTGGAGGCGCAAATCCTCGAGGCCCTTGGTGTCGATTACATTGATGAGTCTGAGGTGCGTTATCCCAAGGCACTACAGGGCTGGGTTTTCAGTCGGGTGTAAAGGTGCCTGCGGCGCGGCAAAGCCCTGACCACACTTGTCCGCCGTCCTCCTACCGGTTGTTATGCTACGTGCAGGTAGCGCAACGCATGCGTTTCACTTCATGTTGTCACAGTTTGATTATTAAACTATTGCTCTCTGTTTCGTTCTCTGTGTTCGTCACCTAAACCAACCGACATGTGCACCTCCAACCGCTTATCGTGGAGTAACCCAGTTGTATGTTTTAACATCGCTGCCTCTCTGAGGGTTGCCTGTTTTTCGCTGACGCAGCTTTTCACCAGATTTCCAGTCTATACTTCAGTAAACGCTATCCTCCTCTCCCACAGGTGCTTACCCCTGCTGACGAGATTCACCATATCAACAAGCATAACTTCAAGGTGCCGTTTGTCTGTGGTTGCCGCGACCTTGGGGAGGCTCTCCGCCGTATCGCAGAGGGTGCTGCTATGATTCGCACGAAGGTAACTACAGAAGAGTGCGTGTATGTTCCGCTGTCCAAGGGAGTTGCGTTGTTGCTCAGTTGGGAGATGTTTTTTTTCACCTGCCAGTGGTCAACTCCAACCCAAGCATGATATGGCGTAACATTGTAACCAGAGCAAGGGTCAGTTGACTGCGTCGTGTCGTACAAGTTTTACAGCTGTTTGGAAGTTAGGCCCTAAGGACATTGAGTGCGATTGCGATGGCCTCGGTACTCTTTTCCGTTCGCGAGTCCCTCGCTTCCCGCGAAACTGTTGCAGGGCGAGGCCGGTACGGGCAATGTTGTCGAGGCTGTGCGACACTGCCGGGCTGTCATGGGCGCCATTCGCCAATTGCAGGTGAGGGCTTAAGTGCAACTGGGGATTTTCATGTGACGCACTAGGACCTCGGCATGCTTGCCTACCCTTGGACCGGTAGGCGCAAGATGGGTCTTACCTTTTGATGACTAAAGCGCACAGGCACTGAGCATGGCATTGGTTAGCTTACTGCCCCGCGATTGAGACGGTCCTAATGTTTGGGTCAGACTTAAGCGTATGACGCCCCTTATGCAAGGGCATTTGGGAATGAAAACATCGGCGTTGGCGCTCCAAGGGGCGCATGCATGAAGATGTAAAATATTCTAATAATTGCCATATGCACTTCCAGGGCTGCTTGAGTGATAGTGAGCATTCATGTGCGTGGCTTGGGTCCAGGTTTTTTGGATTATTGATTAAACTGAGTACTAAGGAAACCCAAACGGTCCTATCTCTGTTCGTAAGACAAGGTAATCGGTCCTGAGGCTCACCTTGTTTGGCTGCATCCTCCTAAATGTCCTTGGGCACAGACGATGGATGACGACGAGCTGTACGTGTATGCCAAGGAGATCCGAGCACCCGTGGAGCTGGTGCGCCAGACGAAGCACCTGGGACGTCTTCCCGTTGTGAACTTCGCAGCCGGTAAGTGCTGAGCGGCAGATGTGGTGTGCAATTAAGTATAGGTAGACGGCGAAACGCTCAAATGCAGTCGTGCCCGCACCTGATGATAACTTCTGGAGGGAGTTTGGGGCTGGCTTGTTTTGCACGAAAGTATTTTGTCGAACTCACTATCTAAACATATTTGCATTCTTGCAGATGGCGTCCAAATATATCCTATACACCAATGTCAACCTTCTGGGTCCCGATTGTTGTGCACACAGGTGGCGTGGCTACTCCTGCGGATGCAGCGCTGATGATGCAGCTGGGCATGGATGGTGTGTTCGTGGGCTCCGGTATCTTCAAGTCTGGGGACCCTGCCGCACGCGCGCGCGCCATTGTACAGGTGTGCGGGTTTTGGAGGGTGTTCAAGTGATAAGTGTCGAGATGGGAATGTGGTGAAGAGGTAATTACTAGGGAGGAGCCACGGGCAACTGAAAGAGGTCGTGCACCGGGATGATGACCGAAGGGAATGTTGGACACGCTGTAATGTGGCCCTAAGAGAAATTTCTTTTAACAAACGAAGGGTGCAGCACTGCCAGCATGCTCGGTTTCAAATGCATGTGATGCCATTGCCTGGATAGGACCTGAATACTTTGTTGTTCAATGTCGCTTCAAGCTCAGAAGATGGTTCATGTGGTTCTTCCGCGATTGAGGCAAATGGGTGTCTTTTTCCCCTACAGGCCGTGACCCACTACAACAACCCCACCGTGTTGGCGGAGGTTTCCGCGAAGCTGGGCGAGCCTATGGTCGGTATTGATATTCGGGAGAAGGGTTTTAACTCCTATGCCCAGCGGTCAGAGTAAAGCTTTGTTAGGTGGGCGACTGGTGTCCCAAAATCTGTAGGGACTTGACGATGTGCTCCAAGTTCTGGTGTTGTGGTGTCGCGCCGTGAAAAATTGTGGCCATCCTTTGCTTCTGAGCATGGGGAGGGGTGATTCGTGGCAGGGTGTGGTGTGTATCACGTACGTGCAAGTAACAAGTTGTGGTGTTATGTCTACAGCTCGCCACCTCTCCTGTTCGCCAATTTGGGTTGCATCCGGGTCGTAACTCCCCTTACCGGCTGCTGCTCCTTGTGGTTAGAGGCGAGTCTGTGACGTGGTGGGCAGGCGGTTGGCGCATGGTGACCGCGTGTAAACGTGTCAGTCTTTTTTAATTTGTACATATATTACCTTCAGCTGCGAGTGGTGGTTGGAAGTTACGGTCATGCTTGATGGAATGACAGGTTACAGGGATCGAAATGACCTAAGGATGACGGAACTGCCACTTGGTTGCATTGCGATCTCTCCGCTGGCTGTGATGCAGTTGGTGTACATGACTAGTCAAAGGTTCAATTTTTTTGGTTGAAGGCGCACGAGGAAGCATGTGTGATGCCTCAAATGCCACCCTCAAATCCCCCAGCGAGATCGCACATGCTTCCTGCTGCACCTTAAATAAAAAGGTTGAACCTTTGACTAGTCATATGACCAGCTGCATCACAGCCAGCGGAGAGATCGTAATGCAACCAAGTGGCAGTTCCAGAATCCTGAGTCATTCCGTTCTCTGTAACCATTTATTCCATTAAGCATGACGAAATTTTAGCTGCTGGAAACCACGGATGTATTTGACACTGGGCACCCCGCTTATTCGGGGTACTGGCATTCATGCATTTTCCTGTTGAAAATGTAGATGCGCGATGGATGACGCCATGGGGGGGTTTTGAACAGGTATGGATGTGCTGTTCAGCTGGTATCGTGTTCAGGTTCCAGAGAGACTGCTTCACTCATTATACATGCCAGCGAATCAATCGGATAATACACCTTGAAACTGATATACGAAATTTGTATGACGTACGTTTGGCTGAACGACAAATGTAATTTTGTATCATTCGTGTTACTTTTTGATGCTCGAGAGAAACATGCACGGCAAAATTGTTATAGTGGGCAACGAGCTTAAGGCAGTTAATGGGTGCACAATCAACGAAAAGCATTGAGATGGTGTCGCAAGACGATGGAAACCACATCTGAGCACCTTGGGTGTGCAGTGAACCTAGCGGATGTAGTAGCGGACAGGGAGCCTTTCACGGCGTTTGCGGAGGACTGCTGTATGGCATGTATGCTGGGTTCCAGGTAGGCCGCCATGTCAGCAGCGGTCTCGGCTGCAAGACGAAGGGACTGTACATGGAGAGCAGACAGGCGGACAGACAGACAGACGGGCAAACAAAGGGGCTCCTGCTGGTCTCCATTCAGCTGTACACCCGCGACCGCAAACGCCAATGCCCACATGACAGTCTGTGAAACGCCTACAGCATCGCCAAGTCAGTACTAATTTTTTGTCGACGTCGGGCACTGCTGGTCTGAAACCTTTTGTTACTTTGGAATAGTGCGAAAGAGTTTCCCATGCAGCAGGGGACGCTACGGCGCATGCTCACAGCATGTGCGGTCCCTTTCAATCGTCCATGCCCTATGTCACTGAGACCACGGGAGATGGTTCACATGTGCGTCCTAGAATACCCATGAAAAACTTCCAGAGAAAGCATACATCTTTACATCCATGATAGCCATCACCGGACGACGGTCCCGGAAACTCTGCAACACACAAATCGCTTCAGTTGGACTGTAACGAGATCATTATAGCTTTTTGATAACTCTCAGCGCAGCGCATGCAGGTACTGAACCCATACGTGTGACCATAACTTCAATTTATCCTCACGCAAGCTTTGGAGCGATCTATGGTAACTGTGCATTTGCACGACAAAGTATGCTGCAGAGAAACTCTGCCAGCTCCCCAGAGTTGGGCAAGCTGACATTTATTAAATGGCCTAAGTCTCTGTGATGCGTCTCGCATGCGTGTTATGCGTTTGTAATGAACCTTGGGCCTCCCTCCGTACAGAGTCCAAAATACCACGTTCACATTGTTTCAACTCTTTTTTGGCTTCGAGAGTATTTGTCTCGTTGCACACTGCACAAAGAACGTGCGGCGGCCTACTTAATTGCTGCTCGCTGAAAATCTTCTTCGCGTTAGCGGGGCTTTTTCCTAAAGGCACGTAAGCCACTCTCGCAAAGCCACCACCTTCACCGATAGTTGTGGTGACTGGCTTGGTTGGCAGCTGACAAATTCAGCCACGAGATTTGCGCTTAGCTGTTCCTGCCGTGGACTTGCAGGGTGTGAGCCTGAATAGTTCTTTTGTGGCTTGAGCGGCGAAAAGCTACTTTCAGCAGCAGCGTCAGGTAGCCAGCGCGGCGGCGGCAGCAGTTCTTTTTTTAAGGATGCCCAAGAACAAGGGCAAGGGTGGTAAGAACCGCAAGAGGGGAAAGAACGAGAACGAGGAGGAAAAGCGCGAGCTGGTCTACAAAGAGGATGGTCAAGAGTACGCGCAAGTGATCCGCATGCTCGGGAACGGCCGTTTGGAGGCGCAATGCATCGACGGCAGGAAGCGTCTTTGCAACATTCGAGGCAAGATGCGCAAGAAGGTCTGGGTTGCTCAGGGTGACATCGTGCTTGTTGGTCTGCGAGATTACCAGGACGAGAAAGCAGACGTCATCATGAAGTACACGGCTGATGAGGCGCGTGTGCTCAAGCAGGTTTGTAAGGGTTTGCACGTTTTGCCCCTGGGTTTGGGGTTCCACCAGCTGCCGGCGGGTAATTAGGGGGAGGGCTTCAGTTGGGCGTACAGCTATGCAGTGGCCTGGGTTCAGTGCCCATTGTTTCGGTTGTTAGTCGGCCAGAGCTTCTAAGCGGGAAAGCAAGCCTATAAAACATTAGTCGGGGGAAGCGGCTTACAGCCCGTACTGACAGGAAGGGATCTTCTCTGGCGTCTGGGACCCCGCACGCGGGGGAGAGTGCACATCGATAGGACCGTCGTCCCACTACAGATTCCAACTCGTCGTGCCTGCTCCCATGGTTGTGAGCCACCTCTATGAGTCCTGCCTCGGCACAGCCCTGGTGTGCACACTTGAAAATAAAGGCTTAGGATTTCGGCATTTAAAGTTAGAAGCAAGGGGAAATGGTTGCTATCCGTTGGATATGAAGCTGGCTCTAGTGTAGTGTGTAGTTACCTTTGCAGGACCATAACAGCGCAGGAGCCCATGCTCGTTACAGGGACAAACAATGAGCCAAGCTTCCAGCATGTGTACTCTTCCGCGGTGCGTCGTTGCTGCGGGCCAAGCGCAACTAACATCTGGAAGTGACACTGGAAACCATGTTGGTAGTCCCGTGCACACAAGATGACTAAGATTCCGTCGTAGATGCCTGTGGCCACGTTACGCCTTTGCGTCTACAAGGTATCCTCTGGTGTACGTCGGTTATTTTTGTTCATTTGTTCTGTGCCATTGTTCCCCACAGTATGGCGAGCTGCCAGAGCACATTCGCATCAACGACACAGATGTCATCTTCGAGGGTGAAGATAAGGAGAACCAGGAATACTTCGATTTCGATGACATTGCAGGTTCGTGAGTATTTGGGAGCCAACAAAAGGACTGAGCCTGGGTCGTGGCGATCGCAATACTTGCAGATGGGTCAACTTGGACGGTATCCCTTTGGCCCCCTTGCGTTTCACGTCATCTGTGCTCATGTTGTTTCTTGGGTCCGCCGTCAGCATTTGGAATCTGCTTTATAAGTAGGTTTGATCCCGATGTTTGCATCTTATTAATTTGCTTTGATCTGGAGCTGTTCGTCCTGCCCATACGTGCCCTGCTTCCACCCTGCAGAGATTTGAGCGCCATTCCCTTCCCAGTCTTGGCATCCTGGGCGGAGAGTTGCGTATGGACGATTCGCCTGGTGCGCAGTTCGGGAAATTTACACTGCCAACGCAGGCCTGTGCACAGTTTGCATCTCGGTTTGTAGAAGAGAGGCCGGGGTGGACGCAACCGAAGGCATGTCGCCGAGCGTGTCTTACTGTGCATACTAACCGGTGGTGCGCCTCCATAGCCGGGAACGGTGCAGCATCGATCAGCTTTCGTGAGGTGTGGACGTTGTAAGGAATTGGTAGCCATGGACCCTTTCAGTGGACCCACGAAGCAAGTAGCAAACTGTACTAATACTTACTATACGTCCACACTTAGGAACAGAATTGGGGCATGTAATTGGATCGCAACAGTTCAGTTTTACATCTTGTGCCCCCCCTGCGTAAATGAAATCCCCGGTCAGCATCAACATCACGTATATACATGCCAACTGGAAGGCGGTCGAGTCCAGCATCCAATGCTCAAAACGTATGACCAACGAAGAAGTTCATGCACTGCGAAAGAGTAATCATGGAAAAAGTCATTTTGCGTCTTGCAACATAAGCTAACCGCAAATGCAAACAGCTCACAGCTTAGTGTGCTATCGTTAGACGAACAGCTGACAGCTTAGAATACCTACCTCCTTATTGTCATCTGGACAGTAACAGCTAACGTCACATTCCTCATCGAATGCACAGGATTCCAACCACATAATAACCAATGTACACGGACCATGCTCCAAAGTGTCTGCGTCATGCTGCCTTTGCCAACAACATGGCTAGACAATCTTACTTGCCCTGGAGCCGGCGGCGACGCAGGAATGCGGGAATTTCCACCCCGCTGGGCGTGGATTCCACAGCCCCTTCCCGAAGGACATTGGCTGTACCGTGTCCCATGCCAAAAGGCCGCACTGCCATCTGAGGCTCGGCCGAATCGGCTGCCGCCCTCGGTACCCGGCGCGTCTCATTGAGCGCGCCCAGCTCAGGCTCTAACTGACCGAAGCCGGTGGCAATTATCGTGATGGAGACGGTGTCGTCCGGCAGCGTACTGTCGATGACGGCGCCGAAAATGAGGTTTACATTCGGATCCACCATGGAATAAATTATCTGGGCGGCCTCGGTCACCTGGTATGGTGGCGCAAAGAAAAGGGGCATCGATGTGAACTGAAAAAACACTTGTGCAGACGCTTGTTCGGTACTGCTGCCCAAACACCGTATTCCAAACCTTTAGAACTCGTCCCTGCTACCTGACAAGTTGGTGCGCTCGACAAGACAGGCCTCTTACTGTCACGATTGCTTAACCCGATCGCACCTCGAACAGCGACAGGTTGGGCGGGCCAGTGATGTTCCAAACAACGCCCGTAGCCTTGTCGATGCCCACCTCTAGCAACGGTGAGGAAGTGGCGCGCTGGGCTGCTTCCACGGCGCGGTTGGGACCCACTGCACGCGATAGGGACGTAACCGGGGGCACTGCTAGGTCAAACGTGATGGAGAGAGCGGATGGCAGCGTGCTTGAGTGGCCAACTGAGACACAGTACCTCTTCAGACGACTCCGCGCATCGCCCGGCTTATGAAATGCAAATTGTTTCAGCACCAGGAAAGGTAGTTGTGTACCGAACTTCATTGTCCGGGGTTCCGTCGACAGCAACTTACCGCCCATGCCCTGACCCATAAGCGAGGAGCCGGCTCCCGACATTATCGTCCGCACATCAGCGAAGTCGACGTTCACCAGCCCAGGAACCTGCGAAAGGGACATGAAAGCCGACCGAAGGACTCAGGGCTAGTGGCCATTCAGCGGTGCCGTCGCTACACAACAGACGTAATTTATGCTCGGGCATAGTTGCCTGGTTATCGCTGCATGGTTGGCAGTATTGTCGTGCTTGCTTAGCACAGCATTCGCACGGCTGGGGTAGGGCGAAACGTATGACCAACAAAATGTATCTTACGGTGATAATCTCGCTGATGCCTTTCACACCCTGACGGAGGACGTCATCGGCGATCTTGAATGCATCCCGGATGGGCACGTTAGTGTCCATAGCTGCATGGGAAAAGAGAACCAGGCATGATAGCCCAAGTTGGTCATGCTGGTCACTACGAAGGGAAGCATGAGGGGACAAAGCCTTCGGCAAAGCGGCAACGGCGAAGCTATATAAGATCTCACATCCTGTGAGTAAACACCGCTGTGTAGTCGTCCTACTCGACATGCCAGCCGCATAAATGCGGCTAAAGCCCGCTAAAAGGCCAGTCACTGATGGCAGACAATACACATACCTGAGAGCAGGCGGTCGTTTGGAATCACGATAAGTGTATCAACTGCCGCCCGTAGATTTGCAAGCGCGATGCGAGCCTGCATGTTAGGAGGGGCCGGTCATCGCGACGCAACCATCTCATAAAGCATCGTGACAAGCATGCCTTCAGCTGACGTTTCTCAGGAATTGACCCACGTGTTGAATTCAAGTCTGTTACTGCCTTCTAATTCTTCCACTGTTTCGTGCCAAATCAGTGCGTGGGCTTCCGAATGGATGCTAGCCTGTGTGCTGTCGATGCGTTGTCGCCATACCTGTTGTGCGCGCTGTCGCCCTTCGAACGTGAATGGGGTTGTGACAATGCCAACTGTGAGGATACCCATTTCACGCGCAATTTGCGCCACAACTGGGGCGGCGCCGCTTCCAGTGCCACCGCCCATTCCCGCCTGCAGAGCAAATTCATGTGAGTAATATTATTGTGTGGCTTTGGCGAATTGGATGTCTTGCGGCAGCTGATTCACTAACCCCTTCCATACCAGGTCGATTATGCACGGTACCGCGGCCGATGTGTGCGTGTTAAAACCTCACCGTGACGAACACCATGTCCGTGTTTTGGAGCGCCGCCGCAATAGCGTCACGACTTTCTTGGGCAGCTTTCTGTTGGCGCGGGTGGGTTATGGTGGAAAGGAGTCTTACGCCTTAGCCATAGTTCAGCCTGAAGATGGGCAAAGGCAAACTAGGGGACTAACGGTACGCAGTTCAGAAATGACAAGCAATATGCTCGCGTGTGTAATGTCCAGACTGTTTACCGTACCCAGGGCGTCCCCGCTAATATCGTAGTTGAGACGCCTCCAACACGCTTTTAGCACTCCGGCTGGTGCTAGATGAACCATTTTCGTCGCTCAGGGCCTGGTTTCAGGGATGTGTATGTCCGTATGCAATACGTGCATGCCTTGAAGCGGTGATCCTACAGGCACAGACGCCTTCCAGTGTACTCGTCACCAGAATGATTCCTGGCGACGGAACCCGTATCGTCACCAGGACTCATCCTGGTGACGAGGGTTCGCAGACCCCTACCCCTAGACTACCTACAGCAACATGGTAAAACTCAAGCGCCTCCCATGCTTCTGTCCTAAGGGTTCAGGCATCCTCATGGATGGCGTGGGTGCGTGCACGTGCACTCACACATGAGAGTTCCTCCTGCAAGCAGCTTCATAACACGGCAGGGACAGAACACTTACCGCACCAATCTCCGGGTTGCCACCTGCTCCCAGGCCGCGTGTCAGCTTGGACCCCACTTGGACCTTATGCTTACCGTCGACGGGAGATGTGGCTAGAGCCTGTGAACGTTGAATGCCAGGATGGAGTAAACTCTCCGCCAAAAGCGTGGAACTCGCCATATGCCATGACCTGGTGACGGACGTCCTAACCCACCCTGCATTCCGCACCTGCGCGTCTGTATTCGCAATCCAGAACTCGACGCCTTGGACATCGCTATTGACCATATTGTTTACGGCATTGGAACCACCGCCACCCACACCGAAGACCTGGCGCCGGGACATTCCAGTTCGCTTAAGCACGACCCTCACGCGTTACGAAGGAATTTAGGGAAAATAATATCGACCGTTACCTTAATAACTACTTGGCTGCTACTTGCAGCAACGCGGAGAGGCGTACGTCCATTTCCGCTGCATGGTCTACGCACCGTCAACCTGGTCCGCGCTGGCACGGCCGGTCGTAGCCGTGCCGTTTGTTGACGGGAATTAAGAATCCTGGATGCATGCATGTTGTGGGACAACGCTGCACGGGCAAAGCAGTTCAATTTGGCGCGGCTACAAGGTAGTATGAGTGTGAAAGATACGCTGTATCTAGCAGCAGCAGTAATATAAATCACTTCACAAGCGTGCCGACAAGCAACTGGTGTGGCGCTTTCGATAATTTGCTTCAATGATTTTGAAATTGGTGCGTCAGGCCGTACCGACAGCTTACCAGCTCCAGAACCATCGCACCAGAAGAAGCTCCCTCCTTTGCTGAACAACTCACTGCTTCTTGCAAAAATTGATGCCACGAGTAAAATATTAAGCTACATTTATTGCATTCTGGCTTACTCCTAGTCGGCACACAAGCTGACGCAGCTCACCTAAATAAGGAAACTTTCTTGAATGTAGCCAACGCGTGCCAAGCTGTAGTGTTATGAAGTTAGTTGACGAGCTATAAGGATAAAGATGTACAGCCTCACGAGGGCCACACGTGCTGCAACTATTACACGTGGCTGCATTCTGTCACAGCCAGCAACCCAGTTGGCCGACTCCCTTGCATGATATCAAGCAGTTCGAATGCCCTGGCCTCACTTTACGTATGTTTTGCCAACACTACGGCGGCGCAATGCGGGACGTTGTGGCGGCATGGTGCTGCTGCCGCAGGCTAGCGGCGACTGCTGCTAGCCACCCTTAACGACCCAATGCGCGAGATGGAATCATCCCCCTGTGCTGCGCACGACTGCAAAAAATGGCAGTGATTCACCTGCTAGGATAACGGGGTGAACTTCTGCTAACCTCCTTTGGGCTACATCTACTACCGTCCACTGGCCGGACCGAGGCCAGGGGATGAAGGGGCCAACCACCGGTGGCTGTAGAGCCAAATGACGGTGCCGGCGGCAGTGGCTACAGAGCCGGCAGCCTGGCCATTTGTGGGCGACAGCTATGGCCACCGCCTTGACCTGCACGGCCCGGGAGATAGGCATAGCTCAACATGATACTAAACGCAACGCAAATCTATGACTACCCATATTGTGGTTAGTACCCCATGTGGCCCTAAATGAGGATTACCTGGTGACCGGGGATCCCGATTTCCCAGTCACGGTATACGCTTGCATGAACATCATGCACTTTCAAGGCCCGGTATGTCTCCGTTCGTTCTGTCTCAGCATGATGGCATGCTTTGAGACGCATTTCTCCAGGCGCTCCCAAGCACCCGGTATATCACACACGGATTCCGTCCTACGCGCCCTGGAGCATAGCATCCCCAAGGTTGTAAACATGTGAAGAACTTCCTCCCATACACTACCTATTGGCTCTGGGCTAGGTTACATAAAAAGGATTGGGTCATCGGGTTTCGGAGCTTAAGGGCTGGCGGAGGGGCTGGCTCCTCCCCGTGTGTGTGTGTGCTTGTGTGTGTTACATGGTCGTGGGTGCGTTCCCCGGACCTGCAAACCGCCCAAATACGAGCCGAGGGCTCAACGGCTGACAGATCGCCTATAAGCACCATCCTACCTCTCACTTCAGACACAGCAAGTGGTAGAGGATACCAACGACCAAATGGAACGATAGAAAAGGGAACGTTAGAGTTGCGGTGGGACCATATACGTTCCAGCATCCTTGCCAGACGTTCTGGTTCCCACTTCATAGCGTCCTTCATATGCTCGAAGCGTGGGAAATCCATATCAGGTCTGATTTTCCAGCAAAATGTGCTTCTCACCCTCGATATGGCTATCAATGCCGCAGCAGGGGCATACTGGCTCCTCCCTAGGTATATAACGCCGTCCCTCACGCGCTCTGTTAGCCGCCAATGCCCAACAGCAAAACCTAAACTGCATAAGCTTGCGATTGGCTGAACGCGTGATAAACATTGTGATATGCGGGAGCACCTCCTTCATGCCCGCTTGCTCGGCCGCCAGACCCATCCAATGCTTATACTCCGCCTTGTCAATTCCTGGTTGCTTGCCGTCTGACGGGTACACGTCTGGCTGGACATCTAGACGCGTATGCTTCCAACCACTCACCAGTCGGTCCTTGAACTCCAATACCACACCTTCTGGGAATGGCCTGTTCATTAGCCATTCCACTCGTTCGTCCACTTAGTGTAGCCCTTGCGGGGCCTCTTTCCGTTCGTCGTGCCCCAGAAAACCTAGGAACGGAGGAGTAGTGGCCCCCATCCGGCCCCTCCGGGGTTGAAGAGGGAACCGTGACCGTTTCCAAGTCCTCACAATCCGTTAGAAAACGTGTGTGTTTGGTGCTGACATCACCGGTGATGGGTCAACGAATTGCATGCAGTTCATTCACATAGCTCTTCAACCCGCATAGCGAACAGCTGCCGAAACTGATGTCGCATCTACTCGCCTTTAGTTGTGTGGGCAGCTTTTCATCAGTACGTTCGCTGCGTACTGGTCATGTTTTGGCAAATGTTCGACCGCGTTGCAGTTTACTTATGATGCCATAATGTGATCCATTGCATTCAGCTAACAGTGGCGTTTCGAAGTTTTATTGTACTCTGTTGCCAAAACGTTTCGGCGCCAGGAGCTCCTCCGACAATACTACCTCTTAAAGGACGGAAAGAGCAGCAAGATACAAATAACATAATAAGACCACTTTCCCGCCAAGCCAAGGTTACAAGGCATTACATGCATGGCGTCGGGATGTCGTTTCGAGGGCTGCGCCTGACCTTCCGCACGGCACTGGCATCCCTTGCTGCGTATAAGATCCGATCATCCTTAGCATGTTTGACGATGTGATTTGATAATAAACCTGCTGTCTATACATCTTTGGCTTCATACCGGAGAAACCCAAGGCTCTACTCTTGGCATCGGACTAGCTCTCGTGAAGATCTTATTGCAAGATGGCACAGCAATTTACGGAGGTTCGCAAGGAGTGCCCGACTTGCAAGTACAGCTGGCTGGACAAGTATGGCAAGAACGAGTGTCCCAAATGTCTTCATCCCTTGATGGGAGGTGGGGCTGTGCCCAAGCGGCAGCCCGGGGAGGTGTCTACCTTTAAGTCAAAGGCCAGCGATGCTTGTGAAAGCGCGAGCGGGGATTGCCCTAAAGGGGGCCAGCATACCTGGAAGTTCGGCAAGTGCAGGTGAGGAAACCCGTTAAAACGTCCCGATGAAGTATCGGAAGTATCGATGAAGGCATGGCAACTCTGTGAGGCCATGAACATCTTGCACCATCCTGAGGAACCGTCTAGCATGCTTTCCTTGCGGGCTTTGAGCTCGTTCAGGATAGCTGGAGCTGAACGGGCTCCTTCCTATCCCGCTTTGAAAAACATATTAACAGTGCCATAAAAATTACACAGTCATTACATAGCCACATTATGCGTCCGTCAGCTGTAATGGTTGATAACTTGAGTCAGGAAACTGCGTGACGTGTAAACGGGAATAACATTAGTTTGCTGTCAACGCTCTTTTAGTGTGATTTATCCCATATTTTGCTTAAATTTGTGCTCAGTTATCGAAGAGGGGACTGCATTCACTGGCTCAAAAACGCGATTCCTTTGGGTTGACGGCGTACCCCTGGGTGGAACATTCCGAAAGAGCCTTGCGCAAACCCACGATCCGAGTCCCGACAGCGCCAGGCTGCATTTGGGGTTCATGCCAAATGGATTCCATCTCAACGTGTTTCAATTACAACCTATGCTAAGCAGCCTAGCTGCGCCTGCAAAAGCTTCCTGAGTGGCCAACGGTTCTCTACCCCGGGAAAGCGCGCCTATTAGACCCGCCATGAATCCCTCCCAAATCCCGCGTATGATCGCATATACCAAGCTGCCAACACTTACGACAATTTGGACGCGAGCCCGTCTAACCCACATCGCACTCTTACCCCTTATCGTTCCTGCTTGCAGCAAGTGTGGGGCAGGCGAGGGCTATGGCAAGACTATTTCCCCCGGAAGCTCCAAGCACGGCTTGTGCTCCGATGGCCAGAAGCACGCCTTTAAGTTCGGGTGAGCTTAATCCTGCGCTCGGTGCGCCGCTGGCTTAGGACACCGTCCTTGGATTTTCTTTCCACGCTAGTCTTGGTCTTCATGTTGGCGGAAACGTAAGGAGGATCTATCCGACGTAGGCTAGGCAGCTGAGACATTTGGCATGGGCCGTCTTCAGACATCCCAGGCAGGTGTTGAACCTTTGGTAGGATCGCCTTTCACGTTTCCCTGGACCTTTCCTCCTTTACGAGTGCACATTGCTGACCCAGTTGTCTCCTGGGCCATCGTTTCCCCGTCCTTCCACCCGCAGCAAGTGCTCCAAGTGCGGCAAGGCCGAGTTTTAAAGGGCAAGTTAAGCGTTATCGATACATGGACCAGCTGTCTGAGTGGCGCATCGTCTTCACAACAGAGAATGCTCAATCAGTTGCTTGTGCGACGATTGGCGGTTTCAGAGCAATGGCATGCGCTGCCTCTGCTGCTTGAATCCGGCGCTTCGAAACAAAGCGCACTTGATGCTATGTGCCATGGCGGCGAGTAGAGCATCTCGGTGTTTTTAAAGAGGTGTATGGTCACCATTACTGATCCTGGTTACGGTGTACAGGCCGAGACGGATTGGCGGGTAGTTTTGACTGCTGTGCTGCAAGAGCAAAAGGTTTACAGCCCTGCCAGTCAAGAGATTTTTGCCCTGCCAGTTCGCATATGGCGCTTTAGGTGCCGTTCATACTCTTGGAATTAACTGATAAAGCTGCTGCAGGGTAACCTGTTGGCTGTCAAAGTGGTATCACTATGGATGTATATTGTGTTTGTGTCAGCGGAGCGAGCCGGCATGCAGGCGGGTCCAGCAGGCGCGATGAGCTGTATAGTGGTCTGTCGCATAACACGACGTCGCACATTCCCATATTTTGGGATAATCTATTATATGGCGTACATATACCAGGTATAACAATGTGTATTCATGCGGCGGACGGACAGATGGGCAGACAGAAATGAGGGCACCAAACCCATATAATGATGGTCTGGCATATCCCCTTTTGGCGTGGGCCTGAGAAGGGAGCCAATCAAAGTTTAATAACTGTGCCATGGCGTGCCGTACAATGGACACAGTTTAAGCCACACCATCGGGCGTTGCTGTGGACGGAATCTAATTGGTTTGGGAATGTGCGATGCCTGCGCGTATGTTTGTTTGTACATATGTTTGCCGAGGAATGCTGGTCTTTAGTTTGTGTACATGCTTGCCTTTACGATTGGCTCTCTCGGCGTGCCATATCGCCATCGATAACGTCCTGTGCGCGATGGAAGTATTCCAGGAAAGTAAAAAAGAAAATTGTTGACCGGGGAATAGGGCCTCGAGTCTTGCCAATTCCATGGAAACAGCATCTGCAAGTGGGTCACGTCAGAAAAGGGCACGGACCATGTCTCGTACATTCCGTAACTGGTATTAGTACAAGCAGTGAGCTAGGGCCTTTTGAAAAGGAAAGCGTCGGCCAGTCAGGACCTCGGATGACCCATGGCCCCTACCTGTCGAAATACGTCGGCCGATTCAGGCGTTGACCGTCCTTTCCTTCCTTGCTGAGTCTTTCATTCAGCGCACCGTTCCAGGTCGTGCACTCTACCCACCCAACAAAAGGCCGCATCGAAAAGCATTGAATGCTTTATCGGGCTCTTCTGAACAGAAGGCCCGTCGTCTATCCTTACTCCTCGTATCAAGGAGCCCACGCGGACGCTTTTTAATGGATAGGGACCCATTATGTTTCACCCCGGCTTGGGCTGCTGTGTGTGCATGAGACGGCCTAACGAATGGCGGCATCCTGAAGAGCAATAGGGACGACGACAGTGGGATTGACGATCCCGTACAGAGAAGGAGGCGTTAGGTTGCGCACTATTGTGCCCTACTGTCCACACACTCAAAGCAGCAGGAGGGTTTCCCTTACGCATCGTTGTGCATAGATTGCGGTTCGGGGATCTGTATGGTTTCGGATTTGGAGGGGCCGTGGTTGCGGCCCATTACACGCGAGGACGCAAGCCCAGTCCAGTACGTTTCAGTCGTAGATATGGTTCCTAGCAGGGAAAGCACGTACATGCATGTTGCCACCATGACGTGAGGAATTGAGCTGGTGAGGGCTCCGCCCCACGGCGGTTGTTTTGCGGTTGGACTCCAACTTTACGACATGCACCATGTTCAGTTAAGCTCGTAATGTGTTGTTAAAAACAAGCTCCTATTCCCCGCCAGTGCTTTGGATTGCTCGATCACACGTGGCCTTTGTTATCGGGTTGGTTTCTACGAAACCTTTGTTTTGCATCTGTTTTTTTCCCTTAGCAATCTTACTGTAAGGTCACCTCTATATTTTTATCTGCTCGTAATTGTCGGCTGGGAGTTAGTATTTGTCGATCTGCGTGAGTCGTTCGTTCCTACAGTCGCGTCATCACAGCAAGTCGCCTCGATAACCTCTTTGTGACACAGCGCGACGATTTATGACGTCCGGCGTCAGGAGCGGCAGGCTGCTGCTGGGCCTCGCCTCGCGGCATGCGAGCGCCGCACGGCCCTTGGGAGGCGCTGTGGAAATGGCCCTTAGCAGCAGCTCCCTAAACGTTAAAAAAGTTTTCGTGGACGACCTGGACTTAGCAACACGACTCCCCGTGGCGTTGATACCGCAAAATGGGACGGCATTCCGGCATCACGTTCGCTGCATCGCCACATCGACCGCGGCTCACATGCGCCTGGGTGGTGGCGGCCAACGCCGTGATATGGGTTCCGACTACTACTACCCTTTGGGACCGCCTGCGAACGTTGGCGTGCTGTGAGTCTTTGGGGGCCCAGGCACGGGGACTTCCTCAAACATCCTCAGACTCAGGTTTAAAGCTGCACATTTTGTAATCCATCACACGCGCCATCATCCAGGCTGAGGACTTCAGACCTGTAAAAGTGACTAATGGCTGCTAACTCTCCGGGGGGTTGGCGGACATAGCTTCCCTTGCCACTTGCCACTCGGGTTGAAAAAGTGGGGAATCGCATGCAAAATGCAGAAAAGTTACAGCGGACGGTCCAAAGTGTGTGTATGGGGGTTGGGGAAAAGAAAGAGGGGGAAAAGAGCACAATGGTGAGAGAGGTATTGGGGGGAGGGAGGGAATGAGAGGCTCTCCGGAACCACGGGTGGGGGCCTGTCAGGCTCACAGAGCGCAGGGCCCTCAAACGAGCTATACCCGGTTTAGACTTCCTTGCCTCTCTGTCTCTCTGTCTGTCTACCTGCCTGACTGCATGTAGTTGGTACTTCAGATTCCGTCGTTAGGGCTGGTGCATAGCAGGGCATGAGGAGGGAACATACACGTATGGAATGCAAAGCGCGTTCAGAGGGACGATGGGGAGGAGGGGCGAGGGCCGGCCGCAGCGGCTGTGTGCGGCATGTGGGTCGGCGGGGAACACGGCCTAGAACGTGCGGATGGGTGGCGCGTTCCGTTTGGATATGCCTGTTGGTACTTCACGGGTGAGGCCGCTCTCCCACGGTATGGCGCTCCAAAGATTCCTGCATGGGCCGGCCTGACCCGGCCCTGTCCATAACAGGCCACGAGTGCGGGTGTGAACCTCCTCCGTCTTTCCCACCCCTTCACGCATCCTCACAATGGCTCAGTTCATTAAAACGCGCAATGTCCCCCTCCTCCCCCCCCTTCGCTGTCTCAGTATTGTTCCTGAGAAGACTGCATACGTGATTGAGCGGTTCGGGCGATATCGTGGAACACTGGGCTCTGGACTGCACTTCCTCATACCCTTGGTGAGTGTGGCTGGGATTCGTTGGTGGTTGGTTGGTTGGTTGGTTGGTTGGTTGCTGATGACGCGGGCGGAAGGGTTGCGGTTGGGTGGGTGTCTAATACTTACACTGTTATTATTTTTACCTGTGTATGATTCCCCCTTAACTTTCCCCTCCGTACACACATACATACATACGTACGCGTACATACACGGGTCAAATCATTAGGAAACACTGTGTATGTGTGTGTGTGCAGGTGGACCGCGTGGCGTACGTCCACTCGTTAAAGGAGCTGGCCATCCCTATTAGCCAGCAAACCGCAATTACCAAGGACAATGTAACCATTACCATTGATGGGGTGCTGTACGTCAAGGTACGGCAACGTACGCCAAGGCCGGAAGCCTCTGTTTGTGGCTTTATGCGACATTATGTGGGTGTGCGTTACTTCGGGTCCAGCACTCCTTGCTCTGGCCCGTAGGCGGCGGACGTGGCGATGGTGGTAACGGTGGTGGGAGTTTGTTGTTAGTTGGTCTGTTGCCTGTTGTCCGTTATTCCTGATTTCTTGGTCCCTTGCCGTCTTTTAGTCCTCCGCCGCCTTTTTCCTCTGAGCCCGCCTAATCCTCTTGAGCCCTCGGCGTACGATTTTTCGTACTCTTTCGTACTGCCCCCCGTTCGATTTTTGTTCTGCTTGCCCTCGTTTTCCCCTCCTTTCCTTCACCCCACCCATCCTGGCCTCGCCTGCACGAGATTCACCCTCACTCACCTCACTCCCCCCTCACCCCAAACCCCCAAACCTTGCAAAAGGTGGTTGACGCGTTCAAGGCCAGTTACGGGGTGGACAATGCGCTGTACGCGGTGGGGCAGCTGGCGCAAACCACCATGAGGAGGTGGGGAAGAGGGGGAAGGGAAGGGGTCTTGGGGGGGGGGAGGGGAGGAGCTAACATGCGGGTGGGGTGGGAGGAGGGAGGAAGAGGCATATCTGTGGTGAGTGGTGTGTTGGGGAGGGAGACATTGTAATGGTGTTGCGTGTTTAGTGAGACCTGAGCCGCAAATGGGAATTGGTGATAGGAGGGTACGGGCTAGGGAGGGAAAGAAGCCGTGTAATTGTGTATTTTGTGGGTTGGATTTGAGGGGGGAAAGCCACACGGGCCGTTACCCGGCTTCAACACATAGACGACCATACCGGTGTATGTGTGTATTTAATTAATCTGAGCCGCGATGCGAGAACAGGCCGAAGTGGGTGATCAAATAACTTTATGAAGAGATGCGAGCTCCGTAGTCACCAGCGAGGTGCGCTAGACTTTTCCGAATTGCGTGTGTGTGTGTGTGTAAATGGATTGAGGTAATTGCATGCTTAGTCCTTAGTTCCCTGCTCCCGGTTTTGCTCTTAACAACATAATATGCTCTTAAGCTGGCTCCCAAGTGAGGAGTAGGGTTGTGGGGTTGTGGGGCCCACTGGTGGGTGGGTCCGCCCACGAGCGCGTACGGACAGACGTACGGACAGACGTACGGAATTACGTACGGAGTTACGTACGTACTATTGCCTTGGGACCTTCATGATGTTTTAGCTGCATTGGTGGTTTTGCACAGCATGAAGCGCCTTGTAACGCCTTGAGCGCTGTTGTACGGATTTGCGGGCGGTGTGCTCGTATCTGTCTCCCCGGTGGGGTATGGCCGTTAGCCATACCAGTAACAGATGACACCGCCGCCCTCCTCCGTCCCTTGCTGCCATGCCCCACCCTAACCTCCCTGAAGTGAGCTCGGCAAGATTACCCTGGATAAGACGTTTGAGGAACGAGAGGTGCGGATGCCGTGTACGAGCGCCGTACGTACCGGAAGAGCAGTTGGCATTCACCTCGTGCATTTGCGCCGTCTCCCCTCTTTCCCTGCCTCTCATCCCGCCCTTCCTCCTCACCTCCTCGCCCAACCCCCAGCATACGCTCTGTCGTACCCTCTTGTACGCCAATCTCGTACACCCTCTCATACGCCCTCTCGTACGCCAATCTCGTACACCCTCTCGCACAACCCCCCTTTCTGCTTCCTTGCTCTCCCACGTGGCCCTTTCCCTCTTCTTCGCCTGTCTATTTGCCGTACGCGTTTGAATCTTGGTTCCCCTCGAGCTCCCTTTGCTCAAACCCTGAAACCCACTTCCTCCCCGTCCTTAGCTCGCGCTTTTAACCCATGGACGAGCGGCAAAGCGCCCGGGCCTCCCTGGAGCCGCCGAACTGTGTTTCCCTTTCATTTCCTCACCTTCCTCATTCGCGTGTGCATGTGTGTATGCACGTATGTATGTACGTACCTTCCTGATCAATGCCCTGCACCCCACCCCGCCCCGCCTCCTCAATACAGGCCCTCAATCATAACATCGTCCGCTCGATCAATGAGGCGGCGGAGGCGTGGGGCCTGCAGTGCCTGAGGTGTGTGTGAATGTATGTATGTTGTTACAGGGTGGTTAAGCTTCGCCAGCGGCCCCCTTTCCCGAGGAATGTATGTATGTGCTGGGGGGTGGGGGGATGAAAGGTTTGGGGGCGAGTCTTGGGAGGGCGGGCCCGGGAAGTCAGAGTACGACAACAGCAAAGCACGTATACACATATTCTATGTGCACTTGCGCATGCATCCCTCCAGTTATCCCGGAATTTCCTGGGATATTCTACGGTATACTGCCGTACCGTATATGCTTGTACGACAGGTACGAGATCAAGGATATCATGCCGCCACGTGGCATTGTACAGGCCATGGAGTTGCAGGCGGAGGCGGAACGCCGCAAGCGCGCCAACATTTTGGAGAGTGAGGGTGTACGGCAGAGCAAAATCAATGTGGCCGAGGCCGATAAGCAGCAGGCACGTAAAATGCCATGTCCAACATGTGTCGTGTGTGCGTGTGTGTACGTTTATATGTCGGATTCCGCTTACCTTTCCCCGGCCCCCCGGCCCGTCGAGCAGGTGGTGCACCTTGCATATGTGGCATGTGGTTGGCCCCCGTACCTACCATGTCTTTTTCTCCCCCCAACTAACATCCACCGCACTCTTCCCCCCCCCCCCCCCCC